ATGGTCCGGGTGAGACCTAATCCCTTAGGAGAAGGCATTTCATAAGATTTGAAGCGAGAGTTTGGGGGACGAGATAAGGTGCAGTTCCACCGATCTGCAGTCTATCGGTGACTATGCTGCATTACGCCAATGACCGTTGACGGCTTATCTTTGGATTCCCCGATTTGGCTGACAGAGGTACGACACGGTACTATACTGGGATTCCCTCCACATGGGTTTTAACCGGTCTTGGGTGGCGAAGGGGGGATATTAAACCCCCGCGATGAGATACGGCTTGGCTCTGAGGCAGAGAGGGAAACGCCGTGACGAGACCTGCTGTATTTTTGCGTCATACGTCGGCGATACCGACCTCGGGTAATATAGGAATCTCTTCTCGGTGAGTCTTCACTCCGATTCACTCGGTGGCTTTTCTCTTAAATCAGAGTATATGTGCCTACAAATGAGTTTACAAATGACAAGAAAGACCACTGGGCCAAAGAAAACAAAAACAAAAACAAAAAACAAAAAAAAAAAAAACAAGCAGAAAAACAAGACGAAAAAGAGGAAGAGAGAGAGGGAACGGCCAAACAGCTCAGTAGAACGTTGCTTATCTCTCGGGCTCCATCCGTGGCCCTCCGCCCCGCCCCAGTGCATGGACTGATATACTTCATGTCAAATCTGATTGTACTTTCGGGGGCTTCTGTTACGCCGCTTGGTGTGGGAGACCGCATTGTCTGCCTCAATGTGAACCAGTCAAGCATATGGCATTTCATTACAGACCTTTCACTCCCAAATCAGGCCTTCAGGACTGCAAGATCCTCTACACTGTCGTCTCCACCGGCAACGAACAGTACCCACTTGGCCTTCATCTGGACACGCTCCGGAGACGCTAAGGTACTTGATATCTCTGCGAGTTCCAATCCCGAGCTTATGTCCGAATCTCCAACCATGGACGATATAGTGTACCTGCGTTTCGACCAGTCCCGACTCTCAGGAGAGGGTCGGGCAAGTACATTAGTTTTTGGAGTCTAGCAGGAAAGAGACTCGGGCCGATGATAGATTTGCCAGCACTCCGTAATGGAGGCATACTTGGGGCCGTGCGAGGTATACAGAAGGGCATTCTAGACCCGAAAAAAAAAGGCAGCCAGCGGCGCTGATTCGTGGAGGAATCCCCAGACGCACGACAGAGGGCAAAAAGTAATCAGCTATTAAGCAGACGGGAGTGGCGCATGAATCATGTCCGTATATCGGTCATTTGCCGTACGGAGGTAATACTAGGTTAGGTATTTACGAGTGCAGACATTTAGACATATCCTATTCACCTCTACTTCGATTCCCATTCTTTCTTATTTTCCATTTCACTCTGATATCCAGACTTGAAGTAGTTTTTGTATCGGACGTTGCCCCGTGGCCCGTGTGTAGTCATCCGTTTCCGTCTCCCACACTGAACTCAACCTCCAATTCCTCTCTCTCTCCTCCTCCTCCATCAACTCGCCTCATTCACGAGGCCCCTTCTATTTCCTTATTTATCCTCTGGGCATGAGCGTCTGGAGGGTCTAGCCCCCCCTCCACGACTCTTGTCTTTTCATGCTAAATCTGATACTATATCCTAACCCCGGTAGTTGGCTGACGCCAATCGTCTCGCTTGGCTGCATCCGATCAACTTCCGGCAAGGGTCTCGTTTACGGCGGGTACGGGGGAATTTCAATTCAACCCACCGCTTGACCACCCCCGCCGCTTTTATTCGAATCATTCCCCTCCCCCTCTCTTCCTCTCCATCGATTATGGAGGGGATACATGGTGGGCACGGAGGAGCCCGCCCATCCCAACCCATGGCTTTTCCTGGGTTCGAGGACTCCCACATGATGTCCGACGACTTCTCTTTCGACTCTCCGTTCTCTCCGTCTAACTCCTCCAATGTGAACGACGGTGTCCTCGGTGACTCCATCTTTCCCGAATGGACCAACGGCCGAGGCGACAGTCCCGATGAGATGCAAAAGAAAGATCCGCTCGCTGCCCAGATCTGGAAACTCTACACCCGCACCAAGTCCCAATTACCAAACGCAGAGCGCATGGAGAATCTCACATGGCGGATGATGGCCATGAATCTAAAGCGCAAGGAGCGAGAGCAAATGGCTCGGTAAGCAATTCCTGCGTATCTCTACGTATCTCTACAAGTCAGGACTGACTCCTTCCGGCACAGTGGAGAGATCCAGAGCCCGACAGCGAGCGGCATCGCGCAGATGCGCTTGTCCGACCGAGCATCCACTGCTGACTCGAACCCTTCGCATGCGATGAACCTTGATGCAACCCCAGATCCCATGAACCTGGATGACTTCATTATTCCCTTCGACTCCCCTGAACAATCCTCCCACCCGCCTACCGAACGAAACTTCACTGCGACGCCCACGGGAATCCCTATCAAATCCCGCAAGGATCATGCCATGATGGACCCATCGGTCGCCGCCTCATTCCCCCACCCTCCCCAGGAGCAGCGAACCAATTCCGAGTTTGGTTACGTCCCCCGACGAGTCCGCAAGACAAGCGTCGACGAGCGCCAGTTCTTGAACGGTCTGACTGCACCGACCCGAAAGCGCCCCGCAGAAGCCTCCCCCCATGTTCCTCCAGTGTCCAATGCCATGATGTCGCAGCACTCGGAACTGTCAGCCGCGCTTCCCGACTACTCGCTTGACCAGCCATCCCCATTTGCCATTCCAGCGAATGGGTCACTGAGCTCGCGCAGGCACCAGCATACTCCCTCTGGCCTCCCCTACGGGCTGGACACCTTTGGCATTGGTGAAGAACATGGGATGAGCTCGGCCGGTCCCTATCAGCAGCACTTTACATTCTCGCCTTCAGACTCCCCCATGACTTCAGGCAACCCCTTTTCCAACTTGTATGCTCAGACCCCGCTTGCCTCATCTCTCAACTCGACCGAATTCTTCTCGCCTCCGCCTTCTGGATACCAGTCCGCGGTTTCAACCCCGCAGCCGATCTATGAAGGGGAGCAGTCGATGTTCTTCTCCGAGGCCCCCTCCGCTGAGCCTCACAACCAGCGCCGCATCCCCAGCTATCTGCAGCAACGATCGTCCAACCTGTCAGCGTCGTTGCAGCCTCGCTATATGTACAATGTGTCTAACGGCGAGTCACAGCCAGGCAGCGCAGTCACTGGACCATCGGCTCCATCGCACGTGTCTGGATTTTCCGTGCCGCAGCCGCAGCATGTCAACCCATCGCAGGTGCTTGGTTCTGGCGAGTATTCTACGACCGCGCCCGCTAGCAGCATGTTCACCTTTGGTGGAGACTCCGACAACGAGGACGATGATGGTAACTTTGAACGGGGGGGCATTGCTATGCCCAATGACTTTGCCTCTATGGATGAGGCTGGTGATATGAACGGTGGTCTCCAGTGGGATGGAGGATTCCCTGGATCAGTTCAGTCCCTGCCAGGTTTCAGTGCTCAGCACCGTAAGCACGTCACGATCGGCTCCACCGATATGATCGATGGACCCCGCGAGTGGCACCAGGGAAGCCTTGGACGTGGGCATGGATCTGCCGCTTCAGTGAGCGATGTGCGCAACCGAGACCAGGATCCTCGTCGTTATGGCAAGGTCCCGCGGACTGCGTCCACGCCCAATGCTGCTGCACTGCTTCGCCAAAGCTTGAATGGCTCGGCGAGCGGTCCCCCAACAAACCACCCCTCTCCCAACACCCCTCCTGAGTCCGGCCTCAGCAGTGCAGTACCATCGCGACCGGCCAGTCCTGGTGGATCGAAGAACGGCGACCCGAATGCCGGACCAACCACCTGCACCAACTGTTTCACCCAGACCACCCCTCTATGGAGACGCAATCCCGAAGGTCAGCCGCTTTGCAATGCCTGTGGCTTGTTCCTAAAACTCCACGGCGTCGTGCGGCCACTATCGCTCAAGACGGATGTTATCAAAAAGCGCAACCGTAGCAGTGCCAACACGCTTGCTGTTGGTACTTCTCGATCGTCCAAGAAGTCTTCGCGCAAGAACTCCATTCAGCATGCTCCATCTTCATCGATTTCATCGCGCATCAACACCTCAGAATCACCACCCTCGATTTCCGGATCGAGCGGAATGGGGAAACCCGGTGTTGTACCTATTGCAGCTGCTCCACCCAAGTCTGGCCCCCCTGCGGGGGTGGCCCAAGCCCGTGCTGGCGTGCAGGTGGCTCCCAGACGGCAACGCCGACTCGAAAAGGCACCGACCGGGTCGGAACCGGACGCAGAAGAAAGTCCCAAGTCGACTGCTCCCACCAGCCGATCGAAGGTCGTGCCTTTGGCCCCGGCGATAGCCCCTGCTGCCGCCAACCCGGCCAATCACAGTATTGCTGGTGGCCAGGGCGCAAGCCAGGAGTGGGAGTGGCTCACAATGAGTCTGTAGGCGGCGCACTACTTTTCTTTTCCTTTATGCCAATTTACCGATGTGTGATGGGCCTGGCCCACACTCCCCTAATCTCACGTATGACACGACTAATGTCCCCGGCGGTCGTCTTGCGTGGTTCTCTCTATGCTCTCTCATGCCTTTCCTGATCATCCTATGTTACGTGTGCTTTTTGATGATTTGATTGATACAATCGCGTCTGTCCGGAACCCGAGCTGCCTTTTTCTTTTTTCCTTTTCTCCTTGTTTCTTTTTACTGGTTTTGTCTTTTTTTTGGGTTTTTTTTGTCTATTTGCAGCTCGGAGCCGGCAGAAGTGCGCATCTCTCTCGTCTCTGTTTATTTGTTATTTACTCCTGGTTTTATTGCGCTGCTGAGCAGGCTTTGATTAATGGGTCTCGTTGTTCTTGCGCGATATTCTTTCTAGACCTGGTATCAATATGATTATGATTTTACTCAATCGTTTTTCTCGATTTATATAATGATTTCTACTTTTCGGCATCCGTAGGAGGGTGAATCTCAGGTTACTTGTCTGTTTGAGATGATTGCCAGGTATCCAGGGACTTGTAGACTTGTCCATCTACTCAACAGAACCAATCCTCAAGCTGATTCAATTTAATCGGCACCCCGCGAGCCTCCCCCGAGAGCCTTGGCCACGGTCTCTTGTGCAGATTGTAGCATAGTCTGGTTCTTCTCCACCCCCACCCCATGGTCAGGCACCTCTCTCGCATTGTCCTCCCGGAACTGCCATATACTGTCGGGAGTATCCGATATATGACGAGATGTGGCCTTTGTGTCTCCTGTAGAACAGAATACGGGTTAGCCAGGCTCAACGCAGGCCTTCACTTCCAGTCTCGCTGAGAGGAGCATACCTGGTTGCAACTGGTAGGCAATCTTCTCGCGTGCATAGCTAGCAGACTTATCGACGCGACCGGCGGCAGTATCTGTAGTATTTGCCTTTGTAGTGAGGTGCTCAGGTGCCTCTACAGTGTGTCAATGGAATTTTGCAAAATTAAGTGGAGTGCAGCTGACCATCTGTGCTTGCGATATCACCCTGTAGACCACGAATTGTCAGCGTTGCTACAACCCATGCAGATCCATTCACCTTACTGCCATTCCAGCCATATTGATGGTGGTTAAAGTAGCTGATTCACTACAGCACAGTTTTAAGAATACTAGAGATATAATATTAGCTTGAGGTTACAAAGTGGTTCATCAGTATGACGTGGAGTTCATATAGTCCCGGTCTTATTTCCGGGAAGCTGAGACTGATGTCAGTAGAAGGCAAGTCTTTTCATACGATATTCGAAGTGAGCAGAAAAGAATGATATAGGAATATAGAGTGGTTTATTAGACGACGCTATAAAGTGCTATCCTTCAATACTAAGTGCCAATATTGAAGGTTTCGACTATAATCATGGCTGAGGTTGAATGTTTGCTGCATATTCAATAGATGATCTACCATGTTTCATAGTAATATACCACTAAAAGAACAAAGACCGTTCGATATCATCCAGCAGGTCGGCAGTCATCTCGTTAGGACACGAATCGATTCTTTCATTCGCTTGAGCCAACACACTTGAGACATCGTTGAGTTTCTTCCGGAATTCAGCCCTAAAGAAAGACTGCGACTTTTCAGTGACACGTCGACAGTGTGGGTCTCGTGAAGACATTTCCAATCCAAGCTTCTCGATATATTGCAGCATAGGAGGGAGCTGAGCTAGAACTTCGGTGAACTTCTTATGTTGGTTCGCTTTCTCATATCTGATGTGGTCAGCACCACACTGTATAATTTCTTTGAACATGGCACAATAGGTGTCACATGCTACTTGGCTCTCGGGGGGTGGGGGTGTAGGAGCAAGAGGGTTGTTGCAGATGCGAGTACACAAGAAACACATGATTTCGGAGGCAGTCTGCTGGTATGAAATGTTTGAATAAAGCTGGAGAGGCTCGAATGAGAACTGATTGTAGGTTTGGGCTTTAGGAATGAGAGTACTCCTAATTTCAGTCGTCTCTTATCTGTTCGAAACAACAAGGACTTTATCTGAGGAAGCAAGAGCAGACAAAAATAATCTCGGTTGACAAAGAGCCGACAATGAGAACAACCAGTCACAAAGAGCTCTATATTGGACATCCTGCATGGTGTGAGTACTCCAAGGCTTTCAACTACCAGAATCAGCAATAGCCCGGACACCAGGTGTGAGTATATATTGGCAGGCTCTTTGTGGCAGTAGGTCCAGCTGGCGAGCGAGCGGATCCCCGAGCGGCTCTGCGGTCGATGGTCGGAAAGGATGAACGGGCTGGCGTGGGCCCATGACGGAAGTTGCGCGCGAGTCAGGAATTGGGTCTCTCCTTGTCTCTCGTTGAAGGCAGCCACTACCTGGTAGAGTTATTTAGGGACAAGAAAATTATAATAATACGAGGAGAGGGATGTGTAGGAGGAAGAGTTAGTCTTCCGGCTTATGTCGATGTTGTTTCCATTGGCGCGTTGGATCGCAGTATGGGTATTGGGATTATATCCCACCCATACAACATAACATGCCTGCCATCTGTAATCCCTGATTTACATGTGTTTCATCTCAAAATTCCTATATTGAGCACCGACGATATATGTGGCTGTCAATATACTTCCCCTTTAGGCAGTCTTCTGCCTGGGGCACCAATTGATAAATCACGTGTGATAACCGCAGCAAAAAAAAGCATCGACGGCGTTTCGACTTTACTCAACAGACACAGCCATGGGTTCCAGCGCTAAAAGAAAGAAGGAGAAGCAGAAGGACTTCCAGGTAAGATTAGGCGACCATTGATTCCATGGGCTTGCTAACCTCCGCAGAAACCCAAACTCAAGGTCGGCAAAACCAAAGCGAAGCCCGAAAACTACACAGACACAAGTTTCCGATCAAAGTGTATGTAGTAATACTGTCTAATGGAAATCGCTTTACTGACAATTAGCAGCAATTGTTCTCACCCAACAATCCCTTCACCTTGCCGCCCCATCTTCAAATACCCAATTCACCCATAACCTCTCTCTCCTCTCCGCCAAATCCGACAGCCAGCGCCGTGACTCGCTCGCATATCTGACGACCACAATCGCCTCTCGGCCAGTGGACTCACCACTCCCACAACCTGTTAGCGTCATTCTACCGTCTCTGCTTCCACTCATTCTCGATGGAACGACCAGTGTTCGGACGCAACTTCTGAAGCTCTTGAAGACCCTGCCGCGGGGCGATGTGGAGGATCATGTCGCACAACTTCTCCCATATGTTCGCGCGGGTATGACCCATCTTGCAGCGGACATCCGTGTCTCCGCTGTGGAAATTCTGTCATGGCTGGTCGAAGCGGCCGGAGAACAAACAGTTTCTTGCGCCGGAGGCTGGATCAAGACACTCAATTGTTTCCTGTCCGTACTAGGCTGGCACACGGAAGAATCTTCACGCTGGTCATCCAACCGTGCTTCCTTTGGAAAGTCCGGGAACCAGGGTAGACCTATGGTCAAAGTGCTTGGGGCTCTGGCGGACTTTTTGGATGCGGGTATCGGAAAGCCTTCGACCGGCAATGCCGATAGTGACATGTCCGAGGACGAAGAGAGCTCTGCATGGCCTTTCCCACTTTGCCAGACAGGTCAACACATGATCTCAGACTCGTCTGCTCCTTATGCATATTTGAACCTGTTTGGTCAGCCACGTGATGAGGAAGGTGAAATGTACGAGACACGTGAGGATCGATACCGCGTGTTCTCCGCCCGTTTCCATCCGGCAATGGAGCGCGGTCTCAAGGGTGCCAGAGAAGAGGGTGGCGAGATGGGTCGTGCATCATCTAGCGTGACCAAGGTATTGAAAGAAGCCATTGCGTACGGACCAGGGCCATGAAAGGAATTTTCAACAGAATTCCATGTGGCAAACGCAACTTCAACCACTAAAATGGTATGACCAAAGGCCTCATTCGCACAAACTTTGGCTCGGGGGACCGAGAGCCCTCGGCCTGGATCCGATTTGGCACCGACACCGCATGGTTTTTCCCCTTCTAGAGCCGGCCCTCGCAGCCACGATTACAGCGCACGAAACGCATCGGCGTGTTCCGTCGCCACGGCCATTGGGTTTGATCCTCGAGGCAGCTCCGGCGACACATGCATATCACTTCGCTCATCGTAACCTCGATGAACCTTGATAGACCGGTCCGATTACAGTGATACCATCAAAGCTTGGTCTTGATGAAGCAAAATAAATGCAAATGCAAACGACAATAATATTTCATATCGAAGACACAAATAGTCCTCGCATTATAAACCATGGAATTAATATACCAAAAGCTATGTAGCCTTTTCCACATCCATCCGCTTCTCATGTGCGTTTGGGACTGCTTCTTTTCTATCTGAATCATCCGTTTCCACCCCTTCCACCACCATGCCTCTCTCATCGTAGATTTCGTCGGGTAAGATAGCGCGATCAATCTGAGCTTCGCGGGCAGGGAAGAGCCATGAAAGGCCTACATAGACAATAGTTGTGGCAACAAAGCCAAGTAGCCATCCAAACTCATACGGATGTTCACCAACCCCAACATCAATATGAGCATTGACAGCATTGATCAAGCCCGGAATACTGGGTACAACACCCACCAGGAAAGCCACGACAGCTCGCCAATTCACTCCGGAGATACTCTTACCCGCGAGAGAGAAGGTATACCGGTAAATTGGATTCCAATGTTGGTAGAGAGCAAGAGAATCGTATCGGCGGCGGTTGATAACCCAGAAGTCGAATAGCATGATAGAAGCAATGGGGCCGAGGAAGATAGCATAGGCAGACATGAAAGTAAGGAAGTTTCCTGCGGACTCGAGGATCTTCCACGGAACAAGGCACCAAGACAACAAGGCACAGAGGATTTGCCCACGTCGGATGTTGATATACTGTGGTGCGAGTGCGGTGAAGTCATTAGCAGCGGAAAGAGAGTTGGCAGAGATGTTGACTCCGAGGGATGCTAGTGCAAAAGAAAATGCACCAAAGAATCGACAGGCACGATTAGGCCAGTAGCTAATCAGTACTGTTGGATCCCAAGGAATAGAGTCGAGATTATAGTGGGATTGGCCGGCAGATGATGCAGCAATTCCAATAAAGGAGATGAAGGTGAATACGATCGGTAGCATCGGGACATAAAGGAGCTGCCACTTGGGACTGACGCGAGAGTAACGAGAGAAGTCAGACTGTAGAGAGTGTTTGTTAGTCGATATATAGTTATAGTTGCAGAATGCAGGAACTCACCTGGTTGACGCTCAGGGTGGCATAGTTCCCCAACACCGAAGTCATATTGGCCAAGAATAGCCAGCTATACTTTGATCCAGAAACAGATGAGCTCTGCTTTGCGAAAACACCACCGCCACCCTTTTCAGCGACGAATGCCCAGATCAAAATGGCAATCCAGGCGATCGGAACGAGTACCGACTTGATGGTGAACAGCCAGCGCAGCTTGTTTGGATGCATTAACAGGAATGGAACCTGAATCAACCAGAAGATGAAGAATGAAACCATGCCGTTAGTGGTAATACCCTGCGATTCAGGGATGTCGTTTGGAAGATCCAAGTAACTCGGCCAGATGGCACCGATCATCACCCGAACAGCATTTCCCCCATTGACATTCTGGATAGCAAACCAGAAAATAGCAAGGATAACCCGTGAAATGATAGCAATATATGAGCCCCAGAAGCCCCAGCTGGCACGAGCAATAACCGGAAAGGGTACGTGGTATATGGCGCCAACAGCACCGTTGGCGGCGATAACAAAGGACATAATAAAGAAGGACAATGCGACAATGCCCAGAGCTTCCCGGTAGGTCAGACCGACGGCGATAATACTACTCGCAAATTGCCATGTCGCTGCGTTAAACGCGTCCGAAATCCAATATGCTGGAAGACGTCATTAGCCTTGACCGGAGTCTGCGTCAAGGGCGTGAATACCTATAAGACTGGAGACTCCCCATTTGCGACGGTCTTTCGGAATTGGATCCAGATCACTATTTGTCCACCGAGCATTACCCATCGCAAAGGCAGACTCGGTCTGCGAGACCCGTAGATGGGGTCTCGAGGGTCTGGGGAGGCGCATGTTGAGCTTCATGTATAGATGAGGGGGAAGAACCAGCTCCCTAGATCTGAGACAGATGTAAGAAACAAAAGCAAGGAAGATGATAGGATCCTTTTATCCCTGCGAACCCCGGACAACCCCGAGAAAATGGCAGAAGTACACTTGATAAGCAGATAAGCTTAATGATAAGACGAGCGAATGAGGTGAGGCTAAAGTGGCGATTTGGATATCTTCGCTTAGACCCTGAGATATATTCATATTGTTCTCGTGTATTATCGTGATAGCCTATGTTGTCATGTTCAAGGACTGTCAATTTATCATCGCTATCTCAGTGCTTCTCTCCTGGCAAGCGCACATCTTGCCATCCTCGACCGTCGCCTACGCCCTCTACACTGCCATGTGGTCGGATCCCCTTCCACTCTGTAACATTCATCCACCCAATCTGCTGCACGTCCCCGAAGCCACCGATCCAATATACATGGGTCACAACCAACCGCGCCCAGAAACTGGCATGAGGTGAATAAGAAGCACCAGGAAGCCAGACCTTAGCATCAGGATGAGGCTCCAAGAAACATTTCTCAAGGGCGGCGGCTGCGTCATCGGGAAGGGGGGCCGGGAGGATATCCAGATATCCAAAGAGGGTAACGCGAGGCAGAGCAGCAGGGCTCAAGGGCAGACCGGGATAAACAGGGCCTGCATCATCAAGGTGATCCCACCAGTCTAGCTGAAGACTGAGGTTCGACCCTGCAGCGATATTCCTGAATGTCGTTCCAATACGGAGCCCAAGGACCGTTGGATCACCGCTGTCGTCGTGCGACAGATGGGGGGGCAGGGAGCCCTCACAGTCGGCGATATATTCGCGAAGTCCAATAGACAGACCAGCAAGGTCGGAGGGAGCATGTGCGGAGGGAGGGATCGAGTGGGGGAAGTTGGTGGTGATGACGCCAGAGGGAGCCAACGCGAGAAGGCGGCGGGCCATCAAAGTCGAGGTGAACCACGATGGGCGGGTAAGAATGCCTTCATCTTCAGCAGACACAGCACTTTGGCTGGGAACCGAGCTTTCTGCTTGTCCTAGGAAAGCCTGAATGGTATCCGAGGTGGGGAGGACAAAGCCGTTGACCGTGAGGGGTGAAATGAGGGCGAGAACGCCGGTGAGGAAAGCGGCCGAACTGGACACCATCATGACAAAAATCCAGGTCTGGGCAGATATGTGAGCATCAAAGCAGAGATCACAGAGCAAAAGAGAAGAGAAGAAGGGTCTGCAAACGGGGCAAGGTGCGGAGAGCGGAGACTATCAGCTGATGCGATCTTATCTGATCGCATCACCTGATCCGGAACTATGCAATCCTGCGCAGAGGGGTCGTTCAAGCGATCATATGTTGGTCCGAGTATTTCTCAGAGTTGCAGACTGTCTATTAGGTGGTTTGCATATACTGTAGAAGGCCAACGATCATATGACGCTGAGTGCCCCTACATACCACTCCGATGTCACCCGAGGCCTGGAGATAGTTTTTTGGGCGTCAACTGATATTTTGTCACACCTTGACTATCATTTTTGATGGCAGGACGGCTGTGGATCATATCATTTCTCATCTTTTCTGGCTTATGAGTAGCATATGTTGCAACCGTTCTGCAGAACGAAACGAAATCACTAGGTTTAAGCTCACTTCCATGCTCCTGAAAATAGGCTTTCTAGTGGTAGAAGAGACATCTGAAGGCTAAGATCAACAGTATCAAGTGCTGATCTATGATCAAGATGTGTCTGAATAATTCTCCTAAATGTTCCCAGCTAGAAACAAAGTGGCTTGGTGGCAGTTTCACAGAAAACGAGCTCTTAGGCATCCATATGTTCATTTTCATGCCAAAAACAAGTGATCGTACTTTGTACCATGTCTTTTAACATCTTCAAGAATCCAACACAACATGATACAAGTCTAAATTGTTGTAGTACTCCTGCAGATAGGGCTCAGCATAGCCACGGTAGAACTATAAGCGCTACGCATAAGCAATCTTCGAAGCATGCAACCTCCCGACTAACCCAAAATCACACAGCCAAGCATGTCATGCATGAAACTCATGGCTTGTACTTCGTATCCAGTTCTATAGATAGCCAGGGCAGAGGGCTGAGTCATGCTTCGCCGCAGCGGTTGAAGTCTTGAAAGTGGAGAAATCGAATGAGTCACACTTCCAGGGTGGTCAGACGGCTAGCTGCCTATTGGCGTCTGAGATGGCGTTTACGGCACCGATATCGCTGTTTGAAGCTGTATTGATTTGGCTATCCTGTCCGAGGGAAAGACCCTCGGGGGTGGCATACATACCACCCCCTAGATGGAGAGATATACAGCAGGAGAGACGCCGGCTCCCATAAAAGCACAATAAAGACCATAACCGTCCCAAGCCGACCACACTCCGTACGCAACCTCGTATAATAGTAAATAGGGTAAAAAGTGAGAGAAGATGCACGATGCAAGGAAAGACGCGCCAGTCAATCACCTCATCGTACACTTGGCTGGGAATCAAACGCCCACAAGCCCTGCGACCGAGTGCCCAAGAAAATAGGGGGTATGTACAGGAACACTTCGGGTTCGCGTCGCTGGAAACAAATAAGAAACGACGGACTTTTCTTTTTTTTTGTTTGACCTCACACAAAGGAAATAGAAAAGAGAAAGATCCGCTAAAATATTGCAAGTCAATTCAAGAACTCAGCAACGCGAAGAGTCGGGTTCATAGCGACCTTGCGTGCTTCACTGCCGCAGCAGGCACGTTTCATGCCGACTGGCCCTGAGACGGGGCCAGTTCGCTGGGAGATAGAATTATTCTCATGTTGCATCATGAACGAGTGCGGTAGCTGACCATCAGGCAACACGGTGTTTTCACCGGAGGCACCGAGGTTCATCAAATGGCGCACATGGTTCTGAAGGAGATCATCAGATCCAGTGCGTCCACGTTTCCGGCACTGGCGCCGCTCTGGCATAGCACCGGAAAGTTCGCAGAGACTCTGAGCGGCTTCATTCAGACTGGAATCCAGGGTGAATGCAGACAGATCTGGGACCGAGGAACCCATCGAACTGGGGTACTCAGGAGAGCTGTAGACACCGACTCGAGAAGTCTCTTCGATGGGAGAGGCGATAGCCAAGGTCTTCCGGGACTCCTGCATGGTGCAGCGCAAGGTGGCTCTGACGGCCAGACGAGCGGATGCAGTAACGCCAGTTCCCGAGGCATTGGACGAGACCGACGACGACCGCGATGAGCGGGACGACAGAGTTGACACATCCGACACCATAGACTCGGGAGATGAAGCCGAAGAGGTCGAGCGAGCCAAAGATGACCGACGACCCGTAGCCGGGTAGCCATCGAACGACTGAGACCGAGGGCAGTATGACAGAGGGGGGCGCTGATCGAGAGTCGATCGCGCCATGCACGCATTCTGCACCTGGTACATAGCCGAACTGAGAGCTGAGCGACAGGAGTAAGCAGCCGCACTCGCAGCGGGAGTGGCGGCCACCTGGGATTGAGGGGTCATCTGAGGTGTAGGAAGCATGGAAGGACGAGGCATTCCGGGTAGAGCCAGGCTCGGGAGCTCCATGCACGGAGTCGGCTCCAGTGTTCGGGGAAGACCCCGTGGGCAGGAGGTCCGCTCGCGAGAGAGAGACTCGGTCGGCACACTGCGAGGCGAGGGAGACTCGGACAATCCGAGATCCATCCCCATCGCAGGGACTGGGGTCATAGGCTCTGACTCTACAGAGTCCAGTTCAGGAGTGAGTCTGGGAAGGACCGTCTGCCAACACTGACCTTCAGTCACCGGGGAACCACCGGCACCAGGAGTCAACTTCAAGACCAGATCGGTCCAACGCTGGAATGTTGCTTCGTCGATATGCAGGCGCCATCCGACGGCCTTAAGGAACATCAGCTCATTCTGGTTGATCTCAAGGGTGTTGAGACCAGAAATCTTGCTCCAGGCACGAGCGGAGTAGTTGCGGTCCTGCAGATACTTGGAAGCGAGAATCAGCGCTGCCAGGAACATACGACGGCCACACTGCATAGCCCGCAGCATGGACTGATCCCGAGGCTGTTCCTTGGTAAAGTCGTCAGTGGGCACATGGGGCTTAATCTTAATCAAATAATACAAAGCCACCTGCAGGGTACTATAGCTGGTACGCGAGCGTCGGAGTGTTTCTTGAATGAAGATGCGGAGGGGAAGAACGCCTTTGGCTCCAGTCGCGGCATCACTGCGGGATGCTGCGGCGGACAGAGGCCAGATAGTCTCAACGATCTGTGACGCGGTATCTTGTAAAAGGTTTAGCTGAGCGTCCGAGACCGCGTCTTGTGTTCCAAGACTTACCGACGAGATTATCGACAAAGTTGACTTTCCGCTCCGATTGCCGAAGCAGACAAGGCGGAGGCCGCGCACTGGGAGCGCTAGAGGCATAACCGTTAGTGCGCCGAGGATGCGTACGCAACTCGGGCGGCACTACACCATCTTTCCGAGCAGATCCTTTGTAAGACCGGGAGCAGCCTCCGGCACTCCTTTGACTGTTTCCTTCATTGTCCCACGCATCAACGGTGGAGGTCGAGGAGACGGAGTTGCAGTCGAGGGAGAAGACGGAGGAGGAGGAAGAAGACGCGGAGGAGATCGAGTAGGGGTGGGCGTGGTGAGACGCTGTCAATTGAGAGCCTGGGTTTGCGGGCAAACCCAAGACGTCCATCCCTGACATATCCGGGTTCATTTCGGATAGGGCGAGATGGTCCGATTTGTACCGAGTGAAGAAACCGTTAAGAGGAAACCGGGAACGAGGGCCGAGGAGACAAAGCCGTCTTTTGCGACGTAGGCGACGGCAGACCTTTAGTGGAGAGCCAAGTTGAGGAAGAAGCGGAACCACCGGGAGTGGTGAGTAATAAGTTAAGGTGGAAGAACCAAAGAAGAGAAGAACAAGAACAACAAGACAAGACAATAGACAAGAAGATATTCACGATCCGATCACCAAGTGCTATACCACGTGGCGAGTGACTCTTGTGATGATTCAGAAGCCAGAGGCGAGATTAACAGCAAAGGCGATCGGGTCGGAAGAGGCAATAGGGTACATTTTGAAGAGAAAGAAAATGGGCAAAGAACAAACACTCAACGGAGCATGAACAGGCAGAACCACACTGGTGGCTACTTGTTACAGGCAGGCGTTGAGACTAGGCAGAGAGGGAGTGGAGAGAGGGAGAGGGAGGGAGAGAGAGAGGCGACCTAGTGGGAAGGGGAAGGAGTCAGTGGGGGAGTCACAGAGAGAGAGAGAGAGAGGGAGGAGTTGGAGAAGAGTGAATATATTCATACCTTATGACTCTTTCAGAATCTGAAGTGACTAAGAAGAGGCAAAAAGGGAGAGAAGTTGTGGCGAGAGAAATGGGTGGCGGGAAGGGGCGCAGGGACCACTCAGAGGGTGGAGGGTACAGGGTAGAGTGGAGGGTATAGGTATAGAAGAGTATACTTGGGAGGTATACTTAGAGTCCGGTCTACTCTATGAATGACTGAAGTTCAAGAAATGACTCTTGTCTCCGGTGAGAAGGGGAAACCCGGATGCGGCGAGAACGGAGCCGAGATAGGAGTGACTCTACAATATTCTATCTACTCTGTAAAATGATGAGAATCATAGAATAGAATAGATCTGAGATGCTGATACTGATACTGATACTGATGTTAATATATGCCATTCAAATAATCTCAATCTAATGTAGTGATTGTTGCTTCTCTAACAGAGTACCCAGAATGACCCTTGTCTGTGCAGCCCAAAATTACTAAATTTCACCAGACATTGGCAGTGACAGACTGACAGACACTGCCAGAGACTGCCATAGGCAGAGACCGTCGGCACTGAGTCATAAAGGCGCTTGCCACGTCTTTGCTCCACCCGTGATTGCTTCAAGCCCTATTGGCTGCCACTCCGATCGTCTTTCGGGCTGGGGGGTTTGGGACTCAGATGACCTCACAGGATTAGGCTGAAATGAAAGAAAGTCCATTTCTAGAAACATCCTCTTACATCAAGCTACAGAGTATAACGTTACCGATAGTTAGGGGTAGCAGGATAAGTTATACTGCCTATACTTGTATCCAGATCCGACAAGTCCTATTGGCAAGCATAGACAGAGAATAGACAGAGAATAGACAGAGTAGACATAAACTAGACATCGACACAGACACAGACAGACAGTACCTACACTACCTCTCGCAGCAGTGCTACCAGCCCCTGCACCTCGGCCTCTGTCCCGGCCAGCATAACCGAACAAATATCGGACTGACCACTCACCGGTGTTATAATGCAGCAGGCTGACCCGCACCACCCCATCCTCCACATCGGGCAGCCCACACACCTCGGCCAGCAGCCGGTGGCTGTACATATGACCACTACGGAATCCAAACGCCGACCGGCCCTCGACTGCTTCTACCAGCTGTTGGCTGCCCATACCCTGTACGACAAAACTGATCACAGGTACACGGAGCTCCTTGCGTGCCGATGCTTCTCCAATAATAGTAATCCGGCTATCGGAAGCCAAGAACTTCAGTAGGATCTGCTGCAGCCGCTCTTCGTGCTCCGCCATCTGGGTCCAGCGTGTGCTAGGGTCGGAGCCAAAGTACTCCACAACGCGGGGAATGCTCTGAGTGAGCTCGTAATTTGCTGATGCAAGGTTAAGCTTCAAATCCAAGGTGTTGGTGGCCTTGAAGAAATGCCCCAGCGACTCGATCTGGTCATGAATCCGGGACGAGGCATATAGTTGAGCCAGGTGTGGGCCGTACACCTTGTACCAGGAGAAGGCCTAATCATCAGTCAGTGAGCCATTGTAGATTACAGTAGATCAGATTGTTTGGGCACTTGCATAAAAGTCCACATCCAAAGCCTTTACATCGACCTGGCGATGGGGTGCCAAGGCCACTCCATCCACACACAGCAGGGCCTATTCTGATGAGACATTTACACCCATCGTGGCGAATATAAGCACTCACACGAGGATATGCATGGACCGTATCTGCAATCTCTCAGACCGGGCTGATGGTGCCGGTGATATTGGAGGCGTGCGGGCATGACACAAGCCGAGTCTTGTTGAAGAGCAAAGTCTTCAACTTGGCTGGATCACAGACGGGATTCTTGGGGTCAGAAGCCGCCCACCACTTCACTCTCAAGCCCAACCGTTCTGCGACTTGGACCCAAGGGGCAGTGTTGGCCTCATGGTTCAGTTTAGACAGGATTAGTTCGTCACCAGGATGGAATTTCAGAGCTATAGAGATATTGTGCAGTAGCTGGGTTGTGGAAACACCAAACCTAATCAGTTGAGACTTGAATTAGCATTCTGTTCTTATCTGTTTAGTCCGTCGGCAATAGATATTGTTGGTCGCGGTGGAGATATATACCTCTTCAGTGGCAGCATTGAGAAACCCAGCAGCCACCTTGTATGCATCCGAATATGCATTTGTCGAAGTCTTGGAGACCCCATAGGTAGCACCAAGCTGGACATTCGTGTTCAAAAGGTATGAACGGATGCTTTCCGTATGGCGGAGTTAGTACCCATAAAGAGTATACTGCATTAGTCCAGAGTAGACGTACGAGTCCGCCACACGATCCAGAACCTGACTTCCACCTGGTTTCCAATATTAGCTTAAATCATAAATCTCGTATCCTTGATAGACCCAAGGTTCATGCCGGTTCTCGAACTAACCTGCATTGTCCATAAACACCTGCTCCTGCTGTAGTGCAGGGAAGCGAGCGCGAGCTGCTGTCACATCCAGAGAGGCCATGTTGATATGAATAGACTTGAGTAACTTGAGTAATTACAAGAGATGGATTACAATGCAATGCAGCAGAATGAAAGGCAGCAGAACGAAAAGTGAATGTATACCCTACATGTACTTGGCCCCGGCCGCTGAGGGGTAACTTGGTGAGAGTTGATAGCGGGTTCTACTCCGATTCCTTGCTTGATACACGAGCACTTCTGTTGGCCATTTAGCTCTTGACGTGTCATCTTTGATTAGCGTTGCAGGAATTTGGCCAGCAAATCTGCAGCAATAGTCCAACCCCTGTGAAAATGGCACCAAAACACATATTCTCGACAGAACCCCCTACATATCAACAGAAAATAGTACGACAAGTATCAAATGCGATGATTCTGCTTCGATCGGGTATATGTATGAAATCCAAAGCCACCAAACCCCCGTAAAGACAAGAAAGCCCGAAAGACAGAAAAGTAAACCTATCCACACAAAACAACCCCATTACCGAGAGCGCGCACTCGTCGCAGGCCCAGGAGCGGCATCATGTACAACACAAAGCAGATACTTCCGGTCTGGCACGACAACAATCTCGTGTTTCCGCGTGCGCATCCGAAGCAGCTTCACCTCGTCATCCTCTTCGCGATCACCAGCATCTCCATCACGATCCTCTTCGCGCGTTGTGCCCTTTCCTATCCCATAATCCTGACTAGCCTCCCCCGTAGGAACCTCGCCGATAGTAGGCCGCGAGAGTGAAACACCCAGCGCAGAGGCACTGGACACAAAAGCAAAGATATGACCAGCTAGCGCCTCCGTCTGAGAGGGCTGGTACTGTGAGGGGGCGGTAAGAGCGGGCGAGGCAGGGGAAGAGTCGGTGGATTGAGCGGAGAGAGGGTTCGATTCGGAGGAAGGAATTTGAGCGCGAGAGGACCCATTTTCTTCCGAGGTTGAACCTGCTAGCTGTCCTGTGCTTTGGATGATGGAGCCGTCTTTGCGGGAGAGGATCAAGGTTGATTGCACGCCCGGGCGAGAGGTGAGGTGGGAGAGCAGTGCAGTGACATGTTGAGGGACCTGCAGGGTACGCTGTTGAGGTTGTTAGATTGAAATTATGCGAGAGGAGCTGGTACTTACTGTCGCGTTCGCCATGGTTGGGCGTTCGGGGAGTGTGAGCTTTGGTATGTGGAGGGTCGAGGTTCGAGGCTGTGGGGGTGATTTAGACAGATGAGCAACTCATGGTCCCTATTATTCCTGTTTCCAGTTCAAATGGCTTCGAATTGGAGGAGTTCGATGTTCCTTGTGTTCTGCTGTTCACACTTCACGGCACTTGGCCCAAACAAATGACTAAGCACTGGGATCTCTAGAGGTTGCCAGGTGTTAAGGTTATAGCTTCATTTATCATGTCTAAATTCTTCCTTAAAGCGATTGTTTACTTATTAAATTATACTGCGTCCTGCTACCAAAGGGTCTCCCACTTACGCCATTGAAGTAGCAGATTCTTACGAATTAGTTGACATACTCCATTGCATTAACATAGATATAGCATCATATTGACCGGAACCTCGCTGATGTACAAACAAAAGAAGACAAAATGGTATCATCGAAAAAAATAGCCAAAACGAAAGCACTGGTGTATATAAAAAAGAAATCAAATAATCGTGACCAAAGAGAAGGGTGATATCGTCCAAGATAGAAAACAGAAGAAATGCAAAGATCGTTATTTATCGTTTGCGTGAAACGTGAGCACCGCTGAGACTGGACTTGTCCGACATCCAGCCAGACTCGATGTCTTCAATCATGTTGTCCAGCTGCTTGACATTCGGACGGCCTTCTCGGTAAGAGCTCGAGGTATCAAAGCCACTGTGCTCACTACTCCGAGAAGAGCTGACCCAGCTCTCAGGGCGAGAGACATGGCGGGGGTAGTGGTTGGCGAATGGACCAGATGGGAATGGTGGCATCATAGTCGGATCGAGCAGTCCCTCTAGAGGATTCTTGTTTCCAGCATTGAGTGCTGCCATGAGAGCAGCCTGGAGGATCTGGTTCTGACGCTCCAGATTGGCAACTCGGTCTTCGAGGTAGTGGTCCATCTGAAGTGCCTGGGGGCGGTGACTACTCTGAGACCCCCGAGACCGCTGCGTAGACATGGAGTACTGTGACTGAGGGGATGCAGTCTTCTCCAGATTGGGATGGCTGCGGCTTTGGGGAATCATAGAATGAGCCGAATGGGGATAGCGAGGACGACTGTGGCTGGACATTTGACGTGTATCCATCGTTCGTCCACGGTGAGTTGCCTGGGCGCCTTTCTGTTTTTCGGCTTGGCGACGAGATACTTTGACACCAGCATTGGGACCAAAGACTTCATCATCCGACGAAGGCAGTGGAGACTCAGGACGACTGTCAGGACGACTTTCTTGGTATGAGTCGGGGAAGCTCTCATGGCGAAGACTGCTCCGTGAGCTGTCGCTTCGAGAGATCATTGAGTTGCGGTAAGAACCAGGTGGAGGGGGTCCATCCATGCTTCTCATAGATCGAAGCAGAGCCGCATTAGTTGCAGTGCAGTTGTGCTGGCCAGCTGCGCGGCTAGGAACAGGGGGAGGCGGGTGAGAGGGAGGAGGAGCTGATGGGAGAGAGGCAGTAGGGGGAGGTGATGGCAGACCGAACGGAAGATTCTTTCGACCAACTTGAGAGTTGATCTGCAATCCGTTCAGGATAATACGTTTGCCCTGGGAATTCCCAGGGATAGAGTGTCCCAAGATGGGAGAGTCGGCCAATGGCTGGCCCTTATCGCCTGCATTGGAAGGGCTCTCAGGGAGTTCTTCCATACGAGGGATACGGATACTAGCAGCCCGTCTTCGAGGCGTGCACTGGGCAGGAGACATAGACTTAGAGTAATCTGAGATCGACGAAGTAGAGACACTCTCTTCGTCGTCAGCAATCGAGCCTCCAGCGTCGACATTACCTAAAGCGGTTGCAGGGCGCGATTCCAGGATTTGAGGACTGTCAACAGCAGACTTAGTCTCAGGATCCTCGAGAACAGTCTCTGCTGAGGACTGCTGAGCCAAAGACATTAGCCCCGAACCAGCTGGACGGATACTCAAGCGAGCATTTGCTTGAGGAGGTGCGCTGGGGCCACGTTCAGCCTCGGGCAACGAGGGTAATGGTCTGGTTGGCGCTGGAAGAGGGAATGCCTTGAGCGTGCCCATGGACAACGACGCTGGTCGAGACTTGGCCTGATCTTGTGGAGTTGACTCCTTGGTTGCTTGGGCTTTTCCGACAGATGTCTTTGCCTCAGAGGTCAACTGAGGCGCTGGTGCAAGAGCGCCTGTGCACTTTGGTGCTGCCTCTTTAGCCGGCGTGTCCTTGAATACATCCGATGACTTTCGCGGCTCATTGCTGGAATCGGTACTGCCAGAGGGCTCGACCTGTGAGCCGAGCAAAGAGCTGGACACAGTAATGGGGAGCGTTTGGTACCGTGGCACCGCTGAGGTTCTCCGTGCAGTGATGCTAGATTTGCGAGGTGGTGCAACGTCAGGGAAGAGCTTCAGAGTCGGGGTCGGAGTACGACGAGATTGATCCAAGTCAGACGACTTTCCAGCGGGATAGCGCCTCTGGCTGTCCAGGGAGGGCCGAGGAGAGGACTCTGTGCCAGCTACACTCGGGGGTGCATTGCTTGGTGCATTGCTTGGTGCATTGCTTGTGACTCGCGAAAGAGACTCTGTGTTTTGCGGATTCATTCGAGCACTGGAACCCGCAGAGCTGGATGGTCGATTGATTTGCTCATCAATCGATGGGTTATTGCGACTGTGGCTGGTAGAAGCGAGCGAAGAAGCCGATTGAATGATGGGTTGAGGGGTTGGGTCTAAAGAGTTCGAGTTTGGCACTGCTGAGGACTGAGAAAGGACATTCTCAGATGGTTGATACGGAGGCGGCATCGCGTCGTCGAATTCCGAAGAAAGCGAAACGGCAACATCGACCATTGAGCCAAAGTCATCAAGGTCCAAAGAGGCCAGGCGACGCCGTGTGTCGGTTGGTCGCTTGGTTCCATCGGCTTTCGCCTGTAGCCATGGCTGGCCAATATTTTCGACGTCTTTCTTAGACTTAGAAAGAGTTCGGGATAGACTACTGTCCTTAGAAGTTCGAGGCTCCTTTGGCCCTTTGAGATCTTTTGGTAGAGGGGCCGGGATGAGGTATCCTTCCCTCATCAGTGCATCCATCTGGCGTTGTTGTTCCTCCTGTTTGGATCGAGGCGACGACTCTTTCTTTTGTCGCTGAGCAAACTGGAGGAGGCGACGATGAAATGGTTTCAATTCCTGCTTCGGGTCTGGCTTGTATTCCTTGGATTCCGCTGCAACTGGCAGTGCAGTTGTCGTATCCGACGGACTTGCAGGCGAAGTTGGAGTTGGAGGTGGGGGTTGAGACGGCGTAGAAGGTTGCGCAGGCATGTTCTGTGTTTGAAAGAAGCGAACGAGGTCTACCAAGCTCTCATTTCGGCCAGGTCGCTCAGCTGTGCCCGCAGAGCGAGCTTGATGGCGTGGACCACTTCCATCTCGGGGTCTGGAGGGCACATGCCCAGGTGTTGGCGATACCATGGTAGAGATCCTACGTTTCGATGGCAGGGGATCGGGTCGATAAGTCCGGACAATGGGGCTTGGTGCGACGGCACAGTCATGCGAGGATTCCCAATGCATAGAGAGACGGGGCATCAAATACTGGCTGGCGTTTCAATGCGACTACTCGCGGGTGTCGACATCAGGCTCCCAAAGGGATCAACGGCGACAGCAATGCTATCCTTGCAAGGTCAGAACCGGGGCGATGCCTCGACGTGAGACATGCTCACCTGTGGAAAGGTGAATCGGGGCTCGTGAGGTTATATAACACAAGCCGATATGATCTGTCTCAAGATGACACGAGTATATACAGGGTGCGCCACTATAGAGAAGATCGAGGGTGGCGTATGAGGAGCAATGAGAGCGCAGGAACAAGCGAACAGAAGTCGAACCTGAGACGAGGCAACCGGCAGGGAGAAGAGTTTAATAGAAAGATCCCCAGGTGAGCTGTCGCATCCTTGCTTGGCCGGGGGCAGACCTAGACGATCAAGACGCAGGAGACCCGCCCTCGGAACCTGCAAAGGCACAGTAGTTGAGGTCAAAATGGAACCCGACAAAGAGGTTCTGCATATCATCAGGCATTCCTTCAAAGGGATTCGCCGATGCAAGGTGTGGACCCCAAATCCTGATCAAACACTGGAGTTCGCGATACATGTATATGACACAGCGCTGCACGGTGTTTGCCTTTGTGCCCATTGTTGCATGGAGAATACCTGCTGGCACGGAGTAGACCAATCGAGAATTGAACTGAATTCATTTTGAACCATAGCACAATTGCTTTTTTCCCTCTCCTTTTGCCCTTCAATATGGCAATATGCGGAGGCAAGGGGCCGATTACCGACAGGAGGAGGAGAACGTCAATGATCAATGATGTGGATGTGAGGTGTCCAAGTCGGGAAGAGTTCATGAGAGTTCAGATCGGACTCAGGGATTAGGCGATCATGGCAAACACAGAAGTACTGTACATACAGTAGTGTAGTGTGTAGTGGAGTGGAGGAGGGAAGTGACAGCTCATACGCACAGATCCCCGTACTATCGAACACAGTCTACATGTGGCTTTTTCATCTAAGTTATTTGACAGCTATTCAAATGGCATTCTAAGGTCATAGTCCTGCATACATAACACCTTCACTTCAATTCGCGCTTATATCGGCAATATAGAACAGTCGACTGACTACTGTATCAAGGGCAGACCCCTAGATCTTTAGCTTCCTTGAACAGCCAATGTTCCATAGTAAAGTTTGTCTAGATCCACTCTAAATCATCAATTATTGTGGTCTATCACTTCCTCTCCCCTCTCTCCCCTTGCTGGGGCTATTCTATTTTGGTTAATCTCCGATCCAAACGCTTTTCTGCACAGCTGCGTGTTCTAGAGTTCCATTCAAATTCCACCATGTAAATAGACATGGAAATTTACAGGTAAATATCCACATGGCAACTTCAAGCGAATGGCTGCCAGGCACATATCATAGCAAATATGTCCATAAAGCCACGGTTAGTTCCTAGCCCGGAATCAATCCGACCAGACCATGTATAACATCTAACATGTCATCCCCACTCCGCCGTCAAACGTCTAGAAACTACGGGAAGATGACCCAGCAACATAGCCCAGACTCGTATTGACATTGGCTATTCAAAACTTACATATAGCTATGGCGTCTGTGGCTGTACCATAGCTAGGAAAATGCTGATGTAGTGTAGAAACAAAAGACCTCGCTGACGCCGTGTAATGCTCGAAGTTTCAACTCGGATTCATCACGAGTCGAGTCTATATGGAAAGAAAACCCCGAAGACTCCCTTCGATTTGTGTTTCTTTCTGTGAGATTTCGCGATCGGAGGCGATCTCAAATTTGAGTCGTATACGGATCGGAATGTACGCTCACTTGCGTTTGGGGCGAATGAACGGGTCCGTTTCCTTCCTTTTCCGCATGGGGGGACGGGGCCTTGGACCTAGTTTGGAACCCTAGATGTGATTTAGTATGACAGATCGCAAAGTTAGATACGTTAGATAAATGTCTTACCTCTGCTCTGGGTTCTGTTGGCGGGGCTCTCGGTGGGGGACTCGCGGTCGGGTAAGCCGGGGCATCGCGAGACGGCTTGATGAGACCCTGAGGGATTGTTAGCATCTATGACAGGTTTTCGCTCGATGGATCTCGATGGATTGAGTGCACGGCCAAACTTACTTGCGGTGGTTCATCGGCTCGCGGGCCTTTGGGGGTATTCGGAACAGAGGAAGCATTCTAGAGATTGGTTAATGCGTGTTCGTAAGAAGCGAAGAAAAGCGACTTACCCTTGGTGGGCCTCCGTTTGGACCTTTCGGTGCAGGAATTGGCCCAGAGAGACCTGGATGGCCAGTGGGTCGGCCCTTGGGAGCTTGAACTGGTCTAGAGAGACCTGGATGGCCGGTATTCCGTGGACCGGTGGGGGCATGGGATGGAGGATTCGGTTGTTGTCCAGTTCGAGGACGTTGTGGGTTAGGTCCATCGGAAACAGAATCCATGCGCTTTCGCTTTGCACCTTCAGCAGGTTTGGGAGGAGGGTTCGCAGTAGTAGCCTGGACAACTGGGACATTCGGGTTGTGCCCTCCCATCTGATTCTCTCGTCGACGATCGCCCCTTTCCTTTTTTTGTTGCTGGAGCCTGTACTCTTCTCTAGAAAGGCGATCACGTTCGAACTTCGAGAGACGTGTCATGGACTTGCAGCTGCCGACAGAATGCCCAATTTGGCCGCATTCAAGGCAGAGTTCGGCAGTGCAGAAGACTTTGGTGTGACCGCCCCCTTTGCATCGATAGCAGGTTCCCCGGGCATGCTCCTTTGCTTCGTTATTGTCGCAGTTGAAGGTAAAATGATCCGCGCTTCCACATAGTGCACACATCTTAGTTGTGTCCAAGCCCGTACTTCCCCCAGAGGGTCCGTCGGGCCGTGACACTGGGGGCGAACCGCGGCCAGAAACGGACACCGAAACGGAACGCGAGTCAAGATCAATCGAGGCCGACGAAGGACGAGAGATGGAGCGTACGGAGAGTGCTTCGTCGGGAGTGTCAGGTCGAGTAGCATTGAGTTGAGGTATATCGGGGGTTTGTTCAGCACCAATATCGATCATTTCGACCTCTTTGTAACCTGTAAACTGCGGTTTCTCCAACATCTTCATGATGTTACCCTCGGTGTAAATGTTTCGCTCACGCGCATTGCGGACGAGGCGATTCCAAAATTGACCCTGGATCAAAGCTTGCGAGTTACCCAGAACCCAGAGCGATGACTTGGCACGCGTGAGACCGACGTTCATACGTCGGACGTCAGCCAAGAAACCGATACCTTTGTTGGATGCTCGCACACAAGAGAAGATGATAACCTCACTTTCCCTACCTTGAAAAGCATCGGTCGTATTGAAGTCGACCTTTTTCAGAATGTCTTCTCCGTATCGGTGTACAAATTGATTCTTCATCTCTCTGAGTTGGCCCTTGTAAGGAGTGATGATGCCAACCTTGCCAGAAAAATTGTATTCTTTGACATCAGTGATCAAACGCTCGTAAAGCTGCATCGCTACATGCAACTCTGCCAAGTTGACCAAAGAGCGGCCCTTGGGCACACTTGACTGCATGCCTTGAACGTCAAAAAATCGGTAAGGACTGAGAAGTTCGCTCTGATGCCAAGGGCGACGGCGAAGCTTAGCCATTTCCGGTCCATCCTGTAGCTTGCCTTCGTAGAACGTATCACTGGGGAAAGCACTGATTTCCGGATGCATACGATACTGAATATCGAGCAAATGGACGTCTCTAGGGTGGTTCTGCTGCATACGAACGAACAAACTCTGCTCGTACTGGAACTTGGACGCCATCTTTGACAGGACAGTTGGGGGCAACTGCTTAGGATCACCGACAAGTACACACTTTGAGCAGCCGTACTTGAGGGGAATCAGAGCGCTGAGTTCAATACACTGAGCGGCCTCATCGATGATGACTGTCTCGAACTCGACATTCATACCCTGGAATATTTCATGACCAGACCCACTGAGAGTGGTGCAGATGACATGAGAGCCGTTGATGATCTCTTCTTGGATGCGCCGTTTATGCATATCAGCGTTGCGAGCCAGCGTATGGTTCTGATCGCGAGCCTTGTCAATGGAAGTACTCAGTTGCGATCGCTTCTTCTTCATGAGCTCAAACTCGCGTTCGAGTTCATCTGGTGGAGGCAACCCCTTTGCTCTTGCTTCATCAAGACGTGAGCGAAGTTCCTTGAAGGTGGTATCGGTTTGCTTGTGCTCTTCGTACAGCTTCTGCATGTCGACACCGTTTCCTTTACTGGGGTCCTGGTTCAGACGAGCATTGACGACCTCATCGAGAGTGACATCCAGGACCTTAGTGTTGATCGCATCACTCCGTCCTAGACGAAGGACATTGACCTTTTCTTGGCGACCATCAGCTGTCTTGACGCCTTCTTTCAAACGCATGACCAACTCGTCCACGGCGGCGTTACTAGGCGCACAAAGCAGAAGCTTTTTGGAAAGCGTGTTTCTGGCTGCGGGTCCACCGATGCTCACAGATTGTTTCCCGAGAACATTGGTTAGGAGACTTCCAACAAGTGCGATGATAGTTTTTGTCTTTCCGGAACCGGGAGGACCCTGAATGAGAGTAAATGCATCGTTATCAACAGCTGACTTGATAGCCTTGGCCTGTGCACGATTGATGGTGTAGTTGTCCATGATAGGTTGAAGCCTTGTGTCCGCGTAGTTGAGAATCGGGGAAGGCTTGGCTAGAACAATCTCTTCGCATAAATCGTAGTACTGCAAGGCCATGAGGGCGCCGTATTCACGCTCCACGGGAGTCAAAGATGTGATCTTGGCCGCCCAGGCTTCAGTACCGGGGCCGAAGTTTGCGAGGAATTTGTTGTTTCCAGGGTTGACTCGATATGTGATCTCCAGCTTTGCGTTTTTCCGATTCACACCACAGACACGCGCGAGAACATGAGGCGCAGTGGAGTCCTTTGTAGGCTCGGACACATTGGAAAACAAGACCAGGTCACCTTCTCCGATGCTGAAATCCTTGGGCGGAAGACCAAGTGGCTGGGTGCTGAATTCAATCCATGAGTCCACAGCCAACCGTGTCATCACCTTGACTTGGAAGTTCCTAAAATTGCCCTCTTCCTTCGACTGCTGGAATCCTTGCCACGCCTCGAGGATCAAGAGCGGCTCAAAGGTACTCTGATAGTCACCTGGAGAACGGAAGGAGTTCGAAACAAGGGTGTAGTCCTTTTGGTCCGATGTTGTAGGAAGATCGCCCGTAGCGAAAAAGTCCCACGATAGAATGGAGTGGTGAAGTGAACCCAAGTCTGGAGCCAAGCGTGCTCGCATATCTTTGATAGATCGATGACGCTTGATCTTTTTGACGGGCTGTTGCTGGAGTGATTGCTTTTTGCTTAGTTCATAGGCAGCGACGGCATCCGGCTTCTTTGGTTTGGCACCAAAGAGCTCTGTATCTAATTCATCTTCGCTTTCAGAATCCGATTCAGAACCAGAGGAAACCATCATGCTATCTGCGGGCGCGGTATGGTCTTTACCCTTGATACCAATACCTTTCAGGCCCGATCCTTGCTCAGCAGTGAGCTGAGCAACACCTTGCGCAGGCATACTCCTTTTGAGTCTGGCAAGCTCGGCCATATCTCGCTTCTTCTTTGCCTCCTTCTCGCGTTCCCGCTTCTCACGGAAAGAAAGAACTTGTGTTGCGTCATCTTTGGGACGTGAAGGCACAACAGGCTTGGAAGCATTATCACGGCGTGCCTTGAAAGACATAGAAGACAAGGAGGTCTTGCCCGCCTTCTCAGCGTTCCGATTTGCCTGGGCCGCAAGTCGCGCCTTGTTGATTTCCACAGAAGAAGAGAGTTCAAGAAGGGTTTGGTCGGCTAAGTTATCGTCGAACTCATCATCACTGATGCGAGAGGGGCTCGAGATATCGGAGGGTTTCGCAAAGGAAGTAATGGAGGATTGTTTCTTGAGGGCGGCAGTGGAAGCAGTAACGACTGGCTTCTTGTAGTACGCTTCGAGCGAGCGTACCAGTTCAGCTTTTTCACGTTGTGTGAGGATCGTCTTGATGGCTCCATCAACAGCAACTCCCTCAATAAAGCTCAAGGCATCAGGCTTCACAGTAGTTACGTCCATTGCGCCCAGTCTCCGTAGAAGCTTTGAAACCAACCCTACGAGAGTCGTTGCCAGGTATTCATCCTTTAGCCTGAGCCATTTGACCATGGCACTCATGGTCGTGGTAGGCGACTTCAAAAAGTTTTCAGACATGGACTTTTGTCCAGGATCTGCGTTTGCTACAGCCCCCAAGAATACACCATATTGATCGAACAGGAAGTCGGCAAATTGAATGGTGTCACGACAGAATTCAAGCATGACGGATTTGTCGTTGCCACGCAGATGCCACGCCTCGGTCTCGTCAAAGATCGTGGTCAATGCCAACCACAAATACTCCCATAGTTTCTGCAACGACAGGACCTCTCGGCGATCTGCAAGGTTACGAGTGCGCAGCATACCAGCCTGACTGTCACATAAGATCTCTACAATATCCGTACCAGTGTAAAGCATTCTTGGAGCTGGCGCAAATGTCTTCATGTTGGAAATTCGGCGGAATGACCAGCTGAGACCGTAGACCGTAAGTGTGAAGTCCGTTTGTAGCAGGTGAGAGATGGCGTCTCTTCGGGCTGATTGACCACTGACGTTTTTGATCACGTCGACAGCGGCCTGATAGGTGTCCAAGTCAGCAGCAAACAGGGCAGATATCAAAGCGCTGCTTGTGTCCTGGCTTCGGAATAGCTTCTCCAAATGCTCGTGGGGGAATTCCGATAGACGTTCAATGATCTTGCATGAGAGATGGGTGAGGTGGCCATAGATCATGTTAAAATGTGTCTTCTCTTGGTTTCCTTCTCCTTTCGTAGGGAATTTCTCCAGTCCTACCAGAGGTAGAATTCCCAACAGCGCCGAACTCGACAGCGGCAAGTTGTCCCGGTGGAGATTTTTAATAACAGTGTCCCAAATGGGGGCAGAGTATGTAGACACTCCGTGCGAGAGTGTGTTATGCTTCAGGATGACTTCATAATCCGTCTTCAAAGACTGACACTCCAGTGCCAAGGTATTCCGCACGACATCCATGCACAGGGTGACGATCTCTTCTTGGCGGCTTTCCTCAACATTGAAGATGGGAGGGTTGAGAATCGTAGTGATGTTATCGCTGACCACCCCCATTGTCTCTGCCAGCACGATGCGTGCGACTGAGCCTCGAGAAGCCTCGTTGTCAGTGAAGCGGCGAAGCGTCTGAAGAAGGCAGGTCAAGCCAATGTGGAAACAATGGTATCGAGTGAGGTTGGGAAACTGTGAATCTTGAAGCCGGCAGAGCAGCTGCAGCTCTAAGAACCGACAGGCAGACGGCTGATGGGCGCCCTTCAAAGAGTTGAGGAACGGCGTGATCCAGGAAAGCATGTCTTTCAGTGCGGACCTCTCATAAGGCTCGCCTTCGGTTGTTTCAAGAAGGAAATTATTGAACTGAGTGTTGAAGAATGCCAGCTCCATGATTGCCTGGGGTGATATGGTTTGCATGGCATCCCAGAAGTCGGCTGGGGCTTTTTCGAGGAAAGTCTGGATGGTGTTGAGAAGGAAGCGTAAACCAGTGATAGGCAGAGCAAGGTGTTCCACGGACAGGCGGCAGGGGTCAATTTCCAACCCTCGAAGCTGATGTGTGATTTGCCCTTGGTCTATTTTTTTGACGATAAGCTGCATGCCCCGCCACAATCGTTGAATAGACGTAAACTGAGGCGGTTGTTGCGATGCTGTCCGCAGAGCTTGGAGGATCCCATCACGCATCGCCCAGTCAAATTCCAGGGTGGTTGGAGACCGGGAGTATCGTGTCCAGGCCTGAATAGCCCAGAAACTGCGTTGTGGGTTAATATCGAAGAGAAATTGAGTAACCGCAGGTATATAGTCCGAAACCTTGAGACTTCGCTTGGTCTGGATCAGCTTGAATGGCTCATCAAAGTGCTCCTGCAGGAGGTTTTCTTTGCGCAACATGGCGTCACAACTCAGAGTCTCAAAGATTGACAGCAACGCAGCTCGATCCAAGACATTCAATGAAATGTTTTGTGCTGGAGTTGCTCTGAGCTGTGTGGTCGCTGTGGCCAGATTGCGTGTGATCCTTCTGATGTCCCACTCATCGATAGTGCGGGCAAACGCCTCAATGTCCTCCTCTTGATAGTTCTCCTCCTTCAACTGATCCATAAGCCAAATTTTGCCAGTGTAGTATTCCTTGATGCAAAGATCGCATTTCTCCAGCGTCTCATCGAGTGTGCTCAGAACCCAGTTTTGGAGTTCCTCCACGCCATCGCTGTTGTATGCGAGGATTCTCATGCATGAAAGGAACTTTTGTTTTCGAGTGGTGCTTTCAGTAGCGATGTCCTGGATAGACCTGCCTGACTCGTCCACTCCGTCGAGGTTGTCGTAACGTCCGTAGTCATCTTCATTCTGTCGGGGGCAGAGGAGGTGGGTGCCCTCCGGAAGGGACTTGAGCTCACTGTACAAAGTACCACCTTGTTACTTCCAATTCAATCGCTCCGAAATGGTTGAATCACCTACCTGATTGCATCCACAAACTCCATGACTATGGCAGTCTCGAAATGTGGAAGTGGTTGGATCTAAATGACAGAATCTGGTTCCTTCATCCCAGAAATGCTGCAGTTAATGCATCGTTGTTCAGAAACCGTTTTGCGTGTGAATTTGAGAGACAGTGATCTTCAGAATGTCATACGTCGGCGTGCAAACGAGGGTATCGCAAATCAAGCGGGATAACTAAAAGTGTTGAGGCAAGGTGGTGGTTGCGGCGAAAGGTGAGGCAGCGGAGTAGGGTGCTGAGGAACGATTGGTATGCGATACTCTCTCGGTCCCAGAAGTCAAAGAGTTATGAGGAAGAAGCACCTTGGAGTTTGAAGACAGCAAGTGTTTTGTATGAAGCTCAAGCTGGACACAAAAATCCCGAGGTCAAACGCGTCTAATTGGTTGGTAGTCCAGGCGGTGGAGGTGCTATCTACGCGTGGACGCGCGCCATTTTACCCGAGTAGGAAACACTTTAGAAGTCACTAGTCTTTGAGATCAGGGGACTACTCTGCGTCGTTCATGATTTAGTCTACAACTTTTACACTGTAGTTTAAAATATGGATAAAATAGGCCTTGGAATAACCGCATTAAGTACTTTGCTCACTGAGGGCATTGAATAGAATACATGAATATCATCCCCCAATGCTGGCTAGACCTCCATTTCAGGAGCAAGAAACACAAACAGGAGGAAAAGCCAAAAGATCTTCCAATGAGAAATGACCCCACTGATGGATAACAGTCAACAGGAAACGTTCAAATGCGGGTGTCATGCACTTTTGCAGAGACAGAAACGCTTTTGTACAACGATAGACCAAACAGGTCTCAGTATAGAACATGCAACAAGAGGACATCATTTAAGGGAGTGTATAAATAAAGAAAGGAAAAGAGTAAGATCGGAGTGAGAAGGAACAAACAAGACATGCGCTAAGCCTCCGGCCGAATAAAGTAGTAAACCAAACGCCGGCTTTCTATCAGGGAATATAACACTCAAAAAAGGAAAACACCACAGAATATTGCTCGTCAAAATAGTAATGGTGAGGGAAAATCGCAAAGAGCAGATCAGAATAACCGAGGGGAGAACGTCATCGGATGGGTCGTCAAGGTCAATGCAACGCAATATGCGCTCCTCTAAATCATATTATGTGCAGAAGCATCGTCAGGAGTCCGGAACGGATCTTCAATTTGACGATGGGGTGTATTGGAGGACTCCACTCGAGAGAGCATAGCAGCGGAAGTGAAATCGTTGCTCTGCTCGAAGCTAGGTCGACCCCGTTCGAAGGAATGCCGTGTCCGGTCGTGAGATCGGCGAACATAGTCAACCGACTGTGGTCGCGGGTATTGGTCAAGGCTTGCGGTGTAGTTTGTGCCATTGCTGCCATTTTGACTGCGGGGATTGTGTGTATTCGCAGTAGGGGCCATGGAAGGCGCATAGAAGGGTCGCTCATCATCGGGAACGCCAGTGTCCTGCTTCATGGCGGGCTGAACTGGCTTCACAATCTCTGAAGAAGCTGCCGATCCTTCACTGGGAACCGTGGTCTCGGAAGCGGGGTCTTTCGCTTTAGGGGGCACGGTGGGCATGTCATCCAGCGCATCCAGGTACTTGAACTTGCCCTGTGTCACCTGCTCTCGGATGATATCGACATCAAGCGGGAAGAATACCTTCTGAATGGCGTTGTAAGTGAATCTCGGGAGCAAGGAGATCAGGATAGTAAGCAAAAGCACAATCCAGTAGCTCAAGGCTCCATAGACCTCAGCAGCGCCATGGAAGAATTGGCCTGAGGAGGTGAAAGACGTGTAGATTCCGGTCCACAAGAAGATCAGCAAACTACTGATAACGTTGATCAGAGAAGTGAACCAATCCCATCGGTAGGTATTCATCATGATGTAGAGGTTGCTAGAGAGAACGGCGCATGAAGCGACAAGGATACCGATACGCGCTCTGTCATTGATGTTCCGGCCATCGCCAGTGGCGAAGTTTGCCGGGCTGAACAAGAGGTAAGGCATGAAGAAACAGATGATCGACTGGTACAGGCCATCGGCCATGTACATCCAGAATTTGAGCTGCGACCACTCCTTGCGCTCGATGCCTCTCATGTACAATTGCGGGACAGCGAGGGATACCTTATCATCCACATCTTGGTCGAAGATACCCATAAAGATAACCGGCAAGGAAGTGAACGCAAGGTTGACCAACACAATGTATGTGTAGTCAAACAAGTAGGAACAGTCGAAGTCGTTGTAGATACAGTACCAAAAGAGAGCAAATGTCCACACAAGATTCTGTAGAATAGTTAGCAAGAGAGAATGATCTCGTTTAGATGTTATCACGTACCTTGTAGAAGAAGTTCGCCGTGCATTCTCCGAGACGACGGTAAGACCATCTGCCATGCACCAAGAGGAGGCGTTGGAGATACCGGAACTGACCAATAGCATAATCCGAGGACATGACAGCTTGTCTACCTTCCTCACCAGCAATACCAACACCGACATCGGCTTCTTGAATCATAGCCACATCGTTGGCACCATCGCCAATAGAAAGGGCCATGATGTTGAGGCCATTCTTGACCATGTTGACAACAGCGGCTTTCTGGGCCGGACTGACACGGCAGCACAACACAGCCTTACACTGCTTACACAGCAGAAGGAATTTTTGCTTCAACTCGTCGGACAGCATCAGCTTGAGGGTTTCACCGTCGACAACCACGGCATGCGTAGCTTCCGGCGGGGTATGGTCTGTTCGGGCAGCAAGGAGTTCTTCATCCGAGCCGGTCAAACCAAAGGTTTGCAGATGCTTGTCAAGCTCAGCTGTAGCCTGCTGGAACTCAGTTTCCGCAATGTTAAGCACAATCAATTCCATGTTGTTGTTGAGAAGATTGCATGAGAAGCCAATGTTGATAGCAGTCTCGACCTTGTCACCAGTCAAAACCCAAAGTTTGATACCAGCGTCCGCAAGAAGTTGGATAGTGTCAGGCACGCCATCTTGCAATCGATCTTCAATGGCAGTTCCACCAATGAGCATGAGTTCCTGTTCGATTTCACTGGAAACCTTTTCGAGCTTCTCCTCACGATCAGTGATAGCAGCAGCAGCAATGTCATGGTCCTTGACCCAGCTGTGGTATTCCTCTTCGCTAAGTAGACGGTCGGCAACACATAGGGTTCGGAGTCCTTCTCTGGCGAATTCCTCCAAATGCTCTGCGGTCTGTCGTCTGAGCTCCTGCTGCTTACCACGAGCAAGACGAGAATAGATGATACTATCAGCACCTTTGCAAAACAGGCGGATGGAGCCATCAGGCATTCGGATGATTGCACTCATTCGCTTCCTGGATGAGTTGAACTCAAGCGTGTTCAAAACGGTATAAGTGCGTTCCTCGCCCATAACATTCAGGAGAAGGTCGTCGCCGGCACGCCCCAGCACGGTGAAACCACAGTCCCGAGCGGTGCTGACCAGCGCAGCCTCATCGGGGGACTGAGCCTTGAACTCGATCTGAGGAGGATCACCGGGGGTATGTTCGGTGATGACGGTATGGCACAATGCGAGAGCCAGAAAGAAGTGCTCTGCGGACTGCTTCTGCTGCTCTCCAGATTTCCCTTCCAAATCGGCAACAAATTTGGGAGCAATGAAAGTCAGCTGATCGTCATGCAGGTAAGGATTGTCGTGAATGCGACGTAAGTTTCGAAGCATTTCCTGCCCATCAGCAGCAATTTGTTGCCGGGCCACCGCAGCCTCTGCATCAGCATCGGCTCCCTCACGGCGCCTCATACCGATCTGGGCTTCAGTGTACGCCTCACCGTATGAGACACCATTAATTGTACACTTCTTGAACTCCATAACGTTCTGGGTCAAAGTACCAGTCTTGTCTGAGAAAATGTACTCCACTTGACCGACGTCATCTGAAATGTTCCAAGACTTGGGAACACAGTAGATGCCGAGTCTTTCGTAGTACATGTAGAGATCACTGTGAATGAAGACAGCTTGAATAGTGCGCACAATTTCAAGTGAAATGTATAGCGAAATGGGGACCAAGTTCTGGAACAGAATTACGGCGGTCCAGAACGTGACAATGCCGGTCACAGGGGGTGTACCTCCATATGACTCAAGATCAAAGAAGTCCAAAGACTTGTCTGGCGCTGCCCATGCAATTCCGTTCACGATACCCGAGACAAGACACATGAGGAAGAGAATGATGAAATTGTAAATGACGTTCCAGTTAAGATCCTTGGCCATACGGGGGCGCTTGGCGGGAGTTGCACCGGAGTTAAGCATGATCTTGCTCTCTCCGCCAGTGAAAAGGACAACACCTAGGACCCATTCAGTACTTTTCAAGTTGCAGCCACGGAGCAGGATGTTGTTGATTGTAATCGGCTCAACCATCTCTTTCCGAGGGGCCTCTGGGAAACGCGGGTCACGCTGATCCCAGCGGACAGCGCCATTGTAGGAGTACAAATTGGCATGAGGCGCCTCACTCTCAATCACAAACTCGGCCTTCTCGCAATCTCGAGCGTGTTTGACTTGACGACCACAGTGAAGAGCCTGGCGAACTTTCAGGTTGGTTTCTCCGTCTAGTCCTTTCGTTTCGACGTAACAAGCGCCATCTGGGTCGGATGTAGAGAGAATGACAATATCGGCGGGGATTGGGTCTTCGTTATACAAACGAACAAAATCACCCACTTGCAGACTCTTCCATTGGTCACGCTTGAAACGAGCCTTTCCAGGTGTTTGCTTGGACATGTCCAGTACAGTTCCGTGTTTCTTGTCCGGCAAAGGCTCCATGATGCTCTCGCGGACTGCGCTGTTCGGGGACAAGAATTTATTCTCCGGATTGTTCATCATCGGCCAATCTTCGCGGGCCTCGGGTTGAGGCGACGGAACATCAGTCATTGGAATAGCGACATCTTCCGGGGCCATGGAGTTGCGCTCTGTATAAATTGACGCCCGAGGATCCGCGGTGCTCATGAAGGATTGGCGTCGCTGTCCGTCCTCGTTGTACTCTCCAGATTCCTTTCTTTTGAACTGAGACACGATCCACTTATATGACGAAAGTGTACCTCGGGTACAAGCCTTCTTGACTCGACGCCATAGTCCAATATTGTCTTCGGTCGAGTTGACGTTGTTCCAGTCGACCAGTCTGTAAACAGGGGAGTTGTTTACTTGGTTATCTGACACCGTTCGACCCCAATCTTCAATTGCATCTTTGATAGCCGTCACAACAATAATGACAATCAGAGGAACGGCGTTCAGACCAGGGTTATTGGCACCGAAAATAGGGAAGAACTAGAGCACGTCAGTCAGCTAAACTCCGATAGAATCCAAGAGGGACGGATATGTGGCGTACATTAAGAATAATGACGAACAAGAAGTAAATGTTCGCTATATTGTGGAATTGCAACCAGATGTTGTAGGGGACGAAGGTAAGAGGTGTGTACTTGGCGGTACGGATCTTGTTTCTGGGATAGGTAATTCGCAAGTGGCCATCTTCATCTCGTTCGGACTCTGGAATCGGAATACTGAAGTACACTCTGCGATTCGGTCCATTTTCCGGGTTTTCCTCGCCGTCAGTCGATCCGGCGTTGGTTGAGGCGCTTGTGTTGGTTGATTTTCGCTTTTCCTCTTTCATATCTGACCGCTTATGAAAGCGATCAATAATAGAGACCCGTTTTTTGATTCCTCCATGTCCGGGGGCTCGAGTCGTTGCCCATCTTTGTCGTTTCGTGGGCTTAGACACGTTGCTGCTGACCTCCCGGATATCACCACCTTGCTCATTGTTGTTCTCCCCATTCTCCCCAGGGAAGGATACGGAAGCCATCTAGGCTATTGGTGTGCCCTTTAAGGGCATAAAACTTGACAAAAACCTTTGTTGTCGGCACTGTACAAGCATCCGGTTTGCAGGGCCGGGATCCGATGGCGCCGGGCGCGAAGGGGGATGGTCGGTTTAGCTGTAATCACAGGGTCTGAGCGCTACGAAATCGCACTATCCTATGTCGTAGCAAGAGCCAGAGGGCAAAGTAGCGATGGGCGCGCTTTGAGGGCCAGGCGAGAGATTCGAGGGTTGGTCCAGGCGAGCAGGGTTTCGGCCGATCGAGCTGGGATGAGCCAAGGGCGAGGAGTTAAACGGCACTCCCACGCGGGGCCATTCAAGCAAATACAAAGAGATAGAGCAATGAAGCTAGAGGAATTCTCTCAAGGGGCGTGAGAGGAGAGTGAATGGGCTTGCGAGGATCGTAGTAACGTACTGTTACGGCTTACCAACATGCCTGCTTAGTCACAACATCCCGGCACTCCGACTTGGCACTTTTTTTTTACACGCGTCGACTATTCACACTGCCTCATCTCCTTTTCAGGCACCTTTGTTTCTCGGTCGTTTTATTCGTGCAATTATTTCCATTGGCTTTAGGGCTTACGGTCTACTCGGTACTCGGAGCTGGTGTTGTCCGTAATATTCTAAAATCCAGCCCCGTTCCGTCCAGCCCTTCTAAATTTCTGACAGTGGCAACCGGGACAGGATCATCGGCAACTCGGATGCTGGATCCAGGGAAACAGATCTACCGTATTGCCCCCTTTTGCTAAATGTGCACAACACGGCATTGTGCCTCCCGTTTTCTCCAGTTCTTCACTGTATTGTAAGCTTACCTGCAGATCTAGGCCATTGGTGGCCTATGTTTCTGACCCCGCTTAGTCGTTTATTTCATGCATCTACTGTAGAGATGAGCTGGCCTCTTCTTTTTTGTGCAAGTCGTTTCCCAAGATATATACTCTCGGCAAGATTGTGTAAGATATGAAATACATAATTAAGAGGCATAAAAACAACATAAATTGACTTACGGCTGTAACATACAGGAAATTGCAAGAGGAAGAAGCCCCTAATGATATCACCAAGCGCCGGGGGTCGGGGCATCGAGCCTGAAACCACCAACACGGCACGAGCGTGTTCAGATCCACCTGAGTCAGCTCTCCTTTTCGGGTAAATGATCTGTGACTCGGTCAACTGAGATCTAGAGGTTTAGTGTCACTGTGCTTTTCTTTGTTTGTTTTTAGAAGGCCCGGATGCACCTGGTCTCCTTGTTTCTTGGCATAAGACGCAGTACACTACTACTAGTAGGCTTTTAGTCAGGGGAGAACTGTAGTACTTGTGCTTTTGAGCGGACCCAGGATGATCACTTTACTCGTAGGATTCTCGTGTCCAGAATGGCTTGTCCCCCCTAAACTCGATAACCCCATACGGCCCCATCTAACCCCATAGCTAGTAGTATATCCGATGTCTCACTGGCCATGTTGACAAAGTCTAAGGTACGGACATCTCGAGGCAAGGGTGAGCTCTGACTTTCATACATGACAGCCGCGAACTATAGTGGATCCCTTTGCCGTCTCTTGGGCTAAACTCAATTGCTCCCCCTAATACGCACGCCAGAAATAACAGTTTCAACTCAGGTCGATCAAACACGAGACTGCTTTGGCTAAGTTAACCTTACGGAGTACTATCCGTACACATGCACAGTATAGTGGAGCCTCTTCAAGGGAGTACAGCTATACTAGTGAGCATCCTCCATCCTCTGGAGCTAGCTCTAGGAAATCGGCAATGAGGTGAGAAGCAAAAATAGAGCGGGAAATTTGTTCTCACTTCGGATTGCGTGGATTCTGTGTGGAGACCATTTCAATGGCAATCTACACAGTACATATCTGTGCTCGTATTTACTATACAGTAGTCAGATCACTAGCCGCAGATCGACGTCACACTAGGAACGAAGCAGATCTGGTTCGAGGGATATAGATAGAGCGCCACAAGCAGAACTTGAAGATGACTTCTACAACAGAGATCAAGTTAGTCACTTGAGTCCAGATACTCTTCGACAACCTGTAGATGTAGTTCAATTTGCATTGCTGAGTCAGTGAGCATCATGTGACAGCGCGATACTCCCACGCGCCAACGCGCCATTCTCTGTGGGGCCCCCTCTCCCTCTTTCTTTGTTCATTGCACGATGCGGTCGATTGCTGATTTTTTCAACAAGCCGGCATTCTCGCGGGCAAATAATGCTTCCACACCAGAAACCAAAGGCTCTGACGAACTCGCACCCGAGTCTTCACCCCTCACCGAGCCCTCGTCGTCCATGATTAGCAATCTGTCTCCAGAGTCGGAACAGGAGGCCGAGGCGCAGTTGAATCGCGCGCTGTATCTGTCAGCCCAAGAGAGCTTCTCACAACCGGCTCCATGGCCAAGTTTTCAAAGCACTGAGTCCGCGCCAGTCTCGTCTCTCAATGAAAGTTTTGGCGGGTCTCAGCGCATTGTCAAGGACGGCAAAGAGGTAGTCATCAGTTCCGATGGAGAAGACACGGATTCGATCTGTTCCTTGGACGATCCAGCTAGTCTCTTTGCCCCGATCTCCAAGAAGCCTGAGACTGCCCCGGCATCGGGAACGAACCCGGGGATCAGAAAGATTAAATCGCCGAAGAAGTACAAGCACACAATCGACTCCCTCGTTTACGCTACCGTGGATGACAATGAGATTGAAGCCAACGTCGCTCGGGTGAAGGCCAATTTTACGCAGAATACACCAGATGGCAATGATGGCACGTCCGGCGTTAATAAAGGACTGAATGAAAGTGTCCTAACTTCAGCTCTGGGAGATGACAATGACGACAGTACCGGATTACAACGCCTGTTGGAGGCCGTTAGGAGAACCGAAGCCCTGGACCATGACCGAGCCTGGCGGTTTTTCGACGGCGCCCAAAAGTTGCCTTCGGCTCCAGAATTTCCACAGCACCTTTTCACGAGGGGAACATATCTGGATGAATTTCTTGCAGATCCGGAAGCTCGCGAGCGCCTACTCATGTCAGGGGACTTTATTCAGATGGCTTTACACAAGGGGCTATTGCCAGACGAATTAATTCTGTGGACTTTCCGTTCCAGTTCGTCCCACATCTTGCTCAATTTATGCACAAAGCTTACAATCTGTCAGTCCCCTACGAACGTCGAAACGAAATGAGCAACGTGTACTATCGAATTCTCAAGGTTTGCAAAAGTTCCTATGCTCATTTTCCGCCAAGTCGACTAACCAGAAATATCAGGGCGTTGATGTGGGCCATCTCAGATCACTCATCCGTCCAGCTGATATCGATGACCTCTTTGCGCGACTGGGGGCCAAGTCCCAGTCATTGGATCCTTCCATCGTGGTTACGCCTATTCCGTTACAAGGTAATCTGACCGTCCTACTTGTTCCTCTTTGTCCCACTAATACTTGCCATAGAGGCCAGTCCAGACTCCGGGCTGAAGGACAGCTTCCCTCTCATTTCAATTTTCAAGTTACTCCGAGAAATTACCGACCTGTAAGCACTCCAATACATACCTGCACTTATACCAAGGCTCACAGAATCGCAGACTTGCAGAAGATACCCAAGAGCGAGTCGTGCTCCTCCTACTACGTCTTACGCTTGACTTGTCTTTGACAGCAGACTTCATGATCTCGTCGGAGCTTCAGTGGACCATAAATGTAGTGCTCGACCGGGACAACTTTACTGATATCAATGCGGAAGACATGGTCAGTTTTTGTTTCTCCCATTGCAATATTCTACCTGTCGATGGCTAACGAAAGTAGCTTTCTCGAGTTTCTCAAACTTTCTACAACACAACAACAGATGTCTGCATACAGAGCCGAGTCGTTCACCACATCCTCCCAACATCTCCTTGGTTTGCTCTATTGCGGTGTCGCCTCGCTGTTTCATTTTTACTGAAAATCCCCAACCCGTTGACTGAGCCTCCTGAAGATGTGCTTGATCTCAAACGCATCACGGTTCTCCTGCTTCGCGATAAGTGGTTCCATATAAGACTTTTCAAAGGCAAAGGTGACTATGATTACGGGGAGTTGATTGCTATCACCGCTCTTCTCAATGTTGCAATTGATTCGTCTGTGTTAGATTTGCGATACAGAAAGAACGAAACTGAAAAGGAGTACAATGCTGCCATCGACAAGCTGGCAGCTCAGATCAAGTTAATATTCAGCTCCATCGAGGATTCAGGTGCCTCGCATCTCAAGCGGATGTTAGCCAAAGAAGCTCTGGAGGCCTTGCACTACCGGATTGTTTATTCGGTCCGATCAAAGCCACCACCGAAAAAGACGCTGTTCAAGTCATATGCCAGAGAGAGAGATGGTAACATTCGGAACTTGTTCGGCTCCCCTTCTAATGATACTGGAAAGAGCACGGAGATCACACCAACGGAGTTATCTGCTCCAGTCGGTCAGGTTTTGGGGAATACAGAGATTCCCATCCGTAAGCATGACCAAATCTCATGATTATACTCCGGAATGGACGTGGACCGGAACCTTCCCTGAATTACCCCGAAATGAATTACGACCCTATGAATCCTTAAGAGCGAAGCATGTTTGAAGCATTTTCTACCAAATACCACACAAAGTCAATACAGATATAGAGCAGGCATACCGCTCAAAAGGCTTGAATCATACTCCAGACCATCGTTGTAAACTGTGCAGATAAATCTCCTGTCTATGAAAGCCAAGAGGAAAAAAGAGTATCGGAACTATAACACACGAAATACAGTCACAAAGAGCACGCTTAATCGTAAAACCTCCGGTTCTGGTTCTTTCCGAACAGTGACTGTCGGACCGAAGGAAGAGCATCGTTCTCCAGCAGTCGCAGGCGCTCCTCGAAGCTGTTGTTAATCTCGATCTTGCCGTTTCCACCAACGATAACGACACCACCGGCGCTGCAGGCTGTTAGACCATATTCGTAATCGTAAATCGGATAGGAGGCACTTACGATCCCTCAGGCAAGGGCTCCGATTCGTCCACGGTCACAGTCACTTCCGAGCCAACCTTGTCCTTGTATTCCTTGGCAGCCTCCTCGATAGCCTTCTTAGCAACATCGTAATCCTTCTTACGGGAGCGAATGGCGACCTTATCCTCGTTGAGATAGTATAGGCCCTCAAGGACCAGCCCCTTGAGCATATCCTGGTACTTCTTCTTGTCGTTGGCAGCGACCTTGGAAACCTTCTCGCGGGCGGTCTGGAAGAGCTCATCGAGTAGTTCCTGGCGACCTCCGAGCACGCGGAGACGGGTCTTGTTGGCGAGTGTCGAGCGGGTGATCTGCTGAGACATGGCGGCCTGCTTGAACTTCTTTTCGTAAAGGGTATCGATCGCGGCGGTCTCCTGACGGACAAGCTTAGACTTCTCAATAGCAAACTCCTCATCGGCCTTCAGCTGGATCTCGCGGGCCTTTTCGAGGGCTTCTTGCCGGATGAACGCAGTCATCTTACGGAGCTCACCCGCGACCTGTGGACATCGGTTAGGCTCAAACATTCCGTAAGATACAATAGAAACGCACCTGGTCGTCTGAAAGAGCATGGCTTTGTGACATGTTGGCGGATTGAATGTGACTGTTGATGGAATGACGTGGGGAAGAGGAAAGGATGTTGTGTCCAACTAAGCTTGGACTTGCCTTGGCGTTCCGCATCCAGCCCTCCGCACTCCTCAACCTCCCTTGGATACTCTCAACTTTCAATGTTATACCTTCTAACCATGGCATCTCTACTGCGGTAGTTCTTGGAACCACTTCCTGTCTATTTGGCCAATGCACGATACGCAACATGGGCAATCTAGGTGACTTGTCGCCGGAGGGAAGCGTTGCCGTATGAATACAGATCCAAGATTCATGTACAACAGAGTCAACAGCTGACAAAGATCAGGTCGGTGTCATCGTTGGGCTGATTTCAACTAGCCTCCAGGCGATCGGACTCACCCTGCAGCGCAAGTCGCATTTACTCGAGGACGAGAAGCACCCATATGATGTGCGCAGACCCCCCTACAAGCGCCGACGATGGCAGGTAGGAATGGGAATGTTTGTGATCTCCAATATCGTGGGAAGCACCATTCAGATCACCACTCTGCCACTTCCGGTCCTTTCCACGCTTCAAGCGGTCGGTTCCCCTCCACACGTGGCGGACATCACTTGCTGATCAGAATCACAAACAGTCCGGACTAGTCTTCAATACGATATTCGCGACATTGATCTTGGGTGAACCCTTCACCCGATACTCCCTCGCTGGTACAGTTCTCGTTTGCATAGGCGCATTGTTGATTGCGACATTCGGCGCCATCGGGGAACCGGCACATACCTTGGACCAACTTCTGGAGCTCTTACAACGCAGGCCGTTCCTGTTATGGATGGGTGGAACTACACTTTTGGTGGTGGCTGTATTGGTGGCCTCAAAACTGCTGAAACACTTCCTGCCTTCGTCACGCGCGAAACCCTCGGCTTCTGGGCATTTTGCGCCACACCTACTGCGACTGCAAAGCCGAATGAAGTTGATCCGTGGTATGTCCTATGGTTTTGTCAGCGGTATTCTTTCTGCCCATTCGCTACTTCTGGCTAAGTCGGCGGTGGAACTGCTTGTGCGCACGGTGGTTGACCGTGTAAACCAATTCAACCGTTGGCAGTCATGGGTGATTCTTCTAGGAATGATATTCCTAGCCCTGACACAGCTATTCTATCTTCATCGCGGGCTAAAGCTGTGCAGTACCAGTGTTCTATACCCGTTCGTGTTCTGCATTTACAACATCATCGCCATCATGGATGGACTGATCTACTTCCGGCAAGTGTCTCAGTTGGCCGGCTTTCACGCCGGTCTCATTGCTTTGGGGACAATTGTTCTTCTGGCCGGTGTTTTATGCCTTTCTTGGCGATTGGAAGATATCGATAGTCACGCTGCTGTTAGCGCCTTGGGACCCACGCAGACTGGGCTTGGGCCCGGTATGGGAGTTGTGGAAGAGCACCCGGCATCGCCTCGATTGCTGGACGGCGAGGACGAAGAAGCACACATTGGAGAACGCGAACCCCTTCTCAACGCAAACACAAACACCCGACATCTTTCATATCAACGGGGACGAGCTCCGAGTTTACCGCTAAATCTACATCTTGATCACCCGGACCCTGTGGACCTGAACCCCGCATCTATCTGGGCGGAACTCGACGACTCAGACTATGATTCTGCTGATGGGCAACGTCGTTCTTCGGCAGACCAGCCACACAGCACCAGTGGTAGTGTGACCTTCCATGGTCCACCACCAGGGCTTGCACGACACTCGACCATCGGCGCCACTACGCACGATCGAGGGTGGGGATCTCGCCGAGGCTTGGCATCAGGGCGCGAGAACCAGCGGCGTCGAACTTTGGGTCCTTTCGGTGGGCTTTCTATCACCAAACGCCAACGACGCGCATGGGGCATGCCCAATTCCACGTCTGAACAGCCCCACGGCTACGGATCCATCCAAGAAGTTGTCGGTGATACTCATGGACATGACGACCCCCATTCTCCAACTGTCGGGTCTGGTTTTCTTGCAGGACCGAGCAGAGCGTTGGCTGGGGCCTGGAAATCCGGAATACAATATCTGTCTCGATGGAGCAACCCGCGGGCGGGCACCCAGACCAACTCAGAAGATGAACCCTCGTCTACTCTCCCACGGGCAGGAAATCATCCTCGAGCGCGGCATACTCAACAAATCACCGAACCCGAATCCGATCCAATCTAGCCATAGACTTTCTCGTGGCACTATCCATCATCATCATCTCTCTCTTATCCCAAGTACATTCACCTTCCCTCCAATCTATCCAACCCATGCTTACCTTGTCGCTCATACTCCAACACAATCCGCCCTCGCTACCTTCTATCCGCCATGTACAGTACCTCCTCCCTAGACATAATGAGCCCGATGAGCTCATTCTCCCCTAGTGTTTGAGAAACCTTGTTCTTGATTTCCATTTGAGTTTCGCTTTCCTCTGTCAAGATACTATGATACCACAATTGCTGCTTATATAGCTCCGTATAAATAAATATTGGATGCTGATACACTGTTTGACAACCCCAGTATGATATATATCATTGTATGTTTATGTGTTTATAAAATGGTTGGTCTTCACGTACGGATACATAAACAGCATCAAGTACTGTAACTCTTTTTTTAGATTCAAAATTTTGACAATAATGTCATGTTTCTTTGTCTAGTACACCCATTGCAACATACATAGAACTGAAAAACTAATCGGTTGAAAGACCCAGGCACTGCAAATGTACATGGCTGCCTGCCTTATACACTACAACGCGGGTGATAAACCCCAATTTATATGACCTAATAGGTAAAATACGAAGAATACATTCCAGGGAATAGGATCCGATTTCTCCATACCATACAAGTAACCACCGCAAAGACACCTAGAGTAGTGGACAGACATGATTTGAGATTGGTCAAAATCAGACCAATACGGCATGGACATAAAAAAAAGGAAACACACTTGAGATTAGACAATGAGAAAATAGACATAACAATAACCAGTAAAGGAAAAGTGTGTGAATCAGAAGATAGTGAAAATAAAGACTGGAGAGAAAAAACCACTTCGCCGACAATATTCAATGCACCACGAACACCACCATCCTCCGCCATTGTCTAGGTAGAGGGGGGAAAACAGTAACCAGATTAGCAATGAAGCCCAAATTCTGCTTGCGCTCTCTTTCTCTTTTCATATGTTTTTTAGAAGGGGTTAGTTTTTCTTTTTCTTCGAAAGCCATGGTTCTCAACAAGTTGTTTTTTGTTTTTCCTTTTCCCGGAAGGCGATGTTGAAAGGAAACCAGATCCAGTATCATCAAAGGAGGACTGGATGGGACCAGGTGTTTGACAATACACAAATGGTTCAATGCGAGAGCCCTGGAAGGATGCAGAGATCATTTCCGAGGGGAGAGTGGGATGACGGATCAGCATAGAGGGAGACGGGTATCAAATGAACGCGAGAGATCGAGGCGCAGAGAGGAAAAGAACACAAGAGAAGAACGTGCAACATTTGGAACTTGGACCCGAAATGGGCCGACAGATCAGATCATAAAATTTAAGCAGTGGGTTGGTGCTGCGGGGGCATGCGGCCTCCGACGGGCATGGGGTACTGGCCACCAGCCTGCTGTTGCTGCTGCTGGAGGTTCTGGTAGTAGGCCATCTGCTGCTGCTGCTCGTTGGTCATGTAACCAGGGTGCATGCCGGGGCGCATGTTGCCCTGGGGAGCGTTGACATTGTTGTGAGCCACGTCCTCGGGAGCCTCGGGGGCGACATCGGGGGCGTCGACGCCATTCTCGCTAGCGGCGGGGTCTGGGGCGTTCAGACATGCCTGTATCAGATTAGTAAATGCATGAGAAGATCCATTGAAGCAAACAGTAGCTTACCTGGATGAGGTTCTTGCCCTCGGCCTTGGTGACCAAAGGCTGAAGCTTCGGGGTGGTGAAAGTGTAAACGAGTCCGGTTTCGGAGACGACCAGGAGAAGCACCTGAGTGCCGGTGAGGACAGAAAGCTCGTATGCCTAAAGTAAGGCAAGGTGGTTAGTGGACGTGTTCAACGTGCCAAGTCTCATACTTCGAATGTAAACGAAGTATAGCGACCTCGGGAGAGCCTCGGGATCTCTACAACGCGTACCTTCTTCATAATACCAGCCTTGCGCTTAGAGAACGTGATGTGTCGACGCGACTTATCCTGAATGAACTTGATCTCAATCTTGCGACGCTCACGACCAGGCTTGTCATCGTCGTCGTCCTCATCGTCGGCGCTCATGCGGTTGCGCTTGGTGCCACGCTCAGGGCCGGCCTGGAGGTCATCATGGCCAGGAGAGAGCTTTTCATCAAGAACAGCAGACATATTGAGAGTAAATGAACAAAAAGGTGGAATATGGGGGGGGGGGATACCGAAAGGGGAGAAGATGACCCAATCGAGTAACGCGTTATGGGAGAAAGAAAGGGAATGGGGGAAGGGGAGCGAAGAAGGCAAAGTGCGAGTTGCGAGAGGCAGGCGGTCTGTCACGTGTGCGGCTGGTACGGGTACAGATGGCCTCGGGGTGGGTACTTGGATTCTGGTGAGGATTTCTAACACAAGGAAGTACCACCCCCTCCATTCAGTGATATTACACCGTACGGTTTTGTCACAGACCCAGCACGAGGCTTGGCACGAGGCGCTAATTGGTCACTTTGAACGCTGATTGGCTGCCGGTAGTCCGTTTCCCCCGGTCTGGACTCAAGTATAAGTTGAGTCTAAGTTACTGTAGGGAGTATTCGATAGAGTGTATAGAGTATAGAGTGGATGAATAGATGGTGTAGAAGTAAAGTGAGGTTCTATTTCTATACATTCTTTCTTGGGAGTGTCTGATTGGCTGATCTTTATACCGGCCAAAGAGCTGAAATGATCGCCACTCACTTCCTTCACACTACACTACAGTCACTGCAGTACAAAGTACACTACAGAATGTCAGGTCTTATATCAATATCAGTTACACAGCGCGAGTCACACCTGGAATGGGTCTGGCCTCATTCCATGCCCGCATGCATAGGGCCCCTCTATCATTCCGTTCTGGTTTCGGCCATAGGGACCGATCTCACATTCATCAGCTGAGTGTGCCCTATAGGAGCTGACGGGGGACATACTAGGCGAGTCTCGGCCCCGACTCTAAACACCCGGCGAATAAGGCCTAAATGATTTCCCCTTGCACATTAGAATTTAAACCCCCTGATATGCAGTGTCTCAGGATTACATTGGAAGATTTTTTTTTTTTTTTAAAAAAAAAAAAACATAAAGAGAGTACATATTCCCCTGGACAGGGGGAGGAGACTCGAAACCCCGACGGACTTTCTATTTTTGCTGACTTCTTATGTGCGCTAAATAGCCACAATTCAGAGCCCTCAGCTCCATTCTCATACTCCACCGGCAACAAACACCAAAACCACTTCGGCGCCCACAGTTCGTGTCCAAGACCTTCCGAACCCACATGGGAAATAAAGCAACCAAAGCCGATCATCCGCGGCCCGATCCGTGAGGCCCTAGACCTGATGCAGAGAAGTCCGATACGAAAGGGTATATTGAAATGACGGAAACTGATCATATTCTTCACATAATGAACAAAGGTTCAACGCTAATCACCAACGTAGACCGCAACGCGGGGCTGCAGTCAAGTCTATTTTTACAGAAAAGATGCAAGGCAGGATGGAGTGGCTTCTCCCCGGAAGCGCACTGAAAGACGAGATGGAAACAAGGAAAGACATATAAGAGGGCCAGAGTGGTCGGAGGTGATCAACCTCCGCCTGGGGAGAAATAATAGAGAAAGAGGGGGGGGGGAGCACAAGCCGCAGAACATTTCAAAATGAGATACACCGTGAGGATATTGGAAGCAAGGCCACTTCCTGCACCGTATTGGACTCCGCCGATGCAATGCCGGATAAATGAATAAGAAACTGAAAGACGCGGAGGCCAAGTCACGATTGCTAGTCTCATCCGGAAAAGAAATAGGCTGTTGGCCGATGCAATGTCTTGGGCTGGTGTCGTGACAGAGGCGTATAAGGGTTTAGAAAAATAAAGGAAAAAAAAAACCGAATCATGTGCAAAGAAGTGAAGAGAGTGTACGACCAACAGTCCCAAGGACCAGCCTCAAGTGGAAGCGGAGCAATTTTATTGCTGGTAGGTGCCGCGAATGAAATGGTCACTGAGACCACCACCACCGCCGCCCTTGGGACCGAGCCATACGATCTCAATTACACTGTGGCCCTCGTCTTCCTCGCGGACGTAGAACTGGTGCACATTGTCACCAACAACAAAGGCATCACGAAGCAACCAGCGGTCCTTCGAGATACCCTCTTCCTCAGCGGGTCGGAGAGGACCCAGGCGGTCTTCATAACCACGGGGATCTTCGGGCCATGTCTTCTCGGTGGCATCAAAGTTGATGGCATCGTCAGGGACGGACTCATCGTAGGTGTACTTGACCAGAGAGTATCCATTGGTCATAACCCAGAAGTGACGGAGAGTCTCGCCAGTGGCACTGTTGATCGTTTCTTCCTGGTCGAAGACCCAGCGACGAAGAACCGACTTGCGGCCAGCAGCAGCAGAGACGGTGGTCATCTTGACCACGTCCTTGGTGTACCAACTGTTCCAGTGGTGCATGGATTCGATCTTTCGACCGGACTCGTAGACACCGTCGACGGGATCGCCCATATCCATCTGGAAGAGCGAAGGCCACAGAGTCAGAGGGGTGTCACCGAAGCGCTGAATGCACTGGCCGAGCTTCTGGTCACCAGGCTGCTCACCCCAGGACTGGCACTCCTCGTAGTACTTCATAAGGACGTCGAGCAGGGGCTTCGAGACGAACACACCGGCACCACCGAAAGCGATGTGGCCGAAGGTGTCCACCTGCCAGCTGGCCTCGGACAGAGATCCAATATAGTGCTTCTTCTTCTCGTCGAAGAGCTTGAGCTCCTCGGCGATAGTGGGAAGCGACAGGAAGAAGGTATCGTCATCGCTGAATCCAACCCAGGTGGTGTGGGGGCGGTGCTTGCGAATGTGCTCCGTGAAGGCCTCAACCATACCGAAGTAACGGGCAGTGAAGTCCAGGGGAGAGGCGATGAGAGTCAGGTCCAGACCACGGTTGCGGAAGTAGGTCTCCTGCTTTTCTAGATCATCATCGGACTCGGGAACCAAAACGATCAGACCGGCCTTGGTGTTTCCGTAAGAGTAGAGCAGAGAGGGGAGCAGGCGGTCCAGACGGTCGACGGTAGTGGCCAGACCAAACAGAAGCTTGGAGGTTTCCTCGACATCGTCATCGGCGGCCACATCCACTTCGATGATCTCGGGGCAGACAAAGTTCTCCTCCTTGTTTTCGGGAGACACGACCATACCGCGCTCCATGACAACCATGGGCGGGAGAACAGGCTTCTCAATCTCCTCCAGGGTGTGGAATTCGGTGCGAGGGTTCACGTGGCGAGGACGGAAGTAGGCGCGGGTGTAGTTCTTGCGAGGGAGCCATTCAGGGAAGGGCAGGGGAGCGGCCAGGTTGGGGTCGACCTCACACGTGCTACCAGTCTGTTGAGATTCCGGTTGTGTGGATGTTTGGGCTTGAGGTTGCTTGTTGCTAGCGAGACCGGCCCGATCTATGGGGTGCTTAAACCGGAGGAAGGCTGACCGGTCATAACGTTCCATGCAGAAGAAGAAGATTCCAATTGTCACCAAAGCGAGCAACGGGAATACCGTCTTCAGCCGGAAGAGAGGCATATTGGCGGATCCGGTGCTTGAAGACTTCTCGAACATGTAAAGGACAAGCGGCGGATCGAACGAATCGAGGAGTTCGAGTAGAATTAGAAGTTATGGAGTTGTAGGGTTCGTATGCCGTCGTGCAGCAAAGCCGTGAAGAATGCGACACCGATACCCAGCAGGAAATAGGGCCAAATAAACGAGTGTTCCAACAGTGGATATAATGAGTGGCAGGCAAGTCTAGTGCCGATAGGTAACGAGAGGCTGGCAGCGTCGGGGCCCGCGACACGGATCCAAGGGGGACTTTAGAAAGGGGAGGCGAAGAGCAGGCTATCAAAGAAGAAACAACGCGGCTGGGCAATGCCAGACCAGAACAGTAGAGTGTCGTGAAGGTGTTGAAAGAGAAGAAGAAAAGGGAGGGCGGCCGAAAGTAATTAAACGGGAATGTCTGTGTATGGTAATACGGTAATTTATACATGATATCGTATACTTCACTTCACTTCACTTCGGCTTCACTTCTACAACCTGCTTTTTAATACAACTACATTACCATTCTGTATTGATATCTCCTGCTTGCGGGTAACCCTTGATCCGACCTCACTATCTATCCTTCCCTGTGCGTCTTTTGTATCTGTCGACTCCGATGCGTCGATCATGACGGAAAAAGGAATGTTGGCGACTCGGAGGGATAACCCCAAACCGACGATCAGTTGGAACACAGTATTTCCGTTCACAATCTGCTTGTCAAACACGCACCCAGTGGCAGGACTGTTACAAAACAGATGGTTCTCCCAGATCACAACCATCCAGGGACAAGATGGCCGTTTGCGGATTCCGGATGTGGTGGCATCACCTGTCGATCACGGATAATTCCATCGGAGTATCTCCCGCGATAATTACAGTAAAGGTGAAGTCTGTGAGGTCGAGGAAAACGAGCCGAGAAAGCCTTTGAGCCCTAAGGAGTAGATCGCGATCTCGATACGCCATGTCTCTTGCCGTCGGCATATAACACCTATACTACGGAGCCCACACTAAGATCCTAGTTCATCTCCATACACCGTCTCCTTTTCCTAGGAAAATATAAGCGAGCACAAAACACGCAAAGTTCGACAGCTCATCATGATGAGAGAACATTACTATAAACCACGTCACCATAGAGTATATTGTGCCTGTACGGAGTATAAAATTAAGGAATAAGGTCGGCGCTAGGACCAAGTAGGTAAAGTACTTAGTACTCCGTAAGAGTTGAATAAAGTCCCTGTAAAGAAGTGTAAGGTAATGAGGACAACTATGTGTAAAGGCTGGAAATGACTGAGGACGATCGACCTGGCGCTCAGCCGCGTCAACCAGTCACAACCGCCCGGAGGGGGGGGGCAAATGAGACCACGCCCCCCACGGACACGCGTCCCCGTTATACTTTTCGTACTGTATTCTAAGTGATAACAAATTTATAAGTATAAGCAATTATTCAATGAGGCGTAGAGAATATACCTGGCCTTGCATCTTTATGCATATCTTTTAAAAGCAAGCTCTGCATGCTGTACTGTATTCCAGTGGCGACGACATAGCCATGGACTTCCTCACAGGTGGGTCGCGATCGACAAGTGAACCATTTGAAGCACAATCGCCCTTGGCTCAGGCCCTGTGTGTGAGGCTGCGAAGGCTTTTGCGAATTACGCGCGTCATCGTTCTATATATATTAATGCCGGAGGCTGCAAAGCTGACTGTATATTGTTTCATGTGTACCGCAACACCTGCACAGTGGGGAAGATGTCCAGACCATGGCCAAGGCATCGACGTTAAGCGAAACATAATTTTAATCTTAACCCGGGGCTTGGACACGTTGTAGTAAAAGTACAGTTATGGGATATGATATAGATCGTGGGTCACCGATACTCCCAAAACAAGAGTAAAACCAAGGAAATTGGTCTACGAATTAGCACCCTGCGATTGCGCTACAGGGGACCAATGCAAAGACTGCCAACGCTTTAAGCTTGAATGGTCGGGCCTCTTGGCGTGTAAAAGGGGGAACCCTGGTAATTGGTGTATCTTTTTTACGGACCCTGAAATTTCTAGAAAACGGCGTGGATGTGGACCCACTGCCCCTGATCGCCGTTCAGGAAGTCTGAGATTGCCATCGGAGCATTCTACAGACCTATCGAGGGATAACCGTAAGATATAGATGTGAAAGGAATGTAGACACTGTATATAATATAGCAAAATCCATGTATCTCAAACATTTCTATCCCCGAAGAAGCCGTAATTTCAATCTATACTAGTGACACAATCGCCATCCTGTATGGCTACAGCACGCTAGATGTAATCTTACAGGGCCTTTCTAACCGTCTTGGGCTTCCTGAGCATTGATTGCACTGCGGCACATGGGCTGCAGTTCTGCAGCTGTATAGGAACCCCGGTCTACTCCGTACCTGTACATTGGGGCAGATGACTTAGTGTTTCAAGTCTTGTTTCAAGTTTCAAGTTTCAACAGTCATGTCTAAATGTTGTTCAGACGTCACTCTACAACCCTACAGTATGGAACTGACGAGAGACATGGAATAGGGGTCCCATCTCTACCTCCCTTACCGAAGTGGAGCTGACTTGACACTAATTTCTACTTGATTTAGACAGATAACGTTGAGATCCATTGAATCACGTGAGGGGGTGTATACAGCCCTTACTCCGTACATCTTTACTTGTATATGAACATTTCTAAGTCACCTCACTCCAACACGAACATAAAGAGGGAAAATGAGAGGGCTAAAGTAGGGCCAAAGCAATATTCAAACCTGTACTCCGTATACTCCGAGGTCATCGCTTAGAATGGGTCGAATACTCCCTCACTGGCAATATATAACCCTTGATGTTCCCTGTGTTCTTCATTAAATTCCAATCATTATTTCTAAGAATCTTCAGTGGCGCCTGTCGTACAACCACAGCCATGTCGACTACATTTGCTTTTTCTCTGGGCACGGCAACTTGGACTTGCGACAATCAAACACAGTCGGTGACCAGTGGCCGCCCTTGTCTCCCTTCCAAAGTCGACTGAGATAAATCTGCAGGTTGCAGAATCCTAATTGGCTGCCAAACCCTTCAAGATCTACCAGTGGCCGCGGTTTGATCCCTAATATGCGGGGGATAGACTTTCCCAGCATCCACTCGAACCAAATCACAGAGTTGTGCAAGATCACTGCAGCTATTGATTGGTTTATGTGCCAAGGTGCTCTATAGGTCGCTCGGGTCGCTGTTCCTTTTCCTTTTCTTTTTTGTTTTGATTTGTGTGTGAAGCGATAGCAGACGAATAACTATTAACTGCTCATGTACGAGTCATGCAGTGCACTTGCTCGCCTGAAAAGATGAAAGAAATGTCACCGACTTGCGTTCGCCGAGAAAAATATTTACGGAGATTCCCGGCTAGGTTATATACCAACCCAACATCGCGCTCACTGATCACTCGAAACATATATCCTTTCTCATTTCAGAATGGAAAACCCGCTGAGCTCAAACCGTCCTATCCGTGTGGTTATCATCGGGGCCGGAGCTAGTGGCCTGCTGATGGCTTACAAGCTGCAACGAAATTTTGATGACCTTGAGTTTCAAATCTATGAAAAGAACCCCGATGTTGGTGGAACATGGTATGAAAACAGATATCCTGGATGCGCCTGTGATGTTCCGTCCCACACCTATGTCTGGTCGTTTGATCCCCATCCTACATGGTCTAGCACATACGCCTCTTCCAAGGAGATATTCGACTATTTCAAACGGTTCCAATTTCGCTTTAATCTCAGCGAGAAAACAAAAGTTGGACATCAAGTAATTGGAGCAAAGTGGAACGAGTCGTCCGCCAAATGGAATATTGATATCAAAAACAATGCAGAGAACTCTGTAGTTCATGATTCATGCGATGTTTTGGTCAACGCGGGTGGTATCCTCAATACTTGGAGGTGGCCAGCCATACCTGGACTTCACGACTTCAAAGGAAAGCTTGTACACAGTGCGGCGTGGGATGAGACTCTCGATTTGACGAATAAGCATGTGGGATTGATTGGAAATGGGTGAGTTTACCTCAAGTACACCACGCGATAAATTTAACTAAAAAGCACTTGATACAGATCATCTGGGATACAAATTCTTCCGGCTATCCTGCCGCATATTTCCAAATGTACGACTTTTATTAGAGAGCCTTCTTGGATAGCGATGGCTGGCTTTGCCGGTTTCCAGCCACGAAACTTCACTAGGGAAGAAAAGGCGAAGTTTGCGAATGACCCAAATGCACACAAAGCATTCCGGCACTGGTTGGAGCATAATGCCAACAAGATATTCCCTCTCTTCCTTGCGTCTTCACCGCAACAGACCAGTGCTCATGCGAACTTCAAGTCTTCCATGGAGACTGCACTGCAAGATCCAAATTTGGCAGAGAAACTTATTCCAAACTGGGCTGTTGGCTGCCGAAGACTAACTCCTGGGACTGGATATCTGAAGTCTCTCACAGACCAGAAGACACAGGTGGTCTATGGTGATATTGCAAAGATCTCGCAACACGGTTGCGTGACTAGTGATGGCAAAGAGTACCCCGTGGATGTCCTTATCTGTGCGGTGAGTGGCTTGTTCGAGAAAGGTGAAGAAGACAAAGCTCTAATAATTGTTATACATAGACTGGATTTGACACAACATTCAAGCCACGCTTTCCCTTGGTTGGCCCACATGGACGCCAATTGTCTGATGACTGGAAGGATGAGCCACGAGGTTATTTCGGCGTTGCAGCATCAGGATACCCTAATTACTACATGTTCCTGGGACCTAATAGTCCAATAGGTAATGGTCCAGTTCTATCGGGAATTGAGGGTATGCTCATCGAAACATTTGTTTCCCATCAAGGTTCTTATGCTAATGACTACTTCAAAACTCATAGCACAAGCGGACTTCATCTGCAAACACATCACCCGCATTCAACAACAAGGAATCAAATCAATCGAAATAACCAAGGAAGCAGTAGACGATTTCATCGCGTTCAAAGATGAATACATGAAGCACACAGTGTGGCACGAAGATTGTCGATCCTGGTACAAGGGAAACAGCGTCGATGGCAAGATAGTGGCCCTGTGGCCCGGCAGTACATTGCACTTTATGGAAGCCCTGGACGAAGTTCGATGGGATGATTTCCACGTGAAATACTTTGGCAATCGGTTCAACTATTTTGGAAATGGCCTGACAAAGATTGAGATGACACCGGATGCAGATTTGGCCAGTTATATTCGGAAATCTGATGACGCTGAGATCATTGGGTCTAAGTTTACTTACGTGAAGATTGGCCCTGAGTGCTCAGAAGAATGGGATACGACTTCATTGGCTGGCACGAAGGCGAATCTTTAGGTCTATTTAGATGAGAGCGGGTTATATCTCGGAGGTTCTATTTCGACACTGGTATATAACTCAAATTGTTAAATTGCTGCATGTTTCTATTACCGAATGCATGTTCTTTGCACACATCCCGCACGGTGCGCTCACATAGCCGATTCAGCAGTGGCAGTGAATGCGTGTACACTTCCTCGTGGTTGGAAGCTCGTTGGGCTTCTATTTCCAATCCTGGCACTGGCCACTGTCTCTTCATCGGAAATGTATCCCCAGCCACCACCTCCAGGGCTTAAAAACAAGTTTGTCAGTAATTTTCTTGATCATTTAGAATAAGAGACACTTACGTGGGGATAAGAATCCGCTCTTCTGGCTGCGCTTGAAGCTCCATCTTACCACCGATATTGATCGTTCTCTTTGTTCCATCAAGCTCTTTCTTCACATACAGGTTCAAACCTGCCTGACCCGACTCACCACCCTCCAGTCCATACGGCCGATAAACCCGCCGCTCACTGAGCATAGAAACCGAAAGAGGCATGCGAAACTCCAGCTCGCGGACAATACCATCTCCACCACGGAAACGACCCTTTCCACCAGACCCATTCCGAATCTCAAACCTGCGCAGAATAACAAGATACCGCAACTCGTAGACCTCTGCATCTGTGATTTGTGTGTTTGTCATGTGGACATGGACACCTGAAGTGCCATTCCAAGATGGTCCAGCACCTGATCCACCACAGATGGTCTCGCCAACACCGAAACCTGGTGCTTCAATACCAGTCTTGGGATCGACGCCTCCCATGCCAAAGGATATGATATTGCAGTAGCCCTGAGATGCAGCGCAAGCATGGAAAGCACCAAGCACAACGTCCGTAATGCGCTGCGAGGTGATTGGGTTGCCAGCACAGACGGCCGCATGACCAGATGGGTTCAGCAGGGTACCTGATGGAATGATCACATTGACGGGAGCGAGACAACCCTGGTTGAGCGGAATGTCTACATCAATCAGTGCCCGAAGACTTTAAATGATAGCCGAATGGGCAATGGCTTTGGGCGCATTGAGACAGTTGAAAGTCTCTTGACCAGTTCCTGTGAAATCAAAATCGGCAGACCCAGTCTCAGAATCAATACAGATTTCCAATTTGATATTTGTACCATCATCCATGAAATCAGAGGATCGAAGAGGCTTCCCTGGGTTCTTGCGGCCAATAGACTTGAGAAGCTCACGGACAGCAACCTCAGCATTGCGTTTGATTGCGTCCATGTAGAAGTGAACCACTTCTAAAGTATTCTCAGCCACCAGAGCCTCTAGCAGCTGTGCACCCTTGTGATTTGCTGCGATAGCAGCCTTCAGATCCGAGACGTTGTCATTATATGTTCGTGTACCACTGCAGCTAGGGTATGAGGCAGGTTCATTATAGAGGAACTTGCGGACAATTTCCTCCCCAAAGCGGTCCTCTGATACAACCTTGAATCCCATGGTCATGGCACCTTCTTCATACAGCATCTTGCTGTTTGAAGGCATTGAACCTGGGGCTATGCCACCGATTTCAGCTAGTGATTGTTAGATTGGACCACTGGACCGGAGCAGAAGAATCAAACTTACCGTGATGACCCCGAGGGGCAACATAGAACACAATTCGCTTGCCCTCGTGGTTCCAGACTGGAGTGATGATGGTAATATCAGGGAGATGGGTACCGCCAGCAAGAGGATGATTGGTCAGAATGTGATCTCCTGGTTTCAAACTGTCTCCATACTGTTCATGCTGATATCGGACAGCATATTCCATGCCTGAATGCATTGTTAACTCGGGGCCCTTCTAAAGAGGATTCCAAGAGGGTTCAACTTACTACCAAGATGCACCGGCACGTTGGGCGCATTCGCAACCAACTTTCCATCAGGAGAGAACACTGCACAGGAAAAGTCTAGCCTCTCCTTGATATTTGTTGATACTAAAGTCTTTTGGAACATACGGCTCATCTGATCAGCCACAGACATGAACCGGTGACCAAACATGCTCAATCTGATAGGATCGACGACTGTTGCGTCGGCAGTCTGCTTTTTCGAAGACTCGACATGCAAGATTACATGCCGCGACAGGATTGTGGCTTTAGACTTTGGCCCAACGACGATTGTCTGTGTATTGTCGATAATCGTCGCAGGCCCTTTGATAACGTATCCTGGTTGCAAGTTGTTCAGGAAAAAGACTGGCGTGGTGATCTCGCCGACGCCAGAATAGTACACGGAAGATGAATCATCCTGTTTCTCGGAGTCAATAGACTGTGTCGTCACCGATTTGAGCTCTTGCGGAGGCGTCTCTGGCGCAATCGAGGTTGCCTTTCCAACACCACGGACCCGAATATCTTCAACAAGAATGTTGCGGCCCGGGAAAGTGAAAGAGAACTCGCGTTCGTGCTCCTTGCTGAACTCGGCAATGAAGCCCTCATGCTCAGGCTCGAGCACCATCAGCAAGTTATCAGTTCCTTGGTATCGGAGATTGAGATAGACTTCATACTGAATCTGAGTTTCCACAATACCGTCGGCGACCAAGGCGGTAGTCACCTTGGACTTCAACGCAGCAATACGCCCGATGTCAGTAAGATCATCCGAAGCGACTACAACGTGCCGCTTTATGCGAGATTGGGCATTGAGTCCATAGCTGCTTGGCAGTCATGGTCAATGTTCCGTGGGCTCTATCATGCCCCCGGATGGATTCTTAGCGCAGCGAACCTATCTATACCGTTTGTGGAGGGGTCAATCGAGACGTGCAAAAAGCTGGGAGTGCAAGGCCTTCAGAGACTCACACCGGAACATATCCGTTCGCGATTTTCGGTTGTAACGGGCAAGCTGGATGGCTGGAATATCAACGTGTGGAACCCAACTGCTGGATGGGCAGATGCCGGCAAAGCATTGGAGCAGATGGCAAATGCTGCGCAGGAAGCCGGAGTCGAGTATATGTCGGGGGATACAAAGGGACACGTACGACAGTTGATCCTGGATGAGATCGGGGAGTGCAAAGGAGTCATCACAGCAGACGGCACGAAGCACGAGGCAGACAGAGTGATCCTGGCAACGGGGGCATGGACACCTTCACTACTAGACGTCAAGGGCCAGCTGATAGCCAAGGGCCACAGTGTCGCCCATATTCAACTTACCCCTGCTGAAACCGAACACTATGCCACGTTTACGATCATGGACAACCTCGAGCTGGGATACTTCTTCCCCCCGACCAGAGACGGAATCTTCAAGATGGCGCACAGTCAATTTATTACCAACACCCAAGTCACACACTCTGGGATCACTACTTCCGTTCCCCATACGTTCGTCCAGTCGCCCGCAGACGGACTTCCTCTCGAGATCGAAGCTCAAATGCGCCGGAATCTGCGACGTGTGCTTCCCGAGCTAGCAGATCGACCTTTTTCCTATACACGCTTGTGCTGGGATTCTGATACAGCCGATCGCCATTTCCTCGTCACGCCTCATCCATCACACAAGCAACTCTTCCTAGCCACTGGAGGCTCAGCTCATGGATTCAAGTTCCTTCCAGTGATTGGAAAATATGTAGCAGATCTGCTTGAGGGGACACTTGACCCGGACATTATATCGCAATGGCATTGGCGTGCTGGACGGAAAGTGACGGCTAAAGACCTTGCACATCTAGATCCTGAAATGGAACTGAGCGATCTTACGGGATAGAAAGGTCGACAGGCACAGGCACGGGAAAATAGTATTGCTTCTAGACTGCGAGGTATTTCTTGAACAATTGATGTTACTAGATGAATCCATCTGGACATAAATTTACTTTGTTAGCACATATACAACAGGTGCCTACGTCAAGCTGAGCTTCCATCCACCCAACATGACCATAGCGTGCTCCCATACAAAACGAGATCCCTGCAAAGGATCTTTCTCTCTTTCCGGATTGGATCTCCGGCGTTTTCTTTCGTCTTGTACAGCTAGATCACGCTGTCGCCAGACCATCTCGATAACTTCAACTGCAGGGGCAATGTTCTAAGAAGTAGGTCCAGGTCAGTACATGCACAACAGGCAAAGCGCAAGAAACTTACTCCGAAACGACGAATCGCGTTGAGTTCCTCAAATAATTGTAGAACAATGACCTTGTCTTCCTCGTCGCGTCGCGAGCACAGCAGCCCGCCAAGAAGAGAGGCCATAACGGCAAGACCGCAGTACGCACCATGCTCGCCTTCTTCTCCAGAATTAAGCCCAATATTCGTTTGACACAAGTATTCTTTTCCTCCACGTCAAGCAAGTGAAAGTATAGGGCTCTTGGAACTGGCAGACTTGGTAGAACAAATCTCGTACAAGAAAAAAAGCGCCCCAAGTCTGTTGGCCTCTGCGATGGCGACGCATTCCGTAGTAGGATCAATATGCTCCGCAGGCAGCCTCTGGGGCAGATTATCTAAATTTGCCTTTAGTTGATAGACACCTTTGCGACTGATCTCATCCGGGCCATCTTGTGTCCAAGCTAGTTCTGCCACCTGATCGATCATCAAAAGGAGAGCCGGGCTAAAACCCACGTATGGATCAATTATATCAGATGCTTCCAGGATGGTATTCGGTAGAATTGGTGGTGCTTGAGATGTAGATGTGACTCGAAAGGCAGTTCTGGCCAGGACTAGATGAAACGCAAAGTAGCGATTGAGGAAACTCGTCAACTCTTGGCTGTGATATGAGGGACCGGGACATTCTTTTCGAGTGCGAATCAGATTTTGGAAACCGGTGAGATGTGTGACCCAAGAGGGACGACTGCTGTCTGATATCTAAGAAGGATTAGTAGATGCTGAATGCCAATATTCAGGGTCCGCTTACATCAAACCAGCATAGCATCAGGACCAGCCCTAGCATCTCATATATTTCTGACTCACACCAATCATTTTTGGTCAATAGACCACGCAGGTGGGCCAGGGCACGATGATGATGCTCTAAAGCTGGTAGCCGATATGTCGTATCCGAGAGTTTCAGGGTATTTGCTGCAATGGCCAAGGCCGCATGGTAGAGTCCCTCAGACTTCAATGCCATAGGCAGAATAAGATATCGATAAGGGTTGCAATGGGCATTGTCGACGAGGGTGGAGCTGCTGCATATGATATGCTCAAAGTATGACATGAGAGCAGGATCACAGTCTGCTCGTCCACCAGAAGGAATCGTACTCAAGCAAGGCGATAAGGAGCCTGACCGAGAAACAGTCTCGACTTTTGCATTTTGTTTGCCATCAAAATGAATCTCGAGACCGGTCATCGTCGTGTTTAAACACACCCAGGTCCGATCACGGTCCTGCATCTGCTCTGGCCGCCGCGACAATCTATCTGTGGCGTCCACCCCTGGCCGTGCGATATGCCTCTCTTTGCCTCGATCAGCTTCATTATGCTTCGACCAAACCCCTGCCCGTCCATGGAAAACCCCTCGAGCCAACGACTCTTCGTGCCAGATGAGCCGAACTCCATAGCCGCATGAGGCATTATTACGGGCGCAACGATGGCAAACCGGGCGTGTTTCTAACAAATGTTAGTTCCAACCAGGTACCTGCAGGAAGAGGATGTTACCGTCACATTTAATCCGGCGTGCTCGACATGTCCAGCAGCCAGTTCGCGCTCTTGAAATTGCAGTCATGGTCATATGTTTACCCCGCAGAAATGGACATGGCTATAGCCAAATGATAAGACTTGGTTTATCTTCAGTCGAGCCTGTTCAGTGAACTTGATTTGCCGATATCTCCGTAAAAGCAGTGTTAAGTTGGGTACTGGCCAAGGCCAGTTTATCGGCGTTTTGGTCGATGGGGCATGCTTCCGTGACATGTTTGGATAGCATTAAGGCAAATCCGAGGCTACAAATCCTATCATTGGGATACAATCATATAAAGCTTACTTGTTTGCTTCAGAAACTTACAGCATTCCTACCACAACGATATCTGCGCAGTCTCATAGGCGTGATTCTATAGCCCTCTAGTTGTCTTCCCTTTATCTCCCAAAAACAGCATAGTGAATGCAATTTAAATCAAGGGGTGAGATGGACGTGCTTTGAAACGTATATCGACAATAAAGCTTCTAATGAAGAAAGCAGCCTCTTTGATAGATCTCGTGTCCTTAAAGGAGAGGCTTCGAGTGAAGAACCACCACCGAAGAAATTGTTACTCATAGTCTCAACCTCTCTGAGATATTACATTCCATATGGTCTGCATATTTCATATACGACCGACTGCCAAGAGAGTTTGACTTACTTATTTATCCAGCCTGGCACATATCGCGGCAGTATATTATTAAGAATACAATGATATATGTGCAATGGTGGAGCAAAGCACTTGTCCTAGTACCACTGTAGTAGATACATCAGCATTATAGAATGCACAACATAACCAATATAATGCAAGGCAATGCGCGTATTTTAATGTGCACTATGCAGTCCAGTTCGAGACTAAACTGGGGCCGCTAAAGGCCGGTGGCACATTTCATTCCCCCACTTCGTTAAAACCTCGCTATCTTGCTGGAGTTGTTTTCTCCACTCCTTTATTCAGAGCTCAACATGGGATTCAGTACCGCGGCTGAATTTGACCAGGTTGGAATATACTGCTTCAGCTAAACACGATCTAGCTAACTGTCATAGGCCTATTCAAGTGTGCGGAGCGCCTTTGCGTCCGGCACCACCAAGAACAAAGAATGGCGGCGCCATCAACTCAAACGCGCTTGGTGGATGGTCGAGGATAACAAGAAGCGCATCTGCGACGCGCTCTATATCGACCTACATAGGCATTACCAAGAGTCGCACTCCACAGACTGCGCGGGCACCCAGGGAGACATCCTGCGTACCTTGGAGAAATTGGATGAATGGACCAAAGACGAGAAACCAACAAGGCTTGATCCTGTGAACTTTTTGGGAGGAACTATAGTTCGCAAGGAACCCCTTGGTGTAACTTTGATCATTGGTGCTTGGAACTTCCCTGTCACTTTGCTTCTGCAGCCAATGATTGCAGCTATTGCTGCGGGATGTGCTGTGATTCTTAAGCCATCAGATGTGGCTTGTGCAACCCAAGATCTAATGATGGAAATCATTCCTCAGTACATGGATCATGACGCGATTCGATGTGTTTCTGCAGGGCCAATGGAGATGGGATATATCCTAGAGCACCGTTTTGACCACATCTTCTACACTGGGTCAACTAACATCGCAAAGGTCATCCATGCAGCAGCCGCAAAGCACCTGACACCTGTCACGCTCGAACTAGGTGGCCAATGCCCAGCAATTGTCACCGAGTCGGCTAATATCGATCTCACTGCGAAGCACATCGCTGTGACTAAATTCAACAATGCCGGACAGGTAAGGCTCTTCGAGGTCGGTATTGACCAATAGCTAAGATGATTGGTAGATCTGCTTGAATGTTAATCATGTCCTTGTTCATCCTTCCGTACGAGAGGAGCTGATCAACGAGCTGTGTCGGTATTTCGACATATTCCGAGGAGGCGAAGAGAAACAACCAGACCATTATACACACATCATTAACGATCGCAATTTCGACCGACTTGAAAGTTTACTCCAGCAAACCTCGGGAAAGATCGTCTATGGTGGCCAGCGGGATCGCAAAAGCCGATACTTTGCGCCAACACTTGTGACTGGAGTTAAGCCCGGCGACCCTCTTCTGTCCGAAGAAATCTTCGGACCAATTCTCCCCATCGTTGACGCAAACTTCGATACTGCGATCTCTTTCACACGGGGACTAGAACACCCTCTGGCGATTTACGCATTCACCAACAACCCCGCAGACAAAGCGCGTATCTTGAACGAAACCAAATCCGGAGGCGTGACCTTCAACGACTGCGGTCTCCACGTTGCTGCATGCGATGCACCATTTGGAGGCGTCGGCAATGCCGGCCAGGGCAATTATCATGGCCCACATGGAATACTGACATTCTCTCATCTCCGCACACACATCAACGCCATACCCTCGTGGCTGGAATGGTGCATTGCTGCGCGGTATCCCCCCTACTCCATTGAAAAGGCTCATAGGATGTCCCCACCGACTGTGCCACCATTCGACCGTGACGGAATTGATAAGGGTTCAAGTGGTCGATCGAAATGGGTGTTCCGATTTGGTGTTTTGGTACTTTCTACCGTGATAGTGACTCGGCGGGATCAAATTGTCGCTTTCAGTTCGAAGTTGTTGTAATTTGTGAGCTTCTGTAGAAATTCAAAGGAGCTATCTTCATCATCTATCTTCTGCACGCTATAGGCGGAATTACTTCGGCGATCTGCATTAACTGAGCGGGGAAGCTATTAAGTCGAGGGCCAAGGAGTATACATCGGCAATCGGGAGCAAAGGCCGCACGCGGGCAGATATTCAATATTTAGGGATCTTTCATGCATCATAGCATATTGAGAGCTTTCTTACTAGTAAGTAATGCTTCAAAATTCTGGCGCAAATAAATTAGTCGCGTTACAGGTGAATGTCAAATGTAGAATCTACCGGCATATTCGGGGATTGCGGAGAAATCGCCGGTGACTGATCGACCTAAAGTAGTCAAACTATAGAGCCAAGCTGGATGGAGCCATGTCAATAGCCGAGTGGAATTAGTATAAAGGAGAGATCGCCGGGAGACAGAGAGTGGACTTTCACTTGATTGATTGTTCTTTTTTTGACACAGAAAGTCTACCATGAAGCTATCTGTAGCCCTCTTGGGCCTGAATGCGGCCTACAATGCTGGCATTGTCTCTGCTGCTCCACTAGAAAGCTGGTCAACCAAGTCTGGTGCTTCGTTGTCCGCGGTGGACATGTTCAATACAGCAATCGAATGGAACGACAAATATTGGGACGACGAAGCCGGTTATTTGATCACACCTTCTGAAGGCTCTGGACGCTACGATAGTCGACACTCTGCATGGTATGCGCCTCAGTTGCTGGCCAGAAATGGACCGGGCGACGTTGCAAAGGCCATTCGGATCTTTGACAATGTGATCTCTGGCCAATATCTCGATCGAACCAAGCAGTGGTATGGAGACTACCAGGGAGCACCGTCTCAGCCGGAGCCTGGGACACTGGTGTATCCCGATGATGGACCATACAGTTCGGTAAGTCAATGCTCAGCAAATATCCACCGGGGCAGTGATTCGGGATCTTACTAACACGCTGTCTAGTGGGATCCAAACATTCGCGATTTCGTGGGCTGTGCGTGGATTGTGGCATTGAACGACTATGCTCACTTGCTGCCAGCAGCGACAGTGTCCAAAGTGGAAAATTCCCTGCACATCGCAGCAAAGGGGGATTTGTACCGTGTTGGAGGCGTTGATGGCGACAACTCTTATCCTTGTTACTCCAATCCTTGGCTGATGCGAACAATCCTTCAGAACTGGGTCGGCGCTCGAGTCGGAGATGCGAACCTGACCAAGTCTGGTGAAAACTTTGCGCAGGAAATATACAATCTCTGGAGTATGCACCGTACCTTATCTGAATTCAACTCTCCAACTTATGCCGGAGTCGCCATGTGGGCTCTCGCTCTTTGGAACAAGTATGGAACAAGCGACAGCCTGCTGAAGAAATATGGCCCCGATATGCTCACATACAGCTGGAAAGAGCTTGGGGAACTCTACAACGCCAATCTCAAGAATGTTGCTGGCCCATGGGATCGCAGCTATGGCTACAATATGAAGGAATATGCCTCTCTGATCGGCGCTGTCATTTGGGGTACGATTGGGCGCGAGAAAGCACCCGTCCCTAAAAACTTACTGTCGATGTATCACCAAGATGATTTCGCCTTCTACCCTCTATTCGCTCTTTCGATGCCGGAGATGGTGAAGTATCTGCCAGCAAAGGTCAAGACGAACCTGCTCAAATTCCCCGGCGAGCACATGTATACTTCACAAGCTTACTCGCCACCTTTCGACACATATCCACGAAACATCACTACATGGATGTCCGATAACGTGACAATTGGTGCAGAGACTGTTTCTGAGCATGTTGTGGGAGGACCAGCTATCAATCCCAGCCAATTCACCCCTGCGGTCATCCAGTGGGCAATTGATGACTACCAGATTGGTGCTATTTCCCACTGGGTAACAGAGTCTTCTATCCATGCAGTAGCAGCTCCTGGAAGTCTCAAAATCTCCTACCCAAATACGACATCTACCGATGGTCCGGTTTCTTTCAACTTCCTTTTCAGTGGCCTCAATGTTCCAAACGGATTCAATGTCACTGGGCTCGAAGGTGTTCCTGGGTTGAATGTCAAGTTGACGACGAACGCCTTGCCGAATTACACCATGACATATAACACTGATCATTCGGTGAACGAGTTCAGCTTTTACAACATCACATATACGATGCCCGAAAGCTTTACTGGGGTCCCATATCTCTCTCTTCATATTGTCTGAGTGAACATGCGAGATATCTTGTCTAAACATATTGTTCAATTTGCATGCAATATACTATGATTAAGAAAATGTACATACAAGGTCACATAAAGTCATCAACGTTAGTTACTCTGCCTTTTTCTCTTCATGGGACTGTTCCTCTCCACCCTCTCCACCCTCTCCTTCCTCGCCCTCCTGCGTCTGAGGAAGCCAGAAGCGCGTAATCATCCCACCCAAGAACTTTTGATCAACCCATTTAACTAAACCATAGAAGACCCAGCCCCAACCCCAAAGCGAAACACCCATCATACTAGTAACCAGCAACACAGGACCGAGAATAAGCAGCGACAGAACCGCCCAGAGCAATATCGAGACAGCCGCAAAGACAAACACACCAGCGAGGAATACCAACAAAGGCACACCACAACATATCATCTGACAAACGATAAAGGTCGTCGCAGCAGGGCGCTTAAGCGCAGCTTCGTACATCGCAGCTTGTCGAGGCGGAGGAAGTAACTTGGAGACCATATATCGGACCCAAGACTCGAAGGCGTCAAATGCTTGAGGAAATAGAGTGGAAGCCCATGACGTGATGGTCGCCCATATCCCCGAGAATGAGACATCGCCATCGACTTTTTCTTCCTTTGGAGGAGCGTCGTCCGAAGGGAATTCGCCGGGGATGACAGGCTCGGTCAGGTCTCTCGTTGTTCGGTTGAGCTTTCTCGGTTTTACGTTCTTGGTCGCTCCAGTGGTTGTTGATTGGACTTGGTTCACGGGTTGGTTCAGTTGACCGGTGAGCCCGGTGGTGGCATTATCGAGGGGCATGGTGAGGGCTGAAGGAATATGAGCTCGATTCAACGGGGACAATGTAGAGAAATGTAGGAGCTATCAGATGGATATATGAAAGTCAGTAAATCAAGATCTATATCTTCGATGAAGAATGACGTATGGGGCGTTGCGCTGAGTGGTTCACGCTTTTCGCCGATATTAAGTCCTGCGTCACTGCCCACCAATACTGCAGATGTTGCATGTTTCTGTTGAACGGTGCAGATTCGGGTTATTAAGTGACACTGGCAGAGGCTTGATTTTCACATGAGGTATCATCATGGAACATGAGTATGCAGCCACGTCCAACATGCACCGCAAGATTAATAATGCGATCAACCGACGAAACTTGGTAATTTGAGCTTGAATCAATTCAATTATGTTCTGATATCCTATGTGCAAAAGGGTATGGTAAATTGTGAAAACAACGCTATGCTACGTATCATTGGTCGGAAGCGCCTTCGCGATCTTCAAAGATCATAAAGTCATCATCGTCTACTTCATCACCCATGATCTTCTTCCAGGCCTGTTTGACCAGGTCAAGGGTGTCATCCTCAAACGAGAGATCAAGGCTCGAGGGGGGGAAGCGCAAGTAAGAAGGAAGACTGCTGTCAAGTTCCCACCTGGTTTCGTCAGTGCTGAGACGACCCCGATGGGTGTATCGCAGAGACCAGAGGACGATAGCCCCAGGACCTTCTGCTTCCACGAGTCTGTTCACGGCGGTCTCAAGCAACGATTGACCCTCCGATCCAGCAAGTGCCACACTGCCATATATAACACCTGTGACGGTTGGTTAGCCACTTGAACGATCAAAGTATGATGAATCCAAAATTGCAAAATTGTGCTCGAGATCAGTTTGAAAAGGGTTTCAACATAGCAAGTTCAGGCAATGTAGATAAGTTTTTGAAAAAAATCATCATGCGAGCGATTTAGGGAGCCAAAAGGGAGGGGAAAAAAAGGTAAGAGACGTACTCTGCTGGCGTGGACACTCGCCTGTGTCACTTGAATGAACTTGAAGGTACACAGGCGGTGAGTGAGGGTTGCCCAAGGTTTTCCCTGGGAACATGAGAACTGTACTGGCAGGCATAGGAGCTCCCTCTACCATAACAGGGAACAGTGATGGGAATGTGGCCGAAACCACAGTCACCGAACGGGCCAGTTGGGTATGAGGTTTTGAGAAGTCACCTTGGTGAGGATCATCCGCCACCGACCCAAAGACGAATTTGGTCTGAAGTGACTCTCCATTGAGTAAGTTGACCTGAAGAGGATGTTCTCCATCTTCTTGAGAGTGGCACACTTCGCCTAGCTTTGTGTCTAGGGCATACACACCCCCACCGACAGCTGAGGCACGACACGCGACCTGTAGTATTTCGGCGCCACCGCCATACTTGGCAACCACCGCGCCAAACCCGGGTCCAAGGGCACCAATGGATGTTAGATGTCTCTCAATCCTGGGAATGGCATAACTAGCAGATGTTTCTGTCTGAGAAAGCTGGGACAATGTGAGCGACAGCAGAGGATCGTGGAGTTCCTCTGGTACGCTGAACTTGGAAGTCAAATACTCTTGGAAGGACATAGACAGATCCTCATCCTCTGCAGGGGCTTCATCCTCCTTAGGTTTGGTGATGTGACGCAATAATCGCATCAAAGACCGCTTGGACTTCATGCTGATATGATTTGCGGCGAAGACATCTTCCCGGTTTCCAGGCACGCGATAGAGAACCTTTTCGGCACCGAGTTCGCCATTCCCGGAGTCAGCCTGTCCAGGGGCATAAATCCACCAGCTACCAACAGCCATGAACTCAAGCTGGCGGAAGACCTTCGAGGAGATAAGGCTTGAGATTAGTTTGGAACGGGTGTAGAGAAAATGCGGGGACAGGGACAGGGTGTAGGATCGACTAGAAGAAAGCTTCGGTAAAGAAGTATCTTGTCTATCATCAGACTGTTGTGGTGTGAAGATCGAGGCTTCTTTGAAGGGCGATGATCCAGTGACGGCTATTAGTCGACAACATGTTAGCATTTGCAATTAAAAATCAAATGCATGACGAGACTTCTTACCATTATTCACGCCATCCGCCCATTCCTGGGCCTCATCAAGACTGAAAGCTGCCTCGGAACCGCCATAGTATTGGTTTGAGTCCAGGTGAAGAACCTTCTTCCCCGATCGTGACAGGGCCCTTGGGAGTGTGAGTGCTCAGCTCAGACACCCTCAGATACATCACTCACAGTGCCAAGAGGGATTGAGGAAGACCAGTGCCCTGGATAATCGCATCCCATGGGGTGTCCGACAGGGACTCCATGGTGTGAAACGTCAGAATCCTAGTTGTTAGTAAGTTCGAGTATTACAGCCAGACTTGCTAGTCCAAGCTCATTTTAGCTTTGATGCTGTTGCATCTCTCTTGAATACTGTTGAACCCAGAGACTCGAGGCTGAGGAAGAGAAAGGGAAAAAAAAATAGTGGAAGAAAACGCGGAAGTGCTCGTGCGAAGGCGGTCACCGAGTCCCCACTCCAGCAGCAATACTTTCTTCTTCCAATATGTTCCAACGTTTTTTGACACAATTAGGTCTCTATGATGGTGTTGAGTGTGGAAAAATACAATTTGGTATTATACATCAAATTTCCAGCTTTGAAACGGCCGGTTCCAGTTATTCAAGCAATACTGAGCTGTGCCTCAGCATTGTCGACAGCTCTATAGCTCGAGGCGTTAGGCACGATCGTTTTCGGGCTCATTTTTGGCTGCTGGAGCTGCTGGAGTTTGCTCTTTCTCCTCAGCCTGAGCTCCTCCATCTTCTCCTAGTTTCATATTCCTCAAAAGGAGCATGTCAATGAGCATCAATGAGAGCGAGACCAAACCTGCAATCGCAAGTAGTCTTTGTGACTCGCGATAGCTGCGATTGATGGCGTCGCGAGCTTTAGTGCCGACAGCATACTTGCGAGCAATCTCAATTGAGCCAAAGATAGACTTTGCCTGGTTCTTGAGCTCGCTAGGCAGATACTGCTGCAGTCTGTTCGGCAGACTGTTGCGCCATATAGCTCCAGCGACACTATTGACAATTGGTCAGAATGAAAATCAGCAAGACAATTTCCCGGGAAATTCTCACCTTGTGCCAACTGCACTTCCCATGCTCATCGAGGCGAAGAAAACCGCAGAAACAACCGAGACTTCTTGTCGCGAAACCATGGCTTGCACAGAGACCTGTGCGGCTGTTTGATAGAAACCACGCCCAATACCAATCAGTGACTTGGCTGTCACAAATGCTGCTTCGTTCCCAGTGCGACCATTTCCCATGCCTAAAAGGTAAAGAAGCACTCCCATTCCAAGAAGGCAAAGAGGAACACCGATCAATACTAAGATCTGAGATTGCTTGGTATACTTCATGAAATAGGCGGCACAAATGCCAGCTACCTGGGACGACACACAAAGTGAGTTGCTGGGAAGAAGATTAGTTCTATGAAGTGTAACAGTCATCGGATGGAATGGAGGGTTCATGCTCAATTCTTGTCGCGGAGCCCGCAGAAAAGTTGCCGGCAACCTGGAGGTAACTCGTAAAGAAGACTCTGAAAACTGAGTAGTGGAAGAAGTTCAATGCCCCGAGAAGACAGGCAGCTGCCACCGTCCGGTTCTTGATCATGCGGTAAGGCACAAATGGCTTCTTTGCGAATCGTGCGTCCCATAACAGGAGAACCACCAAGAAAACCACCCCAAGGACTAGCATAGCAATGAATGACCCACGGGTCCATGCACCACTGTTGTTGGAGCCTGTCAAAGATACGGGAACCAAGAGAAGAGACAATCCAGCAACGAGAAGGATAGCTCCTGGCAGGTCAACTTGAATCCAAAGCAATCGGTAGACCTCTGTATACCAGTTGTCACTAAGATTCCAGCCCAGTGTCTCAGATATAGGGACTTTAGATGGCGCCCGACGTTGATAATAAAACATAGTGCCAATCAATGGCAACGATGCAAAAGGAAGGACTGTTGCCCACATACCCCAGCCCCAGCGCCATGTAGAGTGATCAAAGATGTGCTGAGCGACAATGGTGCCAAGACATAGGGTAGGAATTGTTGTGAGAGAGTCGGGTAACATTGACCAGACACCACGGTTGGCCAACGAAGTCATATCTGCCACGAATACCTGTTGTGTGAGAGCAAATCCGGTTGATCCAATAGCCTCGAATATACCAGCAGCCTGTAGAATAGTGATTAATAATCCAGTATACTCCATGGTAATGGATAGGAAAGCAGCGCACCATGTATAGTGCAATATTCGCGCAGGCTGCATAGATGACATAGCCTAGAGCAGAGGCAAGGATAGACACGATAAACATTTCAGCTCTGCCGAAGACCTAAAGCACTATTAGATAGAAGGATATGTAGAAGAATTCAGATATAATGACATCTCCAAGCTTAGCGATGATGGGGTATGCAGAGATGCGCGCAATACTAATAACCACCCGAGCCGCACTCATGGCAGAGTGCTACTTGAATGCACTTTTTGTATATGCGGCATAGACTTGAGCTGAGTAATCAGCAAATTTGATTGCCAAAGTACACAAAAACAATCTGTTCGTAATAATTAGCCATGGCGCTGCTCATAGGATGTTCATGACAACTAACCCCGTAAAGAAGAGAATCAAGCCTTGCTTAGTCCGGCTTTTCCGAAGTATGTCAGCTGGGTGGACTCCAGCCTGAAAGCTCGAAGCAGACGGTTGATTTTCTAGGTTGTCATCGCTATCCCCATTTGAGACATAAATATTCTGATTATTTGACGGGGTGATCTCGATAGAAATATCTTCCTCTTGCTTCGCCATGGTAGAGGTGAAGGCTTTATGTCAATCTTTAGTCAAGTCACGGACCCATCAAGGGTTTTATAATATGTCTAACATAGGTGGAGCTGCAGGGAAGATCTCGAATTTAATCATGCTACGTGTACGCGCGAACTTCCAGCTACAAGTTACCGCTAAAAAGGAAAGACCCATGGTATAGATGAACACCTGGGAAATTTGGATATTCCAAACATCTCGGTACCACTACGGATTCGAGAATAAGTATGGCCGTTTACCAAACTCATCAAATTCACATGGCAATTCTTGGTTGGTAAATGGCAGCCAAACCTAATCTTATCAATCAGATGGCGCATAAACGGCGCATGTCCACGACAAGAAATTGAGATGGCACTAGACATGTCTCCCTCGTACTCGAAATGCCAACTATCGAATCAGATAACTCATGCCAAGATGTTAAGGGCGTGCCAAGCTGATCCGCAGAAATGTTGCCGTGAGAATAGCTTCAGACCGGAATTGAATATAGCCAGATGCTACCTGGATCTCCCATTATCATTACAATTGACCGGATATTTCTCGGTTTCCGTATTTTTATGTGTCGTGTATCCCCGCAGGCCGCTTGTCGCGGAGATTGAATGATTTCGCCCCGTACACTAAATATCAAATCCTTCCAAACAAGTTTGCTATAGCACCATTCGGTTATTTTCACCGAATATAGCCCAATCTGTTCATTCGGACCCACAAGGTGGTCATCACCTGCTTTTCATGTCCATACCATACCTCCTGGGCTTTGAATGATATATATTATCTTGGTCATAAATTTGTTTGGCGCACAAGCGCGCTTGAGCCTACACAATGGAAGGACCGTGGTCATTCGAGCAGACAGACAGTCACGCTCGAAATATAGGAGCATGGATTGTTGCCAACGAGAAGGACGAGAAATATTTGATCCAAATTTCATGGCCACTGGAGTGGCCATTGGGTGAGCAAGCTGAAGTCACCGACTCAGTCAACGCAATGTGGGCAAGGATTTATCCAGAAATGGGCGATATACTCAACAGAAATTGATGCATTTCTAAAGACAGCTTCTCGATGGGAATGCCATGTTCCATTCCGCAACAGACATAGTGCGTCGGCGTATGGTACATGGCGCTCAAAAGAATACCGTTATAATTGGCATTTCCTACCCGTTGACCGACTCTGTATTCAGTCCTCGTCGCGGCTATGATCTTACACCTCCATGCAAAGAGTACAACCCTCCCAAGGGTCCAAATAGAGAGCCATATCTACAGCTGCATGGGGGTGTAGATGCCTTTTTTCAATTCATCACGAATAAAGTCCGCCATCTTGTGTTCTGCTCGACATTCCCTCGAGTTTCCGTCAGTGAGACAGCTTTGTTTGGACATTCTTACGGAGCGCTGTTTGCTCTCCATGCACTTTACGCAGCACCCTCCAGCTTTGATGCATTTCTTGCGGCCAGCCCGTCAATATGGTAGAACAATAATAATCTCCTACAGAAAGAAGATCAGTTCTATGCCATGCCAGAATCATACCACAAGCCTATGGTTTGGATGTCATATGGCTCATTTGAGCAACATCCCACACGCAAGAAGGAACAGTCAGATGAACAGTATCAGAATCGGTTGACCATGGCAAAAGAGCGTCGTATGGCAGAGAACTGCGACGAGATGTCATTGCGGCTGCAGCAAAGTGGCCAGCTGCGATTAGTCAAAAACAGAAAATATGAAGAGGAGGACCATGGGAGTGTCATTGCTGTGGTATTAAATGGGGCCATCTTCTATATCATTGATCACCCAAGATGTTCATAGATCCAAGACACGTGACTTCCCAAAGGGGTTAGGTCGCGCAGCTTAAGAGGCGGAAAACTCAGCGGAATCATTTCTTCTCCATGCCACTCCCAGTGCTTGCACAGAACGGTTACCATTCCAATGGCAATTCGGTCTTCACCGACGCGGGCCTTCACTGGACTTCGTTATGGGAGTGGTAGATAAGATTCCTTGTCACTCTGTATCTGCTGCTCTGGATGGACACATCTGATGGAAGCGGTTCGTTTTGTAGTGATACATTCATTATCTTTAGCTATTTGGTAGCTTGTTCTACCAAGTCTTGTAGTTCGTGTAGCTTGTGGACGGACACAATCAGCATTTAGACTGCGATTTCAAGCATCCCTGGCGCTGTGCCGGGTTGTGTCTGCAACCAGCAGGGTATATGGGGTTCCAGTCCTCAGTCTGGAATGTCTTCGTGGGAAAAGAGTCGCTGCATGATTCCTCCATCTTGTTCGTGGGCACCTAGTCGCAACATCAAACCTTTCACTCCTGTGCTCCTTCCTCGATCACTCGAGCGCGAATGATCTTAACCTCATCCATGGGCTTGTCTTCTCCATTAGTCTTGACGAGTCCAAGGCGCTGAATGATTCTCATGCCGCTCTTGACACGGCCAAAGATTGTGTGCTTTCCGTCCAGCCATGGGGTAGGTGCAAGTGTAACGAAGAATTGACTGCCGTTGGTATTAGGCCCGCTGTTGGCCATGCTCAAAATTCCAGCTCCGGTGTGTTTCAAGTCGCCGCGAATCTCATCTTCGAACTTCTCGCCGTAGATGGAGCTACCGCCTCGACCGGTGCCGGTAGGATCGCCAGTCTGAACCATGAAGTTAGGGATGACACGGTGGAAGATGACATTGTTGTAGTAGCCGCGCTCGGCAAGGGTGGCAAAGTTCTTGCATGTCTGAGGCGCAGGGTGTCAGCGAGAGTACTGGGAAGCTATGCGGAGAGGTCCATACCTTGGGCGCATGGGTATTGTAGAGCTCTACAGAGAAAGAGCCCTAGGGAGAGTTAGACCAACATCAAATGAAAGGGCAATAGAGCATTAAATACCATAGACGTGTCAAATGCCACCTCAGTCGCCATGATGAAGCTGTGAATGGGGAAAATCAAAAGTGAGAGTTTGTAAGAGGAAGGCGGGACTGGAGCTTGGCACTTCTCTTGACAACGCAACTCTCTCAGCTTCTCAACTTCTCGGCTTTTCACTTTTTCACTTGCTATAGACATGGAGTGAACCTTTTTTGATTGTCTTTTTATAAACTTCTTGTGCCTTGCGATCAATCTCTCATTCGCTTTAACAGGCCACCATGTCCAATGTCAGCCCTGTTGCGGAGCTGCTTGGACAGGCGCTCTACCATTACGAGAAATTGAGACCTCTTTTTCCTACCTATGGACACCTCATCATTTCCGCTGTTTTCCCAATCTGGATCGGTTCCCATGCATCGTTGACCAAACCTTCGTCCGCCGCCAAACCTCCCAAGAAAGACCAGAATGAATATGAAGACACCGAGGAGGAGGTGGGACCAGGTCCGCTGCAGAAGATGGAAGGACTTTCTCCATCAGATGCTTTGATGCTTCCAGTGACTGCCGGACTTACCCTCAGTGGTTTATATTTCGTGATCAAATGGTTGGAAGACCCGGCTATCCTGAACAAGGTCCTCAGCTTCTACTTCTCCCAAATGGGGCTTTTTTTCGCCTTCAGCTTTTTGAAAGATGTCCTTATGATGATTCGGTCATTTGTGTTCCCTCGGCACTATACCCAAGGTGGACAGCTGTGGAAGGTGTCACAGTCAGAGCGCAAGTTCATCGCAGCTGGGAACACTTCAGTCAAGTCACCGTCTGTCCGGTATTCACCACTTGCTGGAATCTGGGGTCTGATCCCACTTCCAGGTATGGCAGCCACGCTGATTTGGAAAAGCCGAAATGCATCCTACCAGCGGCTGCAGATAAGGGCCCAGGTACGAGGTTTATTCGACTGCAAGTTCCTTGTTGGTCTCATTGATGTACTGAGCGCACTACTTGCATTTTCAGCTGTGGGATATTTCGCCTTTGTCGCAAAGCTTTGGTGGTTGACCAATTTCCTCGGATTCTGCTTCTGCTATGGTACTCTTCAGGTCATGTCACCGTCCACCTTTTGGACGGGCACTCTCATCTTGGGTGCGTTGTTTTTCTATGACATCTACTTCGTCTTTTTTACCCCATTGATGGTGACTGTTGCGACCAAGCTGGATGTACCTATCAAGCTGCTTTTCCCCCGCCCGCCAAATGCCAATGATGATCCTAGTATCACACCGCTGGCAATGCTTGGCCTGGGTGATATCGTGGTCCCAGGAATGGTTATGGGACTGGCACTCCGATTCGATCTTTTCCTCTATTATCAACATAAGGGCGCACAAAAGGCACAGGTTGAAGGGTCGGACCCCGCTGCCGTCAAGCCCGAATATCAATCCCCAACTGGAGCCTGGGGAGAGCGCTTCTGGGCCCCGTCACCCAAGCCAGAGAAACCAGAATTCCAGCCACCTTATTACGATGCTCGCGCGTTCCCCAAGACATACTTCAAGGCTAGCGTGATTGGCTATGTTGTCGGAATGGTCACGACTCTTCTTGCGATGCAATACTCAAACCATGCTCAACCCGCTCTTCTTTACTTGGTTCCAGGCGTCTTATCCTCTCTTTGGGGCACTGCACTTATCCGGGGTGAAATTCAGTCCATGTGGCACTTCTCCGACGAAGAAGAAGTGGAAGCCGACGATGAAAAGAAGGAGGCTAAAGAGGAGCCCTCCACAAAAAGCCAGAAGAGTCTGCTTATGCGTCTTTTCTCTAGTGAAATCGATACCCTTGCATCAAAAGACAGCGACTCCCAGTCTAAGAAGACCGAAAAGAAGAAGACCGACGACTCAAAGTCGACGAAGGCCAGAAAGGCGGAAAAGGACAAACAAAAGGAGAATTTTGACCTAATTTCTTTTTCCGTTTCATTCCCGCGGAAGCACAAAAGCAAGATCGAAGCTACTTCGTCCGAAAGCCTTGACGACGAGGTGGACAAGGTTACGCAGGTCTATCTGAATGCCGATGGGGACAACGAGCCTCCGCTCAAGAGAAGACGGCGCAGCGTGAAGAAGCCATCGAGCGAGTGATGCGATCAATGAAGTCTCTTAGTGTGCAACTTTACGGCCGAGCAATGATTTCATATATTTTTATTAACTTGACACCCTTAGCCTCAATGTATTGCTAAGCATGAAGCATGCCATCCGTGTTCTATAAGTCTAATTTGAACTACAAGCATGAAAAATAAAAGTGTAGTGGTATCATTTGTTTGTTTGGCATCTTGATCAGCATTGATCCAATATCCGCTTCATCTCATCCCATCTCTGAGCAGAAACATCTACGAGCTGCCGCATATCATCGCCGTCCAAGGCCCAACCACCATGCTTCTCCATCTTCACAATGACGGTCTTCGCCTTTCCGTCATTCTCCTTATCCACAACGACACAAGCTCGCTCTTGGCTCAATCCCTCCTCGTATCCATCTGGGTCCGCCAGAACCCACCTTTGCTGCATGCCCTGCTTCTTCTGCTTCTGTTCCTGTGCCTTTTGCTCTTCGGCATCGGGAATGATAACAGATCTCCAGCCAGCAGCAGCATCAGCCTCGAATGAACAGAACGAGCTAGCAATGGGCAAACCACGTAGAGACAACTTTTTCGCATCCGCAATATCATCCGAGCAAAGAATCGTCTCGTTATCGTCGTCCCACCAAGCCTTGGGGAGCTTTGTATCGCGAAGCGCAGCCAACACAGAAGCCCAAGCAGCATCGAACGGATTTCCAGCCAAGGAAATGATCATGACATCAATGTAAAGCACCCAGAAAGCTTTGATCTCCCGCGCAGGGTTCCCACTCTCCTCCGAATCCACATCCATCTGCTCCCCTAATGCCTCCGCTTCGAGGTTCGGTGGCTGATACCAGATGCGCAAGTCGTCTGCCTGAACGAGACGAGTGCTGTGCAGTAGAGAAAGAAGCTGGTGGGAGAGAGACTGGGCAAGTGCGGAAGGCGCCGCACCGGGAGTGAAGCCCGGCGCGCAGCCAGTACTGAGAGAAAGGTTGGGAACCAGCAGGTTCAAGTCTTGGATGTGGGCTCGGTCCTCCTTGTCTTGGGAGTCGGTATCTCCTTCTTCAGATTTGGATTTCTTGTCGTCGGTTTGCTCGTCCGAGGCATGCGATACACTCCATGAAGCGATATCTTCTGTGTTGAGGATTTCTGCGCGAACACCGCAGACGGCGGCAGTGTCGCCGATTCGTACGACTGCGCTGCCATTTGTGTGGGTTAAAGAGCCTGCATTGGCAGATGTGACACGGAATTGTGAGGCTGCACGACCGTTGGCACGGAGCGAGGGTTGGTTGCTTGCTGCTGGTGGGGAGAGGTGGGCGAGGAGGTATGCGTGAGGCTGGAGGCGGGCGAATTGTGACGGTGGCAGGGATAATGAGGGAGGTGTCGCGTGGCTAGCAGTAGTGGACGCCATTGTTGATTATGTCTGGCTGTTCTTGTCAAGACTGGAATGATTGAAAAAGCCGATGAGCATCAGTGGCAGAATAATTTCCTATCGAGGGCGGTGGGAACTGTTGCTTGTGCCTCAGGTGTCAAGCTCTGTCCAACTTGCTAGAAACCATTCCTCTTCCTTGATTTTCGAATATTTTGAGAGGACAATTACGACATCTAAGCACACTGCATGATTGCCTTAAAGCCTGTTGTCCCTAAAACGCTACTTGCAAAGGCAAAAGACACAACTTGCCCGAATCCGCGGTATTCGGTGGAATGCAATCAGCTGTCTAGGTCTAGGGCAATCGGGATCCTATCACCAGCACCGAAATACTAAACATTCGGCAGATGCAGAGTCCACTGTAAGATATCAACAACGAAAGAACGATGTGCGGTTGGTACCGAAGCTCCCAGATAGCAGACCATGGCCGTGACACTCAAGAGGTATGGAACTGTGTCCGTTAAGGACGAGATGTTGAGATGTTCAGTCAAGCTCGAGGTTTTATGTATTTTCATAGTTTCGGTTACATCTGCCAAGACTCTACCAGAAAATCGATCTATAAAAAGAAGTATCGTCGCGTGTCAGCTACAAATTGTATACCGTTAAAGGGATAACGATACTTGAAGGCTATACATCTCTTTTGATTATTCCCGAGGTGAGTATACCATGCCCTTTTGGAATAATTGAGAGTAACGGTTCCTTCTCAACAGAAAATGTCTCACTTCTTGTACTTCAGTCTACTATACATTGAATGTTGGCTAGATTTAGGGCTATTCTGCATGTATATACTTCACGTCTCCAGCGAAACAAATCAGGAACCATTTGCAGATATTATTGGATACTAAAAAATGAGAGTCTGACCAGGCTGATGTGCAACTACTTGGCCACTGCGCTAATGCGGGCGTATCACTCAGTCACTTTGCGTCCCACGGTGTGATGGGTGATTGGGCGTCAGAGCGCTAAATCGGCACGCCTCAGTGGGATATCACTCTGCACTGAACTTCACTGGCGAACCGCTGGGAAAATCACTCGGTCTGTAATAGACGTCTTTTATTGGTCCATCACTCGGAATCTTATGTTGGGCTTATCCTGTCACTGCTACAGAGCTGTTTGTGTGACTTGCCCTCGCATACTTCTAGACGGGATCTCCCCGGAGAGTTCCTTTTTTGCTCTTTTTCGTAATGACATCAAGTTTGAAGCTTTGAAATGAGCTGAGTGCTATAGTGAAGCATTTTTGCGAACGGGATATCTGGTGAGTTGATACTTACGCAGCAACATTGGAGAGATTCTAACCGGCATACTCAGAACATCGCATTGTCGACCAGCTTCACCATGTTGGAATCCGCTGTATCCCTCGTCAAGAGGATCAAGGTCCCGGTCACAGCCTCGACTACCCCGGCCGAGGCAGCTGAAATGCAACGAGATCCGTGGTCTAAATCAGCCAAATATGGAGTTGGATTTGTTTATTTCGCCGTCGTGCTGCTGGTCATTACGACTTTCATCCGATGCTGGCATATCTGGGGCGACAAGATGCGCATTGCCTTTCATAAAGAAAACCGACCTCAGATCTTCCGTGACGATTCAGTGCCAGATGAATATGAGCTACCGAGTGCCGGAACCGATGCTTCCAATGCCCATTTCTTTCCGTCGCCAAATGCAATCTCTGCTCCAAAGAGACATGAATCGCTTCTCGCCAAGATTGTTCCCTTGAATAAGGCAATCGCCTTCATGCGATGGATCTTCTATAGACCAATGCCAGTCTTCAAGTTTTGGAAATTTGAGGTTGTTTTTCCTTCTTTGTCAGTCACAGTCATTGTGCTGGCTGCGCTGATCTTTGTCACGCTGTACTGTTTTGTGCCTCAACCGTTATACTACTGGTCGATTGCCCTCGGATCACCCCCGTTAGCCATTCGGTCAGGTATGCTTGCAGTTGCCATGGTTCCTTGGATTGTTGCACTCAGTACCAAGGCAAACTTCATCAGTATGATGACTGGCCTTGGCCCTGAGCGGTTGAATGGGCTGCATCGCTGGTCTGCCTATATCTGCCTCTTTCTCTGTCTGGTTCACATGATTCCGTTCTATATAACTCCAATTTGGGAGGATGGCGCCTTGGTCAACTATCGCACAGGAATTCCTCCACACGTCTATGTGTATGGAACCGGGTTCGCAGCCCTGATTCCTCTGCTGGTCTTGTGTCTTCATTCCCTTCCTATTTTCCGCCACTGGATGTATGAGCTGTTTGTGTTTGTTCATATTCCAGTCTCGTACATCTTTGTGGCCTTTTTGTTCTGGCACACACGAAACTACCTCTCGTCATGGGCCTATCTCTTCACCACCATCGCCATTTGGATGATTACTTACATCATCCGCCTGTTCTACCTGAACTGGACCAATCCTTTGCGCATGTCATCCTTCCTGATTGGAGAAGAATGTGCCATTACCCTTCTTCCGCAGAATGCCGTCAAAGTTACTATTCCTACAAAGATGCGATGGCGCCCTGGACAGTATGTCTACCTTCGACTGCCAAGGATCTCAGTCCTTCAGAGCCATCCTTTCACAATCTCCTCGCTCTGTAGTGATGATTTCCCTTCTGCCTATGGCGAGAAGTACCGCGACCTGACACTTGTCTTCCGTCCATTTGGTGGTTTCACAAAGAAGGCATTCCGCAAGGCCTTAAAGCATGGCCCTTACAAGACCTACAGCGCATTTTTAGAGGGGCCATATGGTGGTATGCAGCGTGAGATGGCTGCCTTTGACGATGTGATCTTCTTTGCCGGAGGTAGTGGTATCACTGCCATTGCAAGTCAACTGCTGGATCTTATCAAGAAGATTCGAGATGGCAAAGCTATCACCAAATCAGTCAAAGTCATTTGGGCATTGAAGAGCCCAGAGACAATGTCATGGTTCCAAGAAGAGTTGCGTATCTGCCGTGACTATGCGCCCTCGAACATTGTAAATTGTCATTTCTTCCTCACTGGCGTGAAGCAAGATGATCAATTTGGGCGAGACACGGTCCAGGAGAAGATCTACGGTATGCTTCAAGGAATCGATAAGCGTAACTCTGCCTATATTCGCGCCGAAGCTGCTGGTAATCCGGACATTGAAAAAGAACTGCGCCGCGAGAACGAAGATGGCATTACTGCTCTTCCTAATGCTTACCCAGCTACTCATGCGCCTAACACCCGACAGTACTATCAACCAGCAATGGACCCATATGCTTCGCCTGCATCTGCTGGATCTGTCAATCCTCAGTTCGACTTCGGGTTTGGCACACCACAAGCAGTGCCACAAAGACCGCCACCATCACCAGCACCACGCTTTGCGTATTATCAACCACGAGCGCGAGACAACTGGCGCACCGACTACTTTCGTCCCAACATCCCTGAAATGATCAACGAATTTTCGAAGACCTTCGGCCGCCGAGCATGTGTATTTGTCTGCGGTCCTCCAAGTATGCGTGTGGAAGTAGCCAATGCAGTGGCCAAACTCCAGCTGCAAGTCATGATGGATTCATCGAAAGATGAGATCTTCTTGCATGCTGAGAATTATAACATCTAATGTAGTGTTTCTTGTCTTTTTGGATACCCATAGCGTTGTATTTACATGGATAATGCCAGTCATGTTATGCTTATTTCTACGAACATTATGCAGGAGAAAGTAGATATCACAATACATCGTTTCTCGTATTTGGAAAATATCATTATATACGCAGTTGATGCAGTACCAGCACAAAAGACTGGCACAAATCTAGACAAATGCAAAGGGTATCCAGGGTTTATTAACCACAAATGTCAGCTCACTCGTCTCGATGAAGATGAGTTTCTTCTTCAGCCTTGCGCTTGCGTGAGGGCGTCTCATGCTTCTCAAGGACACGCGACTCACTCAAGAGCTGGATGCCATGGTCACCTTCATCACCATCCTCTGCCTCAACCTTCTCCCAGTCCTCGTCCTCGTCCTCAAGATTATCGTGAGACTCTTTTTGGGGACTTGGTTCTTCCAGAGAAGCTTTTTCCGCGGTACCTTTGTCCCACTGCAAGTCTAGGCGAACAACCGTCGCGCCAGAGGGCTTCAATCGACGATAGTATTCGGCAACATGGCCATCAACCTTAAAACCACGCGCAAGATACCAGTTCATGGCATCTTCATTTGCTTCATGTACATGCGCCGTCACAGAGCGAATGTTATAGTGCTTGACAAGCTCAGAAACCCGGTATAGCTCTTTGTTGTTCGAGTCTGGCGGCGACGCGAAAAGAAGCGCGTTCAAGAGTGATGCTGCAACACCATGGCCTCGATATGGCGAGAGAAGATGTAGGGTCTGGACATAGAGATTTGTGTCTCCTTCACCCTGTACTTGTGTTTCCTGGCTCGAGTCCGCTGGCTGGCGTATTCTCTCCAGCCGACACCGAATGCCGCCGATTACCTTGTCTGCTCCAGCAGCGCCAATCCTGGGAACTTCTGCAACAGGGTGATCATGGTAGATAGCAACTCGCGACAGAGAAGCGATCACCGGATCTGTTATTGTAGACGTGTAGAACGAGTTCGGGTAGCGGATGGGGAGGAGTAAGCCCGTGATACGCGTCAACGAAGGTATATGCGCCGTGTTGACTTTCTCGACAGTGATATGTGAGTGTGGAGTCGCATTTTCAGCTATAACATGAGGGTATGGGTCAAATTTCTCCTCCTTGCGCTTAGGTCCAGACGCGTTTGCGACAGCAGATTGCGGCGGCTGAACGGGAGGAGGGTGGATTGGAGGGTTTGTGGGTTGACGAGAAGCCAACAAAGGTGCTGAAGGAGCAGAAGACTGGGGAGCCTTCTGGTTCCTCTTGTACAGTTGATATGCCATAGTGAAAGAGCAGAGAAACAGTTGAAGGCGAATGCGGAGATGCGATAAGCGATAAGCAGTGAACAACTCGCCAGCCTCATCTCTTCATCTCCTCGGGACTTTGGCATCTTTGACGTTTGGACGTTAGGCCTTTTGGACAATAGATTCCTTTTCAGGTGAGTGCTCTATGTCTATTTTGTGATTGAGTGCATTGTCTACCCCTATTGTTGGGTGTTCACGACTCAGCGTCACCAGCCTCTCCCCCCATTGAGCCTCACTGACAATAAGCCCAGGACATTCCCTCATTGTTTCTTCCTTCTCTCGCAGGGTTCTATGATTTGGGATTTGCATAAATATCAACGTTCTCGGACTTCTCCCCATCGATTGCCTTCCCCTCGCATCGAGTTCCGGTACATGGAGAACTAGACCTCGGACCGGCTGGTTCGAAGAACGTCATATCTGTTCGCTGGCGAACACAGCTGTCGGCCATTCGGAAGCTGATCTTCAACATTCTGCGCAACTTCCTGCGGACGTAATCCGACAATGGCCGACTCCACCGGTGGCCGCAGGCCAACATACCCTGCCGGGACAATTGCGAAAGTGGTACGTGCAAATGATTTTGCGGAGGCGACTACAGGTGCTGACTGCTTTTTACTAGTCTACCGATATTCTGAATGAGATGTTCGGCAACATCATCCACGATCTCGTCGCAAAGGTTCATCGCGAGGAGAAGACGGCCCGGATGCGGTCCGCGGTAGTTGTCGCGAGACAGAAAGCGGAGGACCAGGCGATCATGCCCGACGAGACTCCCAGCAAGACCTCCACCGATATCAAGAAAGAAGTGATCCTCGATACCAAGAAGCTGTCGACCATGCGCATGGAGACCGACGCAGCCACTTTCGACCGTGGCAAAGTCTTCCTCAAGGGCAACCCCCTGCACACCGTCAAGGAGCTCGTATGCCCTGAGTGCCGTTTGCCTCAGCTCATGTACCCCAGCACTGGGGCTATGTCCCGACCTCCCCCCGACTCGGATTGCGAATACTGTGCCAACGGACCAATGATCACACTGCCGGGCCACGATGTCCACGGCAAGCTCTTTGCTATCATGCCCAACCCCAAGAAGAAGAAGGGTGACCGCGACAGCACCATTCCCGAGATTCCCACTACCAAATGCCCTCTTTGTCCCCGTTACTTTGTCATGAACCGCCTTGCACAGCACCTCGACCGTTGCATGAACATCTCCGGTCGCGGAACCAGCATGCGCAACAAAACACCAACAGCCGACAGCAATGGAAATAGTCCCACATCCTCAGCACCGAAGCGCGCACACGCAGATGAAGATGACGGAAGCCCCAGCCCAACCAAGAAGAAAAAGCCCAACGGACCCAAGAAAGGCTCCAGCAACAAGCCAGGTCCGAGCAAGCTTAAGCAATCCTTCACAGCTGAAGACAACGACGACGATATTAAGAGCGAAAACGCCGACTGAGCCACAGCCACTTATCTTCATACCTTTTTCCTTTTCTATCATGGTGTCCGCGGCGTTCGAGCTTTGTTTACTGGGCATATCCCACGGCGTCTCTGGGTTCGGTTCGGTCTGTCTTCGTGGGTCTGTTGATCCCGGGGAATTTGCATAGATGAGTGACGACGGGGGGTTGTAGGATTGTACATTACTTCATACCATCTTCATACCATGGAATACAGTGGACTATGGCTCTACAGAAACATGCAATTGATTCTTTTGTAGCTATCATTATCATTACCATCTCTGCTTCATAATAACAGTAGCTGGCTAGCGAAGATGTTGCGCTTGTTTACTATGCAGGTTCAATCAATATATGCAAGCCAAGTCCACTCTCAAGCAGAGGAGCATTTCTCTCTATGTCAGCGCCATTGAACTCTCCATTAAACTGCCATAATAGTTAGTGATATGTCTATATAATCGACTCTTGTGATACCCAGGACTTTATACTTGGCTACACGTACGTATGACCCGACGTCAGATTTACTCACTTTATTTCACTATAGTCTCAACATAGTGTAGCATAGTTATGTCTTCTTGTTCTTACTAGTATACCACTCCGAACATTCAACCGCAAACTCACAACATCCTGTCAGCCAACTATGTGCCGCATAGCTCAGCGCATTAGACACAATTTCACATTCAACCCTGGGACTAAGTGGAAAGGCATCACGATACTTCCCAAGTGCATCTGTTTTTGAGCTCCATAGCTCGTCAAACTCGCTGATTCCGTACTTGAGCGGAACCTTGACTTGGTGAGAATATCGATTCCAACTCTGCAACCATGTTGTATTGATTCCTATTATTTCATCCACAGGAACGGGTTTATTAAGCCGCGCCGACTGCTTTCTCACTTCTGGGTCTGCAAGCAACATACCCGGGATCTGCAGCATCAATTGATCCTTCATCACAGGATCAAAGTTGCCATGGCTGGCATTTGGCTCAATGAAATTCGCAAGGCCCTGAGTGTAGGTGATATTGATCTTAGCAACAATTCTAGAGGCAATCAAACTAGAAAGTGGATATCCTTCACTGCCTGCATAGGACTTAGCGGTAATTGTGACCATCATAGCTCCAATGGAGTGTGCGAGGAGGACGAGGGCAGATGCACCCGAGAGCGCTTCATATTCCTTCCAGAGCGCAGGCAAGATGGTGTCATTGAGGTATTTTCCTTGCTGCTGGGGATATGTCTCATTCGTTTGAGGATCCAGTGGCATTCCTGTACCATAGCCCGGGCGATTTAGTGCAAATAACTGGAATCCCCCGTGGATCAGTGACCCGGGTGATGGAGTACTCGGGGGAGCATCGAAGTACTCCGCATCATGAGTGCCGCCATGCAGGCAGACTAGCAATGGTTTCTGAGTCGACTGTGGGATAGACAATCGACCTGTTGCAATCTCTCCATTGGAGAGAGTGAGGGTGAAGGGCTTCATGGTGTGACCCCCGCATCAGGACGGCGTTGGACCTTTTATATGAGCCATTTAGCTAAGCGGTCCTGCGTGGACGATTGAGATGTACATTGTTGGTGTATAAATGTGGAATATGTAATGGAAGATGTGGAAAAAGTAGCCAGATGAAGCAAGTCAACTTCATACCTCCGAGGGAGAAGTGGGGACTTCGACACTTGAACCCTTCGACATTCGACAACATGGCCGATCTCAGCGCATGGGCAACTCCTCGCCTCTCCCAGCTTCTTCCTCTTGATGAGGAGTCGCTGTCGCAGGTCATCGATTATGCCGCTAGTCTCTCCAAGGAGGCTTGCGCCGACCACCTCAAAAACCTCCTCGGTGACTCCCCCGCCGCCCTCGAATTCATAAGCTCGTTCAACACGCGCCGCGATGCCCGGCAATCTCCCCAGACTACGCCAAGCCAGACGACCCAAAGCAGAGATGCACCACGAACATCGGGAGCTAAGAAGGGCAAAAAGAAGGCCCCGTTGCACAGCGCTGGTCCGCCACGCCGCCCAGACAACTACGGCAACGTTGGAGGTGGCTACATGAAAGCAGAAGAGGAGGACTATATGTCCTCGCGCAGGCCAAACGCAAGCCTCACGCCATCTCAGCCTTCCTCTTCACAATCATCGCGTGTACCCTCTCCCTTGCCCGTATCAGCGCCGAAGCCGCCGCCATCAGCCAACGGTCCTACAATCTCGGATATGCTGCCAAACGTACGATCAAAAACAAGCAAATCATCACGACAGACTGGATCTGGATCAAATAACAAGGGTACGGCTTTGACGACAAATAACATCTCGGATCTTACCGCAGCCATCGCTGCGTTGGAATTATCGACGAACCCGACACTGGAGGAACGACGAAAATGCACCTGCTACGCTTCTCTTCACCCGTTATTCGATCCAGCTCCAAATTGTATGAATTGCGGGAAGATAATTTGCTCGCTCGAGGGCCTACAGCCATGCTCCTTCTGCGGCACACCACTGCTCTCCGCAGAGGAAGTGCAAGATATGATCCGAGAACTACGGGCTGAGCGGGGACAAGAGAAGATGCGAGTGCACAATGAAGGTGTTCATCACGAAGGAGGGCCTAGGCCTACCTCCAATGCCGGCTCCGCGTCTCCCAGTAAACTGGATGCCGCCAAGGCTCACCGCGACAAGCTGCTTCAATTCCAAGCCCAGAATGCCCGCAGAACCAAGGTTGTCGACGAAACAGCTGATTTCGAGACACCAAATGTCGCCTCAACGTTGTGGATGAGCCCAGTTCAACGCGCACTAGCACTCAAGAAACAGCAGCGCATCCAACGTGAAATGGAGGAGAAGGCCCGCCCTGAGTGGGAGAAGAAAAAGACAGTCATGAGTCTGGATATCAAGGGTGGCAAGGTCCGTCGTGTGTATCACAATGCTGCGGCAGATTCAACGCCAGAGGCCAGTGAGCCCGAGCCCGCCGAAGAAGCTGCCACAGAGCTTCCACGAGGTGAGCATGCTTTCAGTCGAAACCCGCTTCTTGCAGCCGGTGGTCTTCTGCGGCCTGTTTGGAAGGCCCCGGAAGGGAAGAAGCCCGAAGCAGTGGAGCAGACTGAAAGAAAATCGACTTGGCGACGTGTCCAAGATGACAATGACGACAACGAGCAGTGGATTCTTGATGGTGGAGTACACGGACACACTATTTAGTTCGTCAACGCTCTTTAGTACGGGCTCAACCAAGAAGTTACAAGCACGACCCGGACGACTCTGCAATGCCTGTTCCAGGCTTAGAGACCAGTTTTAGTGTAGTACCTCGATACCCCTTGAGACAATCAAGGCACCCCATAGCCGTTCCGCATTCTGGATCCCGCCCTCGGAGCGGATATCTGATCATTCGCGGTTAACGGCGGTGATCGCGGAGATTCCTGGAGAAACCGCCGTGGAGTCGGGTGTTTGTTATGCATAATTAGCTGCATAACCGCCACTTGTGTCTACTTCAGTCACTTTACAGATACAGTGCATAAATGATTGGAATATTTCGACCCATAACCCGCAATGACACAGAAAGTAGTATATGTTCTCATACAGCCACGGTGTACTGCCGCAAGCCTCAGCATGGGAAACTTTGGAGTAGAGTAATTCCATAGATACGACGATCGGCTTGCAAGTTACTTGTCGGGGAGCTTTGGGGTTTCTGACATTGTTTTCCAACATCCCATGGATTGATATATACGTCTAAGGCTTACTGTTGCTATCTGTATGCCAACCTCCTCATACTCTCTCGTGCCCCTCTTTGATACATCTCTCTGCTCATGTCTCTTCAATCCTTTTTTTTTTGTCGAAACTGTGTTTCAGAAGATCACCACTTAACAAGAAGAAAGAGATGACTGTCCCTTGCACGAGGCAGTCGAGCTCAGCTTCGGGCTCTCCTTTCCAGCCGACTTCTCAACTCCCTCAAACTCCTCGCATACATGCTTGACGCCGGATCCACAAGTGTTGCTAACACTGGAGGTATCGCCGTAGTTGGAGTTAATTCCGATCAAGGTCTTCACATTATTGGCCTTGACATTCTTGACCACAACCTTGCGTGGACTCTTGCTCTTGTTGTTGCTGCAGTTGCCGCAAGATCGGTACAGCTTTCCCGCATTCACGACGGTGAACCCATCAATGGTAACGGTTCCCTTGCCGTTGTGCTGCACAACCTTGTCCTTGGCCTCTTGAGCACCTCCACCCTTGATGAGGGCGTTTCCGGATCCGAGGATGGAAATGGCGTCCTATCATAGGGTATCAATTAGGATGAGTAAACCAGAATAGATATGAAACTTACCTCGCAGACATCACGGAACCACACGTTGGTCAGAGTACAAGATCCCTTGCAGTGAATGCCTTCGAGTTGGTTCTTTCCAATGATCACGTTGCTCAGTGATGCTCCATCCTGCAAGATGAACACGGCGTTGTCGGAGCCTATTCAATCAGCTCCAGCTCTTCCGACTTGTATTTAATATGGACATACCGGTATCATCGTCGTTGTTGCAGGCCCGACCACGATCGTACTCGCGGTTACCCAGGTCAACACTGCCTGAGATCACACTGGGAGAAGGCAAAGAGACAATGCTACCCACGCGCGAAGGAATGTTAAGGCTCTGGGCACTGGCAAGGCCCATGAGACCGAGGAGGATAGCGCAGGAGTGCATTTTGCTCAGATGATGATTGCTGATGGCGCTGCTGGTTGATCAGATCGAAGGTCAACGAGGGCCCTTTTATACCTAAATAGTTCATAACAAGATAGTGCTGACGGTCTCTGTCGCATGTACTGCAGGACTCCTTAATATCTGTGAAGAAATTCGACGACTTGACTGGATAGTTTCGATGTATCACACCATGACTCTCACTAGTTACGCAGGGTCCAGGTCCCATGTGGCGAGGATGCGTTCTAGTTCGACCGTTTCGTGGGAATATAAGACATTTCCGATCCCTTAATTTTCCGTCTGGGGTCAAAGTTGCAAATGCCAAGGTATAGCTGTAGTGATAGTGCCAAAAGCAAATGCCCTAAGCCACGAGGTCTACTAGTTCTGCCTGAATATAATTTATGCTGAGCATTCCGCGGAGACATAGGGTGTTTCTGAAATCTAGCTCTTCGTCTTGGCTCATACTTGCCAATGCCAAGGTATAACTATAGTGGCAATCAAACTGAGCAAAAAAGGACCAAAAGGCGAGGCCAGTAGGACCAAAACATTCACGAAACGCTACACTCGCCTTGATGTTTATGTCTAAAAATTACTCAATATTTTATAGTGCTGTATGCACATTTAGGAACCCTGTTGCATACATGCAGGGTCCAAATTCGGCCAGAATGTATTCCACGACCGTTTCACCGGAATAAAAGACATTTACTAGATTCTGTTTCTCCGTCTTGGCTCATACTGAAAATGCCAAAAGCCAAGATTCCGCAGCATTGGCATTGTGGCTGTGTCTGCAAGCTTGAAACCACCCACACAATTACAAGATCCACCAACCAAGCCAATTTTATGACCTGCAATTCGGACGACTTCCGCGGCCCCTAAGCATGCGGCTAAATGTCGGATTTAACTTGGAAACGGCTCTTTCTCTCACCGATTCAGGATTTTTGGATTGTATGGGTATGGGCGTGGAAGGACTTATGATTCATTTAAGGTATCACAACAGAACAAGATTCCTTTTTCTTACACAAATTAATAAGATCACTTTGTCTCCAGTGATTGACGGAACAATAGCAAGAGAAGGTAGTCGAGGGGTCTGGATGTCTGGAGGGATCGGTCGAGGGATTGCTAGATAGACCGACGGGGAAAGCAAAATGAAAGAATCAAGCACGGCAGCAATTTGCTACCAAACTTCCCGTAACGTCTAAGGAACATATCCATAAGTTGCAGCAGGGAGTACCAGTTTGGTAATATTGCTCAGAAGTAGTTGACAAATGCTATGCAAAATCCCAATGGTGAGTCTACTATTTCATACCTCTTTCGAACCCTAAGCTTAGCTTCTCTTTTTTCGTCTCTGTTTTTCAATCTTTTTTGTCCATTTTCGAGTATCTAGGGTGAACCAATAAGATCATATTAAGGGGACGTGAAAATTCCTAAGACCATCGTTGTAGCCATTTCCGTCTAAGTGATAACAGGCGAAGTTCTCCTAGAATATAAATTCGATTGGCCGCGCCCTCCTTCTAGTAAGTAGGCCAACAGCTGTCTATTTCCGTCGCCTTGGCGTTCCTTGGTTTTGAAACCCTGACAAGAAAGAAAGCGGAGGAGTCGAATGGGGATCGGAAGGATTACTGACAATTTGCTGGATATCTTGACGTCTCGTTTTATCAGACTTGGTCGTTCTTTGTTCGCATCTTTGTTGCTTATTTTCGAAGGCCTTGAATGAGGATCTAAAAGGACTCAAGATCATGCCCTAGTGTCTGACCTGACCGAGCTCGAATATGTATTTTCATTATGCGTTGACAAGAGGCTATTTGACTGGCGCAGTCAGGTCCAATCAAGATCCTTGACCATATGTCAATGTGAATATCTGACAGAGATAAGAATCTAGTGTGTGTGTGACGGGCACTTCAAACCAAAAAAACATAGGCAAACATTCTAGACACACAGTGAGACACAATCAGTTACCTAATTGGGCTAGTTACATTCTTAAACGTGTGTAAGGATACTACCGTACCGAAACTGGGAATGACGACGGACTTCGCCCAGAATAAAAAAGGTACACATACGTTGCATTGTAGATGAGCACACCGTTTGGACATGAGCACATAAGCTGAAGCCAGAAGATGAGTTTCTTCAAAGAGAAACACGAGGACTGCAAAAGTACCAGGCATAAATTGTGCTTCCCCGCGGTTAAGTGGACGAGCTTGAGGTATAAGCACTAACCCCATGCAAGTAGCCGTAACCCCAACACCCGCCTATAACCGAGTCAAAGAACAATTACCCGCTTGGAAATGAGCAAATCATCATTGGAAACCCCAATTTGCTTCGTTGGATCCGGCGTCATCGATTACTCGGCTGGGCGCGGGTATCTTCGGCGCGGAAGTATATAAGCAGTTTGAATACGACGTTTAGAGGTTTGGTCGAACAAACCATTACCAAGATGCTCGTTGAATCATTGCTGGACTGTATGTCCCTACAAAGGGTGTTGGGAGGGATAGCTGGTCTTCTGGCCCTAGCTGTATGTATATCCAAGCCACTTATACCCTTAATACACATCTAGATCTCAAACACTAACGCGTTGTATATTAGACACTCGCCTACTCTTTGTACAACCGCTTCATCCACCCTCTCCGCCGCATTGACGGCCCCGTACTCGCATCCATAACACCCTGGGTCCAACTTTACCATGGCCTCAAGGGTGACCGCCATCTATGGCTTCACGATCTCCACCAGCAATACGGGACACACGTACGCGTCGCACCAAACTTTGTCTCCGTAAACTCAGACCGTGGATTACACGACATCTATGGACACGGCAAGCGGCTACAGAAGGCAGATTTCTATAATGCATTCCCAGCCATCAAGGGGGTGTATAACACCCACAATGCAATCGACAAGACCATGCACGGCCGCAAGAGACGAGTTCTCAGCCAGGCATTCTCGGACAATGCACTCAAGGGCATGGAGGATGTGATGCTTCTCCACGTGCGTCAGCTTTGCTCAGTTCTTGCCGGCTATGATGGGAATTTCGAGACACATGACCAGAAGGGTAACGTGAAGAATATGGGAAATTGGTTCAGCTATCTCTCGTACGATGTTATGGGCGAGCTCTGCTTCGGTAAGAGTTTCGATATGCTTGTCTCTGATTCTCAGAGACACAAGGTTGGACTAGTGGATCGCGCTGCGAACAGACATTACGTGGTATGTTCTGTTGTCAAACTGTCCCTGTGAACTGTATCTGACTGGTGTAGTGTGGACTATGGATGCCTCTCGACACATGGGGTCTGGATCAAATCTTCATCCGCAAATTGACACGCGACCGATGGAACTTCATCATGAACTCGCGCGTTGAAGCCAACGAGAGGGCGAAAGAACGCACCCAGATTGGACACGATGCCAAAAAGGACTTCTTCTACTACCTGTTGAACGCGAAAGACCCAGAAACCGGCAATGGACTCACCACGCCTGAGCTATGGGGAGAATCCAACGTGCTCATGATCGCAGGAAGTGACACAACCTCCACCACTTTGGCAGCCACTCTCTTCTACCTCGTCCGACGACCAGACGCACTGGCCAAGTTGACCGCCGAAGTGCGCAGCGCCTTCTGCGAAGTCGAAGAGATCATCACCAGCAGCCGGCTCAACGAGTTGATCTATCTCAAGGCCTGTATTGATGAAGCACTCCGTCTCGCACCAGCGGTCCCAGGCGCAATCCCCCGCGAGGTGATGGAAGGTGGAGCCGTCGTCGACGGCGTTTTCCTGCCAGCCGGTACAGACTGCGGAACACCGACATATTCCATCCACCGACAGGAAAGATACTACCGTGAAGCAGGAACTTACCTCCCCGAGCGCTGGATTGAAGGCGAAACATGTACTAGCGGTGGGTTAACTTGGCAGACGACCAAGGAAGGTATTGAGACTGCTCGCCACGCGTTCTGTCCGTTTAGTATTGGACCCCGCGGGTGTATCGGCAAGAGCATGGCATTTATGGAGATGCGGTTGACATTGGCGCGCTTGGTTTTCCTCTTTGATATGTCGTTGGCTGATCGCCAGGGCGAGGTTGATGGGCATTTGGCGCTGACGGATCATTTCACCAGCGCCAAGAATGGGCCCAATGTAGTTTTCCGACGAAAGTAAATACATAAGAACGATTGAACTGTTTCATGCTTTCATAATTTCCTATTTTAGCGATCAAATGTAACATGTCGAGAGATAGAAAGTAGACAGATGAGACAAGGGGAACTAGTGTTTCTGTCAGGACACGGTTGCGCGTCTTGGCATCAAACCCTCTTCAACCTCAGGACCTACACTCCATGAACTCCATCAAGGGGCTTCAATATGCCCTCACCTTTGACTGTGACCTTTGTACAGGCAACTCTCCTTAATGCCATCTCGAACGTCCTGGCCCAGCTGATCGACCAGCGCCACAGCAAAGTCAGTCAACAAAAGCCCAGTAACCGCAGTTCTAACCCATCGCCCAGGCACCCTTTCATCTCAACGCACTCGCATTCATTCAATTTATCACTTATGGCCTAATCATTGTGCCTCCTAATTTTTACTGGCAACGCGCCCTGGAAGCGCGGTACCCAGGCTTCCCGACACGCGCCGAGTTCACTAGCGCAGTCCGCTCTCTTTCATGGAAAGCCATCTTCTCGCCTCGAGCATGGCTCACTCTTTTCACCGGCTCAAGTAAGGACGAAATACTCCCGAGTCACGATAAAGAGAAAGAGAAACATGTCCGATGGGCACCGCGCGTCCAGAATTCGGGACTCCGCAATTTCATCATGAAGTTCTTCTTCGACCAGACCGTTGCATCGGTTACGAATCTTGTTTTATTTGTTGTTTTGATCAATCTTCTCAAGGGGAGGCGTTGCCCAGAATATGGGAGTTGGTCATCGAGGTAAGCTACTTGCTTGCTCCCTGAGTGCGTTTTATGTCCGAGACTGACTATAGTAGGATTTCCGACCTATCATGAGTGCTCGTCTCAAATACCGGCCTCTTGTCTCTATTCTAATGTACACGATTATTCCCGTGGACCGGCGGGTTGTCTTTGGGAGTGCCTGTGGGGTAATTTGGGGTGTCTATCTGAGTCTATATGCGGTTGTTTAACGCGTACTTCATTTTCATTTGTATTTTAACGGTTTAACATAGATCAGGCAAGAAGAAGACTATTTTGATTGACATTAATATACGTATAAATTATCATAAATCACTAGAGAGGTATAGGCATATGATCTAATGCAGTGTGCATCCAGAATAGACCGTAGATCACCCGCAAAAGAAAAAGGAAAGAGTAGACAGAGAAGAATATGCAAGAAGATGTCACTCGTGGTTGGATAACCTCACACGGCCGCCATCTCTACTTTCTTGCCCTTGACAGAGATCCACTCAACAAAGATGGGACCAACCAGGGACAACGCACTCATCGCAACAGTGACATAGAAGGTCTGGGTGATGGCAGCATTGTAAGCGACGAGAACTTTGTGCAGATCAGAGCCAGACACAACAGAGCGCAACATAGTAGCACCAGCCGAGACGAGCCTTGCGATATCCTGATCCGGAGCATAAATCTTCAAATTCTGAAGCAATTGGTTCTGGAACACATTCTGTCCGACCGAGACGAAGATAGCACCACCAAGAGTCTGCGCGAACATGACAATAGCCATGCCGCTAGGGACATCTACAGTCTTGAGCGCGGCTTGAGCGACAATCATGGGCTGCTGCATGCCCAGGCCAATACCGATACCGAACATGGCCTGGTAGCCGATCCACTTGGAGTGGTTCGAGTCTGTCTCCAGCGTAGCTAGGAGACCGGCGGCGATAGCCATGATGATCGATGAGGCGATCATGAATGGTGTGTAGTAACCGCAGGCAGTGACGAGACCACCGGACAGAATGGAGAAAATAATGACTCCGATGATCATGGGTAGATTCATGATTCCTGACTTGAGAGCTGTTGCGCCCTTGATCGACTGGAACCAGATGGGGAGCTGTGAAAGTTAGGATTTGCACCCGACGACCAAAGTAGGGAAGATCTTACATAGTAGGTCATCACGAAGAAAGCAGCACCAAGAGCCAAGGAATACCAGGCCGCACCCCAGACGTTACGATTCTTGATCAGCCGAGGAGGAATAGTGGCTTTGTCTTGGGCGCGGTACTGAATCCCCATGAACACTAGGATGAGCACACCAAACACAACGAAGAGACCAATGATGCGTCCATTGCTCCAGTCATACTTGGTACCACCCCATTGCAGAGCCAACAGCAGACTGATAATAGCAGGCAAGAAGAAGAACGACCCAAGCAGGTCCAGCTCTTTAACCTGCTCCTTGAAGGTATTCTTGGTCAGGATAGGCTTAGGGTTCTGGAAGAAGAACAGCACGAAGAAGAACGTCACAGCTCCAATGGGCAGGTTGATGTAAAAGCACCAACGCCAGGTGAGTTTATCAGTGAAGGCACCACCCATACTGGAAAAATTAGCATAGCCCATAGCAACGGACATAGAAGCAACATACAGAGGACCCGCGACATTAGCAATACCGAACATCGATCCGACCAGACTGGTATAGATAGGTCGCTTCACAAGAGGAACAGTCTTGCTGATAATGAGGAGAGAACCAGAGAACAATCCAGCAGCACCGAGGCCGGCAACAGCACGGCCACAGATGAGACCGACCGATGTAGGGGTGGTGGCACAGACAAGCGAGCCAATTTCAAAGACGAAAAGCGCAGCCAGGTAGATCAACTTGATTGAGTAGAACGTGTAGAGTTTTCCGAAGGTCAAAGTCACCGCGCAGGTTGTCAGTAGATAGGAACTACCGTACCAACCGACATCTGCCAGGGAATTGAATTCATCGGTGATTTTGGGAATGGCTGTGGCGATGATCGTGTTGTCCTGGTTGAGGTTAGTTGTATATAGATACGAAGGATATTGGTGGAAGTACCAATGCCAAGCAGAAAACACAGAGGCAGAGACCGATAGTGATCAAGGCCAATCTCCACGCAGACGGATATTCCTCCTCGTCATTTGGTGTTTCGGCTGCATCTTTCTCCTCTGTTGCTACTTCCTTGTCTGAATCTTCCTTCGTAACATCATCCTTGGGAGTTTTCTCTGTAGGAACCTCTTCATTGGGGATGGAATCCTTCTTTTCGTGTAGAATTGGCTCCGGAGTAGGGGCTGGACTTGGTGCGACAAGTTCTTTTTCGGAATCTTCATGATAGGTGGAATTTCTGACCGATTCATCAACCAGAGTGCTCTCTTTCTCGCTGGATGGTTTTGAGGTCTGGCCCGGAGAAGGGGACGGTGTGTGGCGAACATCGGTAGCAGAAGCATTCTTTGTTTCCTCTGGCACATTGGCGTCCGGCACATTGGCCTCCTTTGAGGATTTGAAATTGAAGAATCTCATAACGAACGAATTATAGAGCCAACAAGAAACAATCAAGCAATGCCCGAAATTGAGCTTAACGAGAGTTGGGACGAAAGACTAGAAGGACGGGAGGGGCCTGCAGGCATTAAAAGGGCAAATACAGCCAAGATTAGCAACACAACTGCCCTTGGGACAGGTCGCATTAAGAATCAGTGGGTTCTGCCTAGTAAGGAGAAAAGGGCCAATCCAGGTCACACAACCCTGGGATCGTATTTCAAGATGCCATGTGGTACGTGGAAGAGTCCGCCAAGGTGCAGCTGCAGATTAGTTAGGTCTGGAGTAGCAAACAGATACGAGGTTGACATGTAATGTCCATTCTCAACCCCAATTGAGGCAGACAAGCTGCACAAACTGAGTCAAAATGCTCGCTTGAACGCGGTCGAAAATCCAGTTTAGCTGTTGCCCCGCCTAGGCAGTCAGGAGTAATGCAAGGCGCAAAAGAACATTATTTGATTGCTGCAGAAATTTATGTACAAGTCCTGGTTGTGATGGTAGGCCAATCAGCGGTCAGAGGGATTTGAATAGTGAACTGCCCCTTGCTGAAGTCTCCCGAGAGACAGGAACATGACTAAATGGGTTACACCGCTGTTGACGCAACAGGGATAGACAGATAATCACGGACTAATCCGGCCGAGCTGAAGAAGAGACTAGAATATAAACAGGAGTTAGTGATGTTCATATTGGAGTCGGATTTAATCTTGATGACAGGGGGTTAACCATGTTGGGACTAGTTCTCACGGGTACTACGGGAGCACAACGGAGTTTGGGGTTAAGCTTGTTCTGCACGTCCATCTACATACCATACACATTAGACGTGGTGTTGCTTATTTAGGTGCTCATTGTCTGTGGTATAATGCTCACGGTTGGACTATTTAAAGAGGCATCTCAGAGAAGACCACAGTCTACTCGGTAGACACTTACTGTTCACAGTAGCAAAATGGGATCAGTCTCCAAGGTAAGTTAGCTATCAAGGTAGATTCTCTTGTAGCTAATTGCAACAAATTACGAAGCCAGATGTGCTACTTGGCTGACGAAGATCGTTCGACAGTGATCTATAGGCACTGACATCATGTACGGTCATCAGAACTTTAAGCGTTTCCACCGACTCGTTAAGTCCGAACCATCATTTGTAATTTAACACGAGCTCAACTATAAAAGGGTCGTCATTGGAAGCAGCATCCTATCTTCCATCAACATATTCTACTCTACAATCACACCATACTATCATATTTACCATCACAATGGAGCTCTTCAGACCCGCCCCTGAGCCCGCGACCCCTCTGGGTCGCTACCGCATCCTCTCCTCAACAGCAGGAGTCCGGGTCTCACCCCTCCAGCTAGGCGCCATGTCAATCGGTGATGCCTGGAGCCAATTCATGGGCAGCATGAACAAAGAGCAATCTTTCGCCCTGCTAGACGCCTTCGTGGCAGCCGGTGGCAACTTCATCGACACAGCCAATAATTACCAGAACGAGCAATCAGAAGCCTGGATTGGCGAATGGATGACAGCCCGCAAGAACCGCGACCGAATGGTTATCGCCACAAAATTCACAACCGAGTACCGCAGCCATGAAGTCGGCAAAGGCATGACCCCCAACGCCAGCGGAAACCACAAGCGCAGCATGATCCTCAGCGTGCGAGACTCCCTCCGCAAACTGCAAACAGACTTCATCGACGTCCTCTACCTCCACTGGTGGGACCACACCACCTCGATCGAGGAAATCATGGACTCCCTCCACATCCTGGTTGAGCAGGGCAAAGTCATGTACCTCGGTATCTCAGACTCGCCCGCGTGGGTCGTATCCGCCGCGAACACATACGCCCGCGCACACGGCAAGACACCCTTCTCCGTCTACCAAGGCCGATGGAACGTGATGCGCCGCGATTTCGAGCGCGACATCCTGCCTATGGCCCGGTACTTCGGAATGGCTCTGGCACCATGGGATGTACTTGGTAGCGGGCACTTCCAGACAGCAAAGCAGCTCGAAGAGCGAAAGAAGAAGGGTGAAAGTCTGCGCAATGTGATGGGTGGTGAGCAGACGGAGGACGAGAGAGTTATGTCGGAGGCCTTGGCGAAGGTTGCAGCGGAGCATGGGATTGAGTCTGTGACTGCGATTGCGTTAGCGTATGTGCTTTGCAAGGCGCCTAATGTATTCCCGCTTGTTGGCGGGCGCAAGATTGAGCATTTGCACGATAATATTCAGGCATTGTCCATTCGGTTGACGGATAAGCAGATTGAGTTCTTGGAGTCGGCGAAGAATTTTGACCCTGGATTCCCTCATGACTTTATTGGCACTGATCCCAAGCACAATGGTGGTCATTCTGCTGTGCTTGTGTCTTCTGCTGGCCCTATTGACTATGTGCAGGGACCTAGTGCTATTGGATATGAGCCTACTAACTAGTTTGAGTGTTGGTCAAAACTCTCATCTTATATTTATATTGAATGCAGTTTACATGTATGTTTGACTAAATCTTGTAGATTGAGGAAAAATTTTGATTGTAAAAATGAACAAGAAATGGAATTGAAAGGTGCAGAAGCCTAATTCAATGCAATGTGCTGATATCGCCATTCCACGCCGGGAAGGTCTTAAAGCAAAACGTCTGTAACGCCGAAGAAAAAGCCTAACATAATGTGACATCGTTGCGGGAAACGGATTGCAGATGAGAAACAGGACCTAGCAGGTAATCCTGCGTGTTGGCAAGTCGACTATCAAGATCTGAATTCTGATTCCGATTTCAGCTGACAGCGTCGCCATGGGTATGGATGAGAGGTGGGAGAGTGGGTATTGAGAGTTGAACAGGAGTTTCCAAGGTCGGCGGAGGTAAGGTGAGAAACAGCTGGCAAAACGCCAGTCAGCGGGGAGGAAGATTCATGTTCTGCAGGGCGGACATAAGGGCATGAAAAAAATCAAGCACTTAAGGCTCGCGGGGAACCTCAAGACCCCCATCCTTGCTAGCGACGAGCGCAATCAGAGCTGCACCGACACCGCTGCCATCCTTGGAAATGCCAATGCGAATCTTCTTGTCGCCGGCAGCACCGACCTGGGGAACCTCGCGCAAAGCCTCGCGCATATGGCCCTCGAAGTTGGGGTAGAACTCAACGAGACTGCCATCGACACCAATGTCGACGATCTCATCTGTGGCGAGCTTGTTGGTGTGGACCAGGATCGCAGCCAGAGGGACGGCGCTCAGGCGAGCGGCACGCTTACCGATGGCGTGAACCAGGACCTTGACAGCCTGGCACTCCTCGGTGCTGGGGTTCTCAATCTCGAGGTGATCCTTCAATGCGGTCTTGACATCCACCAAGTCCTTGCTGCTGTCAGCCTCGACGGCGCTGAGCAGGCTTGTGTCAAGACCCCATTGACGGAAGAGCATCGACTTCTCAGGAAGGACAGTCTCGGAGGTCTTGTTGGCTTTGAACATGCCAAGGTCGGCGTTGTGGTGAAGGGAGAGAAGCGCACGGCGTAGGATCTCGCCCAAGAACATGCCGGAGACACGCTTCTCGAACATCTGCACGCCAGGGTTGTTGCTGTCGGCATCGAGCTCATCGTCAAATACAGTCGTAGGAAGAACGCTCATGTGGTTGTCAAAGCTACCCCACTCAGCGTTGATGATCATCTCGCCAGTGGAGTTGTCGAAGTGGGCATCCTTCATGTCCTTCAGCTTGCTGATGTTCTTGGTCTTCTCGACGTATGCGCCGTTGGTACCAGTACCGAAAATGGCACCAAGGAAAGTTCCGGTCTCGCCGGGAGAGGTGTAGGAACGAGCCATCAAAGTGCCGACGGTGTCGTTGACAAGAGCAGCCACGCGCACGGGGAGGCTCAGCTCATCAATGGCAGACTGGAGCAGTGCGCATACATCGTGGCCAACCGCATCAGGGATGTTGAAGCCCTTGGTCCACCGGATCAAGGTTCCGCGGTTGATACCGCACTGGCGCACAGGGAAACTGAAGGTGAAGCCAAGGTCAAACAGGTCCTCTTCGTTGCTGCCCTGCTGCCGACGGAGCTGGTGGGCCTCGAAGTGCTCATTGTGGTGAATGCGCAGGAAAGACTCGATCTGGCGGGCCAAGAAGAGGAAGAGATCCTTGGAGGTTCCGGAGGCCATCAATTCGCGGGGAATGAGGATCTTGGACTGGGTAAGGGAGAAGGTAGTATCGCCGTGCAAAAGAACCGAGCACACACGGAAGTTGGTGCCACCGAGGTCAACGGCGAGATATAGGCCCTATGACGCGAAGATTAGTTTACAGTCCTTGTCGAGGAATCAGCCGACATACCTTTTCTGTGCCATTGGGAACAGCAGTCACAAAGGTAGGGATCTGGCTCAATGTCGTGCCCTCCTTGCCCAAGCCCTCATCGGATTGCTTGATGTACTCGGCAACCCCGCGCTGCACCTGTTCCGCGGGGTATTCAAACTGGCCTGCAATGCGCGTGGCCTCATGCAGTAGTGAAGAAGACATGGTGAAGAATAAAGCCGGCTGGAGTGAGGATAGGAAGTATGTACAGCGCGGTAGAGAAGGGAAGAAGTTAAGAAAAAGAAAAGCGGGCGAAGATGACCCGGGGGGGGGGTCGATGAGGTCAGATACCTTGGCAGTACTTGGTCGGCCGTACCGAAAGCCACCACTGACGAGGTACCATTGCAGTACTGACATTTGCCGGGCTCACCGAAGCAAATAAACTGTTCCTAACTGTCCCTACTTGTTTCTATCTGCTTATACGGGGTATTCCGCATGCATCGGACATTTATTTGGGCTTGTCTACCTGATTATATGCAGGTGTTTGTCGTGCGCCGGAAGCAGCCTCCCTGCATTCCAACCTACATTGTATTCTTCGCCCATGCCACCCGTAATTTTGCTGTTTTATTGTGACGCCACGAAACTTTTGACATTGAAATTGTGTGGGGATACCTGCATTTCTCCAGTTACACATTTCCCCCGACTTCACCGGTGAGCCACAGGGGTTAGATGCGCATGGGGCAAATGCACGGGGCTCGTCTGCTTCATTGGACCAGATGTCGGGCCTTGTTTCTGCACTGCGCACTTCTCTTAGCAGGTTAGCTCTCTGTACCGAGTAGAGATCGGGATAGATCGGCCCCAACACGGCACCGTGACTCGGCTCCAGTCCATATGAATGGTCAAAAGCCCGAAAACCCACGGAATCCCGAGGCCAATTTGCCCCAGATGTTGAGACATTGTGGCTTTTCTCTTATTCATAGTTATTCTTTTCACTTCTAGGGCAAAAACTGGTTACAAGCTACGTCTACACCAGACGTCATTTTCATTCTCCCCTCATATACTGCATATTTTAGTGCGCTCCGTGGCTTGCCCTGCCCCCCATGTAAATGAGTTCTTTCCTATTAGGGAGGTTCGGTCGAGTCTGCATCGCCTTCTCGAGCACTACGCACCTTATGATTAGCTCCTGGCCTCAAAGGTCTGAGTATTATACTAATGAGGGTTATCACGTGATCTCTTCAAATTTCGCTTGATTTTATACATGAATCTACTGCTAACAAAAATATCTGCGATGACTCGAGATTTCATTTTTCCAGCTGAAGATAATGTAGAATGGCCGATGATATCTTCAATCACATAATGTTATTCTGAAACATCCCATCTATATATAAGTATCTCAACTTCATCAACAACGGCGTGTGATCATGTTTGCATGCTGTTAAATGACTCCCAAAAATTGAAAATTGAAACTTCATCCATCAACGCATCAATGGCATCTTCATCGATAGTAATACCAGCCATAGGGTCTTCAACCGAAACATTCTGCGGCTGGGAAGATTCAGATGTAGCCAGCTCTGGTATGGTAGATTGGGCTACATAGCTTGGGAAAATGTGATGAACAGCTGCTAAAAAGATACCTCGGAACAATGAAGAGGATGGATGAGTGTGTTGCATCTGCTCCAGAACCATCATGCACAATTCCAATTTGTTGAGACCTAGACGCCGAGAAAGAGGATCCGGCGATTTGCAGTTTAAAAGGTGGACGTGCATGGCTGGAACCAACAGTGGTGGTCTGAATGACTGTCAGACATGTTTTTCACAAAGGAAACCCGTACTCACGTCATAGGTCCGGCGAAATCTAGCAACTTTTCACGCACTAAACTGTCGAGCACAGTATTTGTCTGCAGTGCAGCAGTATCAATTGAGTTTCGGACGTGGGCTTGCCAGGAGCTCTGGCGAGGTATAGGCAGCCCCTCGGGTGTCTTTGTAATGAACGGGCGATAAAAAGTAACGAGGAATGCTCTTTTGGTTGTTAGAAGAGCTTTCGGGTAGGCCGCTCAGACTCACTGGTAATGAAGCTCAAGATGGTACAAGTAAAAGGTTGCGTGTGAACTTGATGCTGTTTCTTGGTTCCCTGGGAGCCGAAAAAGCAGAATCTGTCGCTCAAGATCCTCAACTTGTTGAAAGGATGCACTGGGACCAAACGGCTGATAGCTCAGAGTCAGAACCTCTCCCAAAAGTTGAGTGAGTTGAATCATTGTGACCCAATAATCAGCCAGCTGCGGCAAGTCTCTCGGGGCGTATGCTGCAGACTCCGGTAATTCGACAAAATCACTGAGCATATCATCTGCTGATGGCATGATGGTGTTACAGTCATTCATATTGATTCTCAATGGACGCCCCATTACAAGGCTGAGCCAACGGTCTCGGAAGACACAAGTCCACCAAAGACGACGCCAAAGACGCTGTTGCTGCTCGGGGATAGGCGAAGTAGCGCAGACCGCACTAGAGCAACGATGCAGCCCTATTGACTGACAAAGGCTGATTGCTACGCCAAGCCAATACCATGGTTCCGTGTGGGTATCGGCTTCAGAGTGGTAGAACGTCAAGAGTAGCGCTGATTGCAGGAGAACCGTGTGATCTGTTTCGCCCCCAATATAGTGCAAGCACTATTTAATTGCTGTGAGTACAAACTTTTGACTTGAGAGCTACAGTACTTACTTTTGCACGTGAATACATAGTGTCCTTCATATGTTTCCGGGATAAAAAGCCCTCTAGTCGCCACGTGTCGGCCGAAATATACTAAGCTTGCGTTAGTTGGACTGTATTTTTGATCTAAGGGGACATTGCGAACACACATTTGCCGCAACAAGGCAGATGCTCCACAACAATAGTAGGTTATGTTGCTGGTTATCTCCAGATGGATATAGATGTGGAAGCGTGGTGACATCTATCACTGGCGTAAGAGGATGCACATGATGAAAATATGCCTGTAAAATCTCATTGTAAGTTTCTTTCCGAGGCAGATTGAAGACACCCTTGTATTGTAGGTATTGTTTATCTTCAGGTGATAGATTGGTCGATGTTTTAGAAGTGAGTAGAATATGCCTATGTATGGGCTGCCGGGGAGATGAACATATATCGAAGACACCACCAAACCCAGGAGAGTCACCTATGCACTTGGGTGAGTCACATGTAAAGCAAATTTTCTACCTTTCACTGACCGGTATAGAATGGCGCTTGGCCATTCTTGTTGTTACTTCCCAGAACTTTGGTTGCGATTTCAACACCCGTCTGCTCTTCCTCGCCACCACGAGGGTATTCTGGTGGATGAGAGACGCTTCTCGCGCCAGCTACTTGAGACCGAGTAAAGTTCTGCCCCTGAGAGACACCTGGAAATGCATCCACCGTAGTCGACGACTGAGAGGTCAACCCATTAGGGTGCGCATTGACCGGGCTGCTAACTGCAGACGCAGTTCGTCGTGCATGTTTTTCGCGCATCCTGATATTATCAGTACTAATTTTCCATCAATGACGGATGGATCTTCACGTTTGGGCTTTTGCTGGAAGATGACATTCTCTGCCATCTTGTGTACAGCCTATACACGGAATGCCCGTCACCGTCACACTGCAGCGGACTTTTCGCTGCCTGCAATTTTGACAGGCAGCAGCCGATCGATAGCGACGCGTAGACATATCAATTCCGACAAATCCACTGTGATGAGTCCTCGGAATGCCGAGAGATAAGAAGTGAAGTCTTAAATAAGAAAAAAGCCGAGGTAAGCCTACGTCATTCCGTGCCGAGGTATCCGGCATTGTTTACTTCAAACACACCTCCTTTGTATTGGGTTATCTTGAGAAACATTGATTTGTGAAAGTCTAAGTCTATGAAAGAACATATAGCTCAAAGTCCTAGAAGAGCAATTCCGGTAAAGGCCCGCTGTTCCTCGGAGTAGATCTTCTCCTTATGGTTGCCATCCAGATCGCAGCGGTAGATAGTTCCGCCCAAATCAGTGAGATAAACGTGAGAGTTGGCAACATCCAGCTTGAGTCCAATCGCTTCATTGAGACCCCTGGTGATAACCTGGTGTTTCGCAGCGGAATCAGCTGACAGAGGAAGACCGGTTCCATCCAAGCTGGTTCGGTTTAATGAGTTGCCCCAGGGAAGTTCACCACGATCAGTCCAGTAAAGTGTGTGAGAATTCTCGTCCACTTCAAGATCAATCGGCTCGGGGAGACCACTCAGAATGCATTGCCGGTTCTTGGGTGTTGTGATATCGGCACAGAAGATGCGGCCCATGCCACCCTTCGACGGTCCTTTCTGTGTCCAATAAAACTTACCCAGGCTTGTGCTGACTGCAATCCCAACACACCAGTCGGCGACATCACGCTCGACGTTGTCAACCAAGATATCCAAATTGGAGCCGTCGAATCCACAGCGGTAAACTCGACACCCTTCGCGGTCGCAGAAATAGATCTTCTGTGCGACAGCATCAATAGCAAGCTGCTTAGGCGTATTCACAACACCCGGAGCTACCAGCGCCTTGATATCGGACCCATCAAGCTTGGCAGAGTAGACTGCTCCATCAGAATTGCCTAGGGTTCCCATACAAGTCCAGAACATGCGGCCGCAGGTTGAGTCTACCACCAAGCCGTCAGGCAAAGATTGGTCTTTCAAGATTGTTTCTTGAAGCTTTCCGTCGGCGGTGACTTTCAAAATCTGACCTGATGTGAGGCTAGGCGTAGAAGCCGAGAGGCCTACATCCAAGACTAAAATCTCAGGCTCTCTTTGGCTGACATTGGTGGCAGCCGAGCTGTCGCCTGGAGCATAGAGACCGCCGTGCGAAGACTTGTTTCCCAGCTTGCCCTGGTCAAGGTAGTTGGTTTTCAAAAAGTCGACTGTCTTCTCTGGAGATAGTCCACGTTCATGTACATAATGACCCTCGATGAAGGCAACGGTGTCTAGGCCAATATCTGAAGAGAATTGGTTAGACAGAACTACTCGTATTGAGATAAATTGGGGTGAATGACTTACTGTCCATCATCCTGCAAGGAAGAGATGCTCCTTTGATGAACATCTCCTGCCACATAGAATCGATTTCTTCGGGGACTGAAACATCCTCAGCAAGGATAGTCAAAACCTCCCGCTTCACAGCAGCCCAGAGCCGATTGAAAATAAACCCAGTAGACTCTTTCCTTGCAACATATGGAAGGGTAGCGGCCTCCTTAGAGCGTTCAACCATGAAAGGGAATATCTCCGGAGAAGTGTGTCCATCCGTCATGAGCTCCACGATCATACACTGAGGCGGCATATAGTAATGCATGTTCAGAACACGACTCTTAGTCTGATCTGTGACCTTGCTGATCATCTCGGAAGACTTGTAAGAGGATGAGTTGGAAGCCAAGATGCAGTCTTCAGCAGCAATGGCCTCCAGCTCTGCAAAAGTGGCGATCTTGAGTTCAATTTTCTCGGGAACAGCTTCAATGACAAGCCAGGCATTTGTAACGGCGTCTTTCATGTCTTCAAATGCCTCATAGGACCCGGGGGCCTTTCCAGTCTTCGTGCTGTATGCTTGAACATTCTCTCGGATATATGCAATTCCATCCAATCGCTGCTGCTCGCTGGGGTCTCGAAGGTGAACGTTATAGCCGGCTGATGCCCAAATACATCCTAGCATGGAGAAGCGTATTAGCATTGAAATATAACGGATAGGCGTCATATGGATACATACCGACTCGACGACCGAGTACACCCGCACCAAGAACAGCAACAGGGCGATTCTGGTAGTCTCGTGGTGGTTGCCAAGCTGGTTTCATATTGAAAAGCAAATCGTACAGAAGTGGGGAGACACAATTGAGATTTGATATTCAAGATTTCAATTCTTCGGTATTTCAGATGATCGCAGGAGCCACTCCCTTTTATCTCCCATGGACTTCGATAGCATGCCGCTCATCCTCGGAGATCCAGTGAGGCCGAGACCACAACCAGCATCAAGGAAGCCGACGGTTCCGTTGATGGAGCCCAGGAAGAAACAATGGCAAAAGCCGCTCGGGATCAATAGCTCGGGATCTCCATTTTCGGGCCGCGAAAGCAGAAGAGATAAGCCATACCCGAAAGGATCCGGGATGTCAATGCTTACTTGGATGCGGACCTGTTTGCTGTGTGATGTACTGTGGAGATGCCGAGGTAGTCTACCTCGGGAAAGCACTGGCATGGAAATCCCTCTCCGTTTGGCTGGACAATCTGAATGAAGCAAAAAGGAATTGAATCAGAATTCCCGATGATATAAATGCATTTGACCCAGAACCAGTGCCGCGTCCCAAACCATTTGTCGTGAATCCTGCACCTCCCGCATAAAAATGTCATCTTTGAAAGAGTTCAACGTGAGCGAAGTGGCAGCTCATAATTCCAAAACGGATTTGTTTGTCATAATTCATGGAAAAGGTACTATTCTTTTCTCAACCTCGGACTTGCTCCAAATTTTCTGACATATCTAGTCTACGACATTACAAACTACGTACGAGACCACCCAGGTGGTGCGGACGTCCTGGTAGATGTCGCCGGCGGAGATGCGACAGCGGCTTATGAAGATGTCGGTCACTCTGAAGATGCAAACGAGATCCTCGGAACATACCTAGTCGGAACTGTCAAAGATGCGCAAGAATTCGTTCAACGGAAGAGCGTCCGCGTAATCCAGCAAAGCTCCAGCGCAGCCACGCCTAAGAAATCATCATCAGCCACAAAAGCAGTCACAGCACTTGCTGCCACACTCACTGCCACTGCAGTGATCTACATTTCCACCAAGGATCATTCCGCTCTTCGCAACTTGGCCACAAACTATCCCCCGGCTTCTTGGAGAATTACCAACACTCGTATCCCATGCCCAAGTTTCTTCCGTGGTGGATTTTCGAGTGGATTTGCTGCTGCTACTCTGGCATGTGCAACTGTCGGTGGCATGATTGGAAGAAAACTCTCGAACTTCACCAAAATCGATTCTGGTTTCGAGAAATACCATCCACACATCAAAGCCTCTTCCGTGAAAAAGCAAAATCCGCATCTCACAAAAGGCTTCCTCGAGCCAAAGAACTACAAAAAGCTCCCGCTGGTCAAAAAGGACCAGTTGTCGTCCAACGTATTTCGTTTCGTCTTCGAACTTCCTAGTTCACGAGATGTGATTGGACTCCCTATCGGCCAGCATGTTGCTATCAAAGCCATGGTCAACGGCGCCGCTGTCTCGAGGTCCTACACACCGACATCCAACAATCTAGATCTTGGAAGACTGGAGTTGGTCATCAAATGCTATCCGGATGGTCTTCTCACTGGACAATATCTTGCGGCCCTTGAAGTCGGCGACAAGGTGGAGTTTCGAGGACCGAAGGGTGGAATGAAGTATCACAATGGTCTTTGCAAGAAGATCGGCATGATCGCAGGTGGTACCGGAATCACTCCAATGTATCAACTCATCCGAGCAATTTGCGAGGACGATCGGGATACGACCGAGATCAGTCTGATCTACGCCAACAGATCCGAAGAGGATATTCTTCTTCGTCGCGAATTAGAGACCTTTGCTCGGGCTTATCCTAAGAATTTCAAGCTCTGGTACATGCTGGACCATCCATCTGAAGACTGGGCTTACGGCAAAGGATATGTCACGCCTGAAGTCATGGCTGCAAGACTCCCGGCAGCAGCACCTGATACGAAGATCATGCTCTGTGGGCCGCCGGGTATGGTGAATGCTTCGAAAAAGGGCTTGGTAGCAGCTGGATTTGAAGCTCCTGGTGCAGTTGCAAAGATGTCAGATCAGATCTTTTGCTTCTAAGTTGTTCAAGATGACTGGCTGTCATTGGTCATCTGTGTTACCCTTGTTTCGATATTTGTACATAGAGCTGTTGCCCCAGGTGTTTTCTATTCTCAATTACTGTCAATCAAGATTAAACTATACACATACATGAGTTGGACTCTTCCCATCAATAAGCGATAAGTTGTTCTACAAAGGACTGAAGCATACAAAGCACGCTGTCTTTTTGCTGCCAGTCCGTATTATGGAATACAAGACTCAGCCTGTAGACTCCGTGATAGCCCCTGCGTAGATCATGGCGCTAATTCTTCAACCTATCTTTCACCCATAACTGTTAAACGTCTCTGCACATGGTGAGGCTTATCCTTAGTTCTCATTCTATTAATAACAGATCTGCAATCATTCATCGCCGATTGATTCCCGTGGCAACACCGACGGCCTGTCACTGCAATCTCACAGTGGAGACCAAAGTACCTCGGAACTTTTCTAGCTGCAGTGGGGATTTCCGAGGTAGTGTCAAACATGCGAGGCCAATCGGAACCCCACTGTGACCACGGTGACCCACACGCCGAGGAAGCGACATCCCGAACTATGTAATCACTGGCATCTTGTTATTTGCGTGAAACTCTTTTGATATAAAGGTTTGCAATGTTGCCTGGATATGCTGCTTGAGCTGCTCAGTACTTGACCAAATAACAATGCCCGCAAAACAATTTTATCTTCTTGGAGAGGCAGTGTCCTCTGCTAAGAACATTGATGTCGACGAAAAGAGTGGTCTAGAGGATCTTCAGCACCTGATTGCAGCTCACTTCGCAGTCGTCGAGCCTAATGGTGAGTAATAATCCTGATTACATTATCTTTCCACAACTGACTCGTTATCCATAGGTATCGGTTTCCAAGCTCAAGACTACGAGTTGAAGGATATTTCAGAAATCACATCGGCAGAGACACCCATTGCCATTACCATTGATGGACACGCGATTCGTGAACCTCCGGGTCCAAAGGGCTTGCCGATTGTTGGAAATTTCTTCGAGGTATACCCTGATCATCTCGGCAATCATCAACGTCTTTTCGAACAATACGGACCGATCTTCAAGACAACCAACCTCGGACGTACAATCTATTCTACCAATGATCCAACCCTCGCCACAATAGTTTTCGCCGAATCTGACTTCTTCACTAAGGAGATCAACCCAGCTCATCCGCTTTATCCTCTGAAGCAACAGGCCGCTGGTGTTTTCCTAGGAGATACAGACACTCCTGAGTGGAGAGTTGCGCATAAATTTCTACCGCCAGCCCTTGGACCCAAGGCTGTCCGCCACTATGCGCCTATGATGCAAAAGACAGTGGAGCATTCCTTTGAGGTCTTTGATGCTCTCGATGAACGGGGCGAGGCATGGAACGTGTACCAGTATATGCTGAAACTCGGATCTCAGGCCGTTGGAAAGCTCACACTTGGCTTGGATTTCCAACACTTTGCATCGCCAGACTCCAAACTGCATGAGATAGTGCATTTGATTGCAGAAGTTCTTTCCCTCAACAAGAAAGTCTCATCGAAGGGAGATTGGTACGGTCGACTGCCTTTTGGTGATCCGCAGCGGCTTAGGACGGTCAAAGCTAGGATTGAAGAGCTTATTGGAGAGTCAGTGAAGCAAGCCGAGAGCGGTGGAGTTGAAGACCTTCCGCTTCAAGATGCGGCGCTAAGAGCTTCCAATATGGTCGGTCAGTACATTTCACAAGAGATCCGTCTTCTATTTCGATGCTAACATCTGTGCAGACTATGCTATTCGTGCAACCGACAACAAAGGAGAAAAGCTTCCTAAAGATAGCTTGATTTGGGCTTTGCTCGTCACAACCGGAGCTGGCTTTACAACCACAAGCTCTTTACTGTCCTGGTTGATCTATGGTCTCGTAACATACCCCGGAATGCAAGACAGACTTCTACAAGAGTTGGTTGACAACGGCATCGACGAGAATACCGAAATCACTGCAGATGTGACCGACAGACTTGATTTCCTCGATAAGTACATCAAGGAGATGCAGCGTCGCCACAACCCAAGCTTCCAGCCTGCCCGAACCGCCAAGGTAGACCTTGTGCTTCCGGGCGGTTACAAGATCTCCAAAGATTCCGTTGTTCTGCCGGCCCTGCATCACATCCACAACAACCCTGAACTGTGGGATAACCCTCACAAGTTCACCCCTGACCGCTGGGACACAGAGGAAGTCAAAAACAGACACAAGGCAGCATATATCCCATTCGCGACGGGTCAGCGTATGTGTATCGGGTTCAATTTTGCTCTACAGGAAATCAAGGTCTTCCTTCCAAAGTTGATTTATCGGTACAAATTCCTCCGAGAAGGTGATGGACCGATCGAGTATGATCCCCTGTTCCAGTTAATTCGACCCAATAACCTCTATGTCAGAGCGGAAAAGAGGATCAAGTGGCCGCCAAGGACTGGTGAATTGGGAATTGAGCAGTCTTGAGAACTTATAACATGGATGACAATGTTTAAATAGCAAAAACAGATACTCAATTTGAGATTAGTGGGAATATATCGGTTCAATTTAGCACCAAAAGACACAGTAGCACACGAAATCAACCGTTGGATATTGTGTATGATTTGTAGCGAAGACTCATTGACCCTAAACAAGACGTAGCGCAAGAAAACAAAGGAAGAAACTTTCTTGCGATCTGCGCTCAGGTGACCCCAGACGCATATCTCCCTCCGCACAAGGTGCATGATTTATGTACGTGAAAACTCGTCATGGGCGGGCTATTAGTATGGCTAGCTTCTCGTTGTGTATATGCACCTATATAGACAGGATAATGTCTGCCGGATGGGGCCTTTCCTATCTGGGCTGCCGCCGCTTTATGAGGGCGCTCAGGCTCAGGATCAGTGAGCATGCTCTGGTTCGGTCACGTGCATGATGACTAATTGGTGGCGTGCTCAGTGAGTGCTCACTAATACCCTAGTAATGCTTAGTGGGCACCCTGATTTGTTTCTGATTTGTTTAACTCAATCTAGACCTTACCCAATAGAGAGAGGCCCTATAGGGCCATTTGATCTGTGATAGTTAGTGCGTTGACGATATTTGGGCTGCCCTCGTTTTCTAAAGGAACCCTTGCCCCCAAAATCATGCGTTATAGCTAGACCTTGACATTTCCCATGGGAATTCCCATAGGACTATAAACAATGCAAACATTAGCTATCTCGTGACTTATATAAATAATGCATTTCTTGGCGTTTCCGAACGGTATTTTATTTACAATAGCTTTTTCTAAATTAAAGAAATACTAAATAATCACAAAACTAAAGTCGGAATATATCAAAAGTAATAAATATTTGTTAGTCTTAATACTCGCTAAAACACCTTTAAATTACCGTATTTTATTATGATAACTGAGCGATTTATCCATCATTATTATGAAAATAATATATAGATGGGAAATTTTTTTAGTCCCATAGGAGTGGGTCCACGGGACTAGACCTCTGTAGGAATTCCTATGGGACTTATTGGGACTAAGTCCCATGGGAAATGTCAAGGTCTAATATTGAACTGTCACCTAAAATCCTAACTGTGGCGGACCCACTTCCAATTGACCAGGTCACAGTTGCTCTCGTCCCTGAGTACCCTGACTTGATCACGGATCATTATATAATCAGCGTGATCTGCTCACTGATCCTCATCTGAGCACTCTGACTTGCTCGCTGAGTGTAGGGATGAGCGGCCTGAGTAAGCTACATCAATAAAATGCGACACGCTAATACCATCACGTGCAACCCTTCCCATTTAGATCGATCAAAAAAGGACGGGCGCAGTCAACGTGACCGTTCGTCCTAGCGGTCTCGATCCTATCCAAGTAAAAAATCTCACAGTGGGGCTATTCAATTGACCCCTAATGGATCTCATCGTCAGATCCCCCTCCCCCATGGAATAGGGAGCATTGGCTTAGACATAAAACTTCATTGCGATGGTTAAATAATTTTATCGACGGGGCTTGAGATATACGATCAATACATATAATCAATTCAAGTGCTCTTAAAACATTACTCTAGGCAGTCGCGTAGATACGACTCAATTTACTCTGGTCATACTCATGCGCCACGATATCCTTAAAGACAGCAGGGTACTTTTCACTGACCATGAGCGCCAACGGCTTCAACGACGCTGCCGGATTAGGCTTTCCAAAGTAAGCAATGCAGTGTCGAGCAGGCACCGATCCAGTCTGAGGAGAGAGCTTTTCCGCATTGATGGGGACACGATGACACGCGGAGTAAATGCGCTTGTTCATCCAGCGCATCATCGAATCACCTACGTTGACGATCAACGTCGGGAACGTGCATTGTACGGGGTAAAACTTGCCGGAGCTTTGGTCTTGGACCTCCAGACCACCGGATCCGTCCTGCATGAGTAGAGTCAACGAGCCAAAGTCCGTGTGCTCGGCGATCCGGGTCTGGTCGGTCTGGGTGATCCGGCTCTGTGGGACTTCGAGGTAGTGGAGGAGACGCAGTTCGCTGGCGCGAGCGTCATGAAGTGAGTCGAAGAAGTGCTCGTCCATGCCGAGGGAGAGAGCCAGGGCGCTCATGATCTCGAGATGAAGTCGGTAGCATTTCTCGTAATAGCCAAGCATGTAATCTTTGAAACCAGGCACATCGGTCTCCTTGGGCCACATGTTTGGGTACATTGTGTTTTCTGGAGCTCCGTGATCGAATGATTCCTAATGAAATAACTTATAATTAATCCCGTTGAATAAGTATATCGTGGTAGGAGAATTACCTTCAGATCGACTACTACCTTGCCGCCGTCTTCGCCTCGCTCGAAACCTGTGACACCGGAGATATTCTCTTGGCCAACATGACTATAACCTCTGTGGGGGTTTGGCCGCGGAGGATGCGCAAATTCATTCTTCTGCTCTTTGCTGAGCGCGAAAAGCGCCTTGTTCTATTGCAGAATTAGCAACGTCTCGTCTCGCGCTGGCCGACGCTTACATATTCTAGGCCTTCCGTCACATATTCAGCGCTGAGGCCATGATTGATCAATTTGACGAAACCATTCTCTCTGAAAGAAGCAAGCAATTTCTGGCAAAACTCCGACCGTTGAAACTCATCTCCGCTGTGGAATTGGGAGAGATCGAGGGTATGTAGCTGATCCATGATGAATCTTGTACTTGAGTGGAGATGCCAGCCTCACCAAACTTGCATGAACATCCTCGAGGCTCCTCAATATATATACTCGTTCCTGCGAAGATAGCCCCCGAACATCTACGCGCACGCAGTCAGCACACAGGTGCCGAAACCAGAGTGGTACCACCGTGATGTGGCCACTGGGCGTCGATCGGCTCACTCCCCCCACGGGAGGTGAGAAAAGAAAAAAACAAACTTGGTTCAAAATTTTAGTAAATCGCAATTATTTCTCACTTCGCGAAGCATTATGGGCGTTGCTGTGGTAGATCTTTCGCGTCTGCAAGGCGCCCCCGCCGAGCGGGAGGCCGTTCTCCTCACATTTCTCGAATCGTGCGCATCTCATGGTTTCATTAAGATAATTGGCCATGGGATTCCAGAGGCCAGACTCAAAGAACTCTTTCACTGGGTAAGTTCAGTAAATTGGGGCGAAACATAGCGCTAATGATTTGCTCCAGACCAAAGAGTTCTTCGAGTTCCCGGCCTCGGTGAAACAAACAGCGCCTCGTCCGCTTGTTGGGCCAAATCGCGGATATATTGCGGTCGGGGGAGAGAAACTCTCTGGAATCTCAGGTTATATGAAAGGAGTGCGAAATCCGGTCATGCGAAATGATGTCAAGGTGTGTAGTTCCATGTTGGCCTCGTCATTTCAATATCTCATCTCCGAAGGAATCATTCGATGCAGGCCCCGAGCATGATAAGATCCATCCTACCCCTTGGCCTGTAGGTCCACGTTGTGACGAGTTCAGAGTGTTTATGGAGGCATTCTTGTTGGAATGCCTGGCGGTGCATAATGGCTTACTGCATCTTCTGGAAGAGGCCTTGCATTTGAGTCCCAATGACCTGACCTCTCGCTGCTCCGCTGGAAACGGTGAAGTGCGCATCACACACTACCCACCTGTTCCGATCACGCAGTTGAAGACAGGGTCCACATATCGTATTTCTGAACACACTGATGTCGGGATCCTCACATTGCTCTTCCAAGACGCGGTGGGTGGACTTGAAATCGAGGGACAGACCAAGTCCTCGGAATTTATCCCAATCGAAAGCTCCAGCCTCAATGAGATGATAGTCAACTGCGGCGACACCTTGCAGCGATGGACAGCGAATTATCTGCGTTCTGCAAACCACCGCGTGACATACCCGCCGGGGTTGCAGGACGAAGATGCTTTGATTCCAGCTCGATACTCAGTGGGATTCTTTGGCAAGGCGAACGTGTCTGCTTCTATGGCCGCGCTGCCAGAATTTGCATCACGTCTAGAGGGTGGAGTGGATATGGATGAGAGGACCGCGCAGGAGTATTATAACTACATGCACGAAAGAACGGTCGCTGCGCCAGCAAAATTTGCTGCATAATTTCACTCAGATTTGTACCTAGGTAGATTCGTGTCAGTTGAAATTTGATTCAAATCCGACGCACTTGAAGGTCACAGAGAATGCACGTAGAAAAGGATAACTTCCTCCACGAGGGCAAGCGCCAAAGAGGCGCGTGTGGAGATTTTGCCAGCCTAAGGGGCAAGTGATTGAGTACCTAGATATAATTGAGGCTGCTGTGGCTATATTTCTCGAGTTCAACCCGTGATGATGTTCAAGGTGGAAATATATATAAAAAGCACGTGTCGTTCCTAACGAAGCGCGACGTGTAAATTTGAATGTAGATCAGTGAGACTAGGCAATTGTCATAGACGTGCTCTTCCAGCTACTAAACATTCATCAAATATTAACAAAAGCCGCTGCACAGCATCCTCGTTGATCTGATAATGGATCACCAAGCGCGGACCGTCTAGTTTAACGCCGTATCTAGCCCCAACTTCAGCAAAAGCATCTGCAGAATACCCTGCAGACCGAATATCCAACCACACTATATTGGTTTCCACATCGCGAGTTAACTTCCCTTTCCGTTGCTGCCATTCATTACCCAGTCTCTTAGCCATGCGGTGCGACGCGCGGAGTCCATCCGCCCGCTCGCCGCGTCCCTCCCACCCAAAATTCTCGTCGATCGCAGCGCGCATCATCACAGTGATAACACCGGTCGGGCGCAAGCCTCCCCCAAGTGCTTTTCGAATTCGTCTCGCGCGGGTGATCAGCGCCCGCGTGCCGAGAACCATAGTGCCGATCGGCGCGCCCAGATTTTTCGAAAAATCCAAAATCACCGTGTCGAATAAGCTACAATAGTCGCGCATGGTACCCGCCCCTGCAGCGACGGTCTGAAAAAGACGCGCACCATCCAGATGTAGTCGAATCTCGTGTTTTCGCGCCCAAGTGCAGATTCGGCGCATTTCTGCCAGCGGAGTGATCGCCCCGTGGGCGGTGTTCTCCAGCGAAATTACCTTCGTCGGCGCCTTTTGCACGTCGTCCGTTATGATCGCCCGGGGCTGAATATCCTCCAGTGTCAGGTACAAATTATTTGCAGGCATGACGGCTTGGATCATTGCACCCGTGAGATATGCTGTGCCGCCGGCTTCAAAGTTGACGATGTGGGCGCGCTTGTCGGTCAGCAGTGAGTAGGGCGGTTGTTCGAACAGCACGCGCAGGGCAATCTGGTTTGCCATAGTACCGGTTAAGGCAAAGCAAGCGTCTTCGCAGCCGGCCATCTGCGCTACGGCTGCTTCCAGCTGTTGGGTCGATGTATCCTCCCGAAAGACATCATCGTCAAAGGTTGCCTGGACGAGGGCATCGAGCATTTGAAGCGTCGGTGTAGTGTGGGAATCGGCTATTCATGAATCTTACTGTTATTTCCTATACTGCATGAAGCACTGGACGATATGGACATACTGCGAAAATCATATTGGGCGTGGCCGGGAGACCCCCAAGTTGGTCTCGACATGATGAGATCGAAAATTATTTCACGGTCGCAAAGCAACGATACAATACTTCTATTAGACAAGACTTCCCCATTCCTCATGCCTTCTCACACCCCATTTCCCCGGAAATGGGGGTTGTGAGGTTGTGACGGGGCCAAAAACCAGGTGGCACCACCATGTTGAGCCCACGATGGAACGTGTCAGACGAGGGAAATGATAACGGGTGTATAATCTAACAGTTGATCAAGCGGATGCGCTGTGGGAATCTCTTCGCAATTTCGATTCCACGCTCCAAATCTGTTGCGATACCATGTCGAAAACTACCAGCGAGGAAGATGACTGTCCTACGCCCGACTCGCTGCCCACAACAGCCTCTTCCGTTCCGCTCAACAACCACATCGAAGTCTCCGAGCGAATAACAGAATATTATCGAACCAAAGGCCGAAAAGAAAATCTACCGCCATCAGCACTATTGCTAGCCGCGCAAAAAGAGAGCGCCACAGTGTATGCCATTTTTGGCGGCCAAGGGGTTTCGAGTCCCCTTCATGAATTGCAGGAGCTGTATGCAAAGAATGATCACCTGATCGGGAGTCTGGTTCAGCAGTCGTCCTGTCACCTGCAGCGCCTGCTAGTGGAAAATCCCCGATTTGCATCGTATTATCCCGCCGGATTGGACGTCACGTCGTGGATTTTGCACCCAGAGGATCAAACACCATCACACGAGCTGAACAGAGCGCCAATTAGTCTTCTGGTGATTGGCCTTCTCCAGTTGGCTAATTATCAAGTATTGGTTCATGCACTCGGCCTCAATCCCGGCCAGATGTCCACCTTCTTCCGCGGCATTGGCGGTCATTCCCAGGGTATCGTTCCCGCCGTAATGGTGTCTTCCGCACAAGACTGGGAATCTCTCGACCGTCTTTCCCTCGACGCGCTGACCATTCTTTTCTTCATTGGATGTCGTTCACAATCATGCTTCGATGTCCCTCCGGTCAGTGTTGAGGCGCTCACAGAATCCGAGTCCCACGGGGAAGGCGTGCCTTCATGCATGCTACGCGTTCACGGGTTATCTCTCGATGCGTTGCATGCCGTCATGTATAAGATCAATTCCCAGATTCCGGACTCGGAAAAAGTTGAATTGGCCCTGATCAACGGGCCACGAAACTTCGTATTAGGTGGTCCTCCTGCAGCCTTGTATTCTGTCAATCGTTACTTGCGCCGGATCAAGGCTGCCCCTGGGATATCCCAAGCCCGCGTTCCATTCAGCCAGCGCAAACCAGACGTGGCCACTAGTTATCTGCCAATCAGCGTCCCATTCCATACTTCTCACTTAGCTACTGCCTGTATGTTGACATTACACGATCTCCGCAACATTCATCTCGCCCGTTCAAACCTTCAAATATCAGTCTACGACACTGGCGATGGCTCCGATTTGAGTGACGGCACAGGTCGGGATGTCATCCCTGATTTAGTTCGGATGATCATGATTCGCCAGTTGGACTGGACCAAAACAGCAGACTTTCCCAAAGCTACACACCTGGTAGACCTCGGGCCCGGCACCAGCCAAGATGGGATCGGCATGTTGACAGACAAGCTCAAACTGGGCTCGGGCGTGCGCACAATGGTTTTCAGTGCTAGCAAATCGTCCTCGCCTGAATTCGGTGATCGGGAAGAGTTACTTGACCATGCCTGCGTTACACCCGGCCGGGATTGGGTTGAGGAATATGGACCCAAACTCGTTATTTCCAACGCGCCGACCATCGAAACAAAGATGACCAAGCTCCTGGGCTTACCTCCACTCATGGTCGCTGGAATGACACCAACAACCTCCTCCTGGGAATTTGTTGCAGCTACAATGCGCGCAGGATACCACATTGAGCTCGCCATAGGCGGATTCCACGACGCGGCCAGTTTGGAGGCAGCGATTCGTTCTGTCATTGATAATACCCCCCTGGGGCGTGGTGTCACATGCAATGTGATCTATGCCAATCCACGGGCTCTGAAATGGCAGCTGGCCGTCATCAAGAAGCTGCAAGCTCAGCATTATCCTATTGAAGGCCTCACCATTGGCGCGGGAATCCCATCCCCCGACGTTGCATCCTCGTACATCCAGGATTTGGGAGTGAAACATATCTCGTTCAAGCCTGGGTCGGTGCAAGCCGTGAAAGAGGTAATCAACATTGCCAAACTAAACCCCGACTTTCCAATCATCCTACAATGGACTGGTGGCCGAGCGGGTGGTCACCACTCGTTCGAGGATTTCCACGAGCCAATACTCCAGACATACCATCGTATTCGATCATGTTCGAACATTATTCTCGTGGCAGGCAGTGGATTCGGAGACGCCAACGAGTCATATCCTTATCTCACTGGCGAGTGGTCCACCGGTTTCGGCTTCGCACCCATGCCATATGATGGTATCCTGCTGGGCAGCAGAGTCATGGTAGCTCGTGAAACGCGCACCAGTGAAGATGCCAAGGCTCTGATCGTTGAAGCGTCTGGTGTCTCAAATCACGAATGGGAGCAAAGCTATGATCGACCCGCTGGCGGTATCGTGACAGTAATCTCGGAAATGGGAGAGCCAATCCACAAAGTCGCGACCCGAGCAGTGCAGTTCTGGTCAGAACTGGATAAGACAGTTTTCTGTCTTGACAAAGCTAAACAATCGAAAATACTTGCGAAGAACAAAATGAGCATTATTAATCGCTTGAATTGTGACTACTCCAAGGTCTGGTTCGGTCAAACGACTTCTGACAGAATAGTCGATATCGAAGAGATGACCTACGAGCAGGTGGTGTCCCGGTTAATTGATCTAACCTACCTCAAAAACCAGGGGAGGTGGATCCATCCATCATATTGCGACTTGCTGCTGGAATTCGTCAGTCATTTGGAATCTCGCTGGACAGCATCTTCAAGCGCGAGGATAAGGGTATTCCGGACCAGGAGTGATGCCATCCATCCTACCGCCGTCCTACAATCTCTGCAGGACCGCTATTCTCAGAACTTGCAACAACTCATCAGCAAGCAAGATGAAGCCCTCTTCACGGCAATATGCAGAAAAAGTGGCCGCAAGCCAGTTCCCTTCATAACTGCCCTGGATGACAAGTTCGAGTACTATTTCAAAAAAGACTCGCTTTGGCAGTCTGAGGATATCGAGTGTGTTTACGACCAGGACATCCAACGAACATGCATCCTGCATGGCCCGGTAGCAGCCAAATTCTCACAACGGTCAGATCAGTCAATCTGTGAGATCTTAGGTGACATTCACAAAGGATATATCGACAGTCTTGAGCGATCTGGACCAGTACGCCTGGAACCCCCCGACGCTCATCATCGTCCTTCCGATTGGCAGCTGAAAATTGAAAGGTTCCAAATCAGCGAAGAATGTCTCAATGATGAGGAGTTGTGGTATCAAAGAATCTCTCAAGGAAGGTCCACACATTGCAGGGTCGCCTTGGTTGCTCAAACAATGACCCGAGAACGGCAAATCTTCAGCAACCCAATCAAGTCACTGTTCAAACCCCGTAAAGGAATATGGATCAAAGTGGAAGAAACTTCACAGGGCGCAGAAGTTCTTTCTATTTACGAAGAAACCGAGACCAGTGAAGGGAGAAAGGTCACGGAGCTTCAAGTCTCTCCCGATGGCCTGATCGATCTCGAAATTATCAATTACGAAACCGCAAATGGACAGCCAGCCTCGTTGAAATTGGAGTTCGGCCCTGGGAATACACTGTATCCCTTGAGGGATCTTACATCAAATTTGAATGAGCAGGTCAAGGAACTCTATCAACGAATCTGGTTCGGCGACGAGCCGACGATCTCTGGGTCAGTCGACATCGCCTCCGAATTTGATGGAGGAGAGTTTAAAGTTTCGACAGGCAGCCTCCGCCTCTTTGCCGCCAGCATTGGAAACGTGAGTCAAAATCAACGCGCGAAAGCGCTGAAAATTGCCCCATTGGACTATGCCGTTGTGATCGCGTGGAAGGCATTGATCAAGCCATTGTTTGTCTTGGATGCGAACCTGCTTCGTCTCGTTCACCTACAGAATTCGTTTAAATGGGTACAAGAAGCGTCTTGTATCCGAGAGAATGATGTTGTTTCAACGACCTCACGTGTCTCATCTGTCGTTCCACAAGAATCAGGTACTCTTGTGGAGGTAAAGGCTACTATCAACAGGGAGGGTTTCCCCGTCGTCCACATCACTAGCCAGTTCTTGTTGCGCGACGCTGCGAATCTTCATCCACATATCACTCCATTCAAGAATGTCGATGAACAACCTTCTGAGGTAGCGCTCGACACTGCCAATGCAGTTGCGATCCTTGAATCCAAGCCATGGTTTAAACTCCATGAAGCGCCCGTTGACTTGCTTGGGAAAACAATAATTTTCCGCCCACAATCCAGATATCTCTACGGCCCTACAGGTGACGTGAGACGAATCGAAGTGTCGGGAACTGTTCACGCACTGAGCAGTCGTCAGGAAACTGAAACAGAGGTCGGCGCCATCTGTTGGCAGTCTACCTTATCGACCAATATTGTGACAGGGTACCTCAATCGCCATGGTCACCCCTCAACCACCCGGGTTCTCTTCGATACCCCTCTTGATTTGCAGGTTGATCCGGATACATTCATGTCGCCTGCAGACAACACGGTATATGCCCGTGCCTCCAGTGACTTGAATCCAATTCACATTTCCAAGTCTATGGCCGCTTATGCAGAGCTACCAGGCACCATAGCACATGGTATGCACACAAGTGCTAGAGTCCGAGGGCTGCTCAGCAGTCACATGTGTGGAAGTGATGAATTGCTCTTCCACAGTTTGAACGTGGCTTTCACCGGCATGGTTCTAGCGAATGAGCCGCTCCAATTGGATGTCCAGCATATTGGCATGGTTGAGGGGCGTCGGATCGTCCAATTTACCGCGCGGGACAAAAGTGGACATGCCGTCGTCAAGGGAGAAGCGGAAATGCGAAATGCTCCCACCGCTATACTTTTCACAGGCCAAGGCAGCCAGCAGAAAGGAATGGGAATGGAGCTTTACCAATCAAGTGCGGTGTCTCGAAAGTTGTGGGACCGCGCAGACACCTATTTCCTCAACACATACGGTATGTAGTCGTCGGCCATCACTGAATTCGCCACTAACGCTCTCTCACAGGATTCCGCATCTCTGACATCGTCATCAAAAATCCCAAAAGTCTCACCGTTCGCTTTGGTGGTATTCTCGGACGCAAATTGCGAGATAATTACAGGGCACTTCGGTACCTAGCGCCCAAAAGTCCCGGAGAGTCGAAGTTGAAAGCAACACAAATATTCCCGGAAATCGACCATACTACAACGTCTTATACATTCAGATCAGATACTGGGTTGCTGTCCGCCACGCAGTTCACACAGCCGGCTCTTACGCTGATGGAACTGGCTATCTACGAGGATCTCAAATCTCGCGGGGTTCTCTCTCCCACGGCAACGTTTGCTGGACATTCTCTTGGGGAGTACGCGGCCATCGCAGCATTCGGCAAATTAGTGCCCCTTGAGACATTGATGGCAATTGCTTTTTATCGCGGGCTTTCTATGCAGATTGCCGTTCAGCGCGATTCCGCAGGCCGGTCGGCGTTTGCCATGTGTGCGCTGAATCCGTCCAAGCTCTCCCCAGGTATGGATTTTGACTCGATGACAACAAGACGCAGCGCTGACAAGTTTATAGCCATGGATGGACACCAAGTAGAAACCATTGTGAAAACCATATCTGAGGAGACTGGTTGGCTGATTGAAATTGTGAATTACAATATTCAAGGTCAACAATACGTCTGCGCTGGCGATGTCGGTATCCTCCCATGCAGCATCATGCAGCTCTAATACTAATACCAACCAGGTCCGCGCTCTTCTTTGTCTCACCAAATTTCTAGACTCGCTGTTCCAACAGCCCCCAGCATTCAAGATCGGTCACGACAAATCATCACTCATTGAAGGCGTCCAACAGGCCGTGGGCCGAATTCTGCCATCTATTCCGAAATCTCCCCTCAGTGCCGAGGACCTTCCCCGTGGCAAAGCTACCACCCCTCTTGCTGGAATAGACGTTCCCTTCCATTCCAGTTTCATGAAGGATGGTATTCCTGCATTCCGCCAATTTTTGTACTCTCACATTGCATGCAACTATGTGGATCCACAGAGGCTGATCCGGAGATATGTGCCGAATTTGACGGCGAGGTTGTTTGATATCGACAAGGATTACTTTGAAGTGACGAATTCCTTGACAGGATCTCCTGTCTTGACAAAGGTGCTCAATCAGGTATGAAAATTATTGATACGGGCAGGCTGTGCATCGCTAATGAGTTGCAGTGGGATGAAATTCATGCTGAAACGGAGGATCCGGCCCGTGTTGTGCAGTTGTTGAGAGGGTTGCAAGAGAAGGTGATGTGATTGTAGTCAGAATGCCGGAGCGAGCGCACATGGTTGTATTTCATCTTATTACTTGCGCTTTCTGGGGTGTTCAGTTGCTTTGACCGTTTATGGATGTAATTATGACAAATTGAGACTCAAGAATACCTACGTACCCATTAATTTTACTCATCCATGGATGCCATCCGTCCTCCAAGGTTATTATAAGAGTAACCTCCAGGCTTCAAAAGTCCTTCAAGCCTCAAAATAGTACTCATGGACCTAGGTAGACCCGTGGACTGCATTCAAAAACACACACATTTCACAAAGATACTGATATATTTTTTCAACCTTGGAATACCAGCCTATCATTTGGCGTTACCGCTCAGAAATCATCATGAAAGCAAAATATATCTATTTATGATACTATCGCAAGGCTATATATCGAGTCAATCACGTACAAACAGCTCCACTAGCCTCGAAGCCGAGTCCTCGAGAAGTTCGACCGGGTTACCCATCTCCACCAGCTCACCGTCATCAAAGACAGCGACGAGATCATACAAACCGACATGCTTCAACCGATGTATAACAGAAACAACCGTCGTTCCAGGCAAACCTCGATTAACAAGCTCATGGACCTTTTGATCGGTCGCAGGGTCGGCACTACCGCGGCAGGTTAGTTGAATTCAAAATTGGAGCGAACTGACTGTTCTAGACAAACCTGGCTGTTGCCTCATCCAAAACCAAGATTCTACTCTTTTTGACCAACGCGCGCGCAAGGCAGAGTTGCTTCTTCTGGCCCCCGGGAAGAGATTCGGCGCTTGTATCGTCTTCTCTCCCGAATCGCTCTTTGACGGACTCCCACAGTTCGGCTTGTTCTAATGCTTCAATGACTTCTGTGCCAGAATGCTGATTTTCAGGGTCAACATTGAGTCGGATTGATCCTCCTAGGATCACTGCATCCTGAGGGACAATAGAAAGCGTCGAGCGAAGAACTTCGTGGGGGACTCGGGATATGTCTTGTCCATCGATCGAGATGGTGCCGGATATCGGATCAAGCATACGGAAGAGAGCCATGCATAACGTTGATTTTCCGCTTTGTGAAACACTGATGTCAGTTCAAATTGCTTTGACATTCCTGCGAAAGCTGCTTACCTGCCACTTCGGCCACATATGGCAATCTTCTTTCCTGCTGGGATAGCAAGTGAAAGGGATTTGACGGCGAGTGCATCAGAGCTATTTTCGGTCAGATATTAGCTGCGACTGAGTATTTCGAGCCAATGTTATCCACTTACTCGTACCCCAGACATAGTTCCTGTATTTGAATGGCTCCCAGCTCGGGCCAGCCTGGCGACGGGCTAACTGGCGAGTCTGTGGACTCTTTCGGGGTTTCCTCAGAGAAGTATTTCACACGCTCAACTGCCGCGAGACTATTCTCCAATGTACACCACACATCTACCAAGTCGGACAAGCTTGGTCCAAAGTTTGTCAGATTGATCAGCGCAACACCCAAAAAGCCGCCCGAGAGGCCACGAGTGGCTGTTGTGACACCAACTAAGATCAACGCTAGACCGAGATTCACCAGATTTAGTACCAAACCCAGCCATCGCTGCGCACAGAGGAGGAGATAAAACGGCTTCTGTGATGCATCGAGTGCTGTGGCAAGTCGTTGCTCAAATTCCTTCTGCATATCGAATGCGCGAATCACATGGAGGCCATTCAGCAGTTCAATGAACTCCGTGTACAACGGACTCTTGGCTTCGATATCAAAGAACCGTAATTGTCGTGACGTTCGAATGTATAGCCGTTGGGTGAGAATACAAACGCCGAGGATGAAAGGGATGGTGGCACCAAGATAACGTGAAGACGCAGCAATGATGACGAGTTGTGCGACGCAGGTTGTGAAGGCTGGATGTATTAGCGAATCGCGCGGGCAGGTATTGGGAAGACACAAACTGACAGATAATGGTGTTGGCGAAGGCCATAGGCAACTCCATATCGACCAAAGCCATATCCTGACTGAATCTGTTCAAATGGTCAGAAAAACTGTTGGTATTCAGCTTAACGGATGAAAGACGAACCGGTTCACTGTGATTCCTGGATCTGTAGAAGTGAACACAGATGCGACGGCCCTGTGAATGTTAGCGACTCTGTTCACTAGCAGCTTCCGAAAAGGATACCCACCGCTCAACAGTCTGGACCAGTTGCAAATGCAGAGACTCCGCTGAGTCCTTCACCATGTTGCAAAGCATGAGCCTGTTTAATGTCAGACTAAGGGGCGAGTTTGCGATGATCGAGACCAACCATGAAGCAGCAATCAGTGAGAAGACGGCCATGAATCCAAAAACAGCGTAAACCCCGATCCAGTAGCCCAACCTGTTATTAGGGTGGTCTACATTAGAGGCAGTCCACCATTCGAGCCAAATTTCTGCAAGCAAAACAGATCAGTGACAATCGTCGAATATCTACAGGTGAGGACTCACGGGGAAAGGAGGAGAAGAATACATAAGATACAACCAGAAAGACGGCGAGGCCCAATTTCCTGAAGCCCAAGGAGGCAAAGTAGTATTTGTATGCACCCAGTTCACCTTTCCGACGGTCGCGAGGGTCAGCAGCCGCAGTCTCAAACCTGGCTTCCAGGGCAAACGCGAATGGATTCTGGGATATGGAAATTGGCGCCTCAATAGGAACCTTCCCTGGACCGATTGGCTTCTCGGAATTCTTCTCAGCGTCGGCGGGGGATTTGCGTTCGAGCACCGTGCCATCACCACCGAGAGTGATGATCTGGTCAAAGAGACTTGGGTTTTTTACTAACGTATTCTTGTTATTCTCGCACATTTGCCTCGGTTCTTCCAAGTTCTTACCATTCTGTGTTGCAAGGATGGCTGTTGTACCCGTCTGCTTTATCAAGCCATCAGCGCCCAGCAAACGATCGAAAATATGCTGCATGGAGAGATTATCAATTCCTGAAAGGGAGTCATCAAGCAGAAGAAGTGGGCGACGCGAGTATATGGCGCGCGCCAACGACTAGCGGAGTGTTAGCTGTCACCCTCAATGCACCAATGAGGTATACTAACAATTCTCTGCTTCTGCCCTCCACTCAGGCTCGTGCCTCCACTGCCAACCATTCCTTCGTTCAGCTTCTGGATGATCTCCTCCAATGCACAAGCATGAATTACGGTGTTGTACCAGGCTTCATTGTACGGCATGCCGGCGATGATGTTATTCCGAACAGTGTCGTTTCTGAGCCATGGTTGTTGTGAGCAGTATGCGATACCGGTTCGTAGGTCGACTGCGGAGTCAACTTGGATAGAGTCAAGTGGACATGGAAGCTCTCCCAATAGGGCCTCAAAGAGAGTCGTCTTACCACATCCAGAAGGTCCCACCACTGCTGTTAGTGTCTCGCGCTTGATTTGGAGGTTGAGATCCTGCAATATTGGCTCGCTGTCTGTAGTGCGCCAGAACTTGCCGTCTACAATACGGATCAAGTCACGACCCAGCGTTATCGAAGATGACCCCCTGCTGCTACTATTGAATTCAATATAATTAGCACATATTTCCGCTTATAAAAAGGGATGAAATTCTCATTGGTGCGATACATACGCTGGCCTCGGCTCAACTGACGGCATTTTCTCAACAGACGTGGTGACCGAGTTCATCAAGTATCTGCTGTCATTCCGGGCATCGCGCTGAAGGAAATTCCCTATGCGTTCGAAGCAGGCAAACATTGCAATCACGCCAGGTAAACTTTGAATCAGAATACTGAGCGGACTGCTCAGGAGATTGAAGATCGAAAGCGCTGGGAAGGCTGTCGCAGCCAAAAGTGTATTTCCATGATGTGAAGCCAGTGCAGTATATACTGCAAAGCCCACCATGGGGGAAAGGGTTGGCGTGGTGAATGCTTGAATGGAATTAGCTTTTTCAGGAACATACAGAGCCCACACTACGAGAGGAACATACAAAGGCCAATTCCAACAGTCAGGAAGCGTCGCATGGTCAATGATACAACCAGCTCGGTTTCCCGTAGGCCCTGAAGTAGCGCAGAGGAATATTTGCTTAGACCAGACATCTTGATGCCTTTCATGGACGTGAGTATCTCAGTGGTAACACTGACTCGCTTCTCCACGGCCTCGACCCAGCGCTTCTGTGCGTTGCTGATGCTTTTACCGAATGTCGCAATCACAAGCATGCTACCTTTTACCTGTCAGCATGCTAACCTTTGCACTTTCCGAATATAACTTACAGACCGACACCACAATCGGAGCGATGGCACCCGCCCCAAGCTGCCGTTTGAGAAGCCACAATGCCACACTGAATGTAAAGAAACTGACAAATGATTCGTGAACGTAATGCAAGCCTTGTATAATGCGCTCAACATCGGTACTCATCAGTGTCAGTGGTGCCATATCGGATTTCTGCAGTTCAAGGGATTTTCGGAAAATAAGAAGAACAAGAGTTCCTCGTATAGCGGTAATAAAGCGCACAATCTGGTATTGGCTATATGCCGTTGTGAGCTAGACATCGTTAGCAAATAAATTATAGTATTATTCGACGATCCAACGTCGCATAACTCACCGCAATTCCCAGGTAAACCAATCCGTACGCGACGAGGAGCCCCCATGCCACACTCTGAGGATCAGTGTCATCGCGAGCATCGTACCAGTTCAGAGTCCGTTGGATGAGAAAAGGCTGGATGAACTGAAACGCAGCCTGGGCGAATCGCGTCGGAGTTGGGATAAGAAATAGCCATCGAAATTCCCATGCGAGCAGCAAGAAGAGATTATGCTTGCTCCTTCCAGTGACCTTCTTCTCCCATACCACACTCACAGTCCGCGATAATCCTGCGCTGGTAAATTCGGTCTCGCATTGAGAGAGCTCAGGAAGTGACAGTGGCTTTCCAGCAATACCCCGCCACATGAGTGGATTGAGCCAGACAACGAACATGCGGTTGATGATGCCGCTGAGTGCCTCGGGCGGATATTTGTTGTAGGGTATATTCAAGACATTTCGTTTGGTGATCTCTTCAACCACCAGGAGCAAGACTTTCACTCCTAGAATGGAAGATAAGATACCCAAGCATGCCTTCGTTTCGTCTGACTCGGCGAGAAGTATAATGCGTGCGATGTCCGTGAGTCCCCACGCTATCGCAAATAGTTGCCCGAAAGATGAAGCGCGGATCTCCCACACGTGGCTGACCACCACCGCCAGTGAAAGGAATACCGAGCAGCAAAATTGCAGAGCCGCGGCACAGATGGCGAAACGTCGGGCGGCGCCGTGGAGCGAACCCAGTGTAGCAACTGTGATAAGGTATGCGAGATACAAAAGCACCAAGAGCGTGCAAATTATCTAAAGAAAGGTTATTATACAGATCACCGAAGCTCTCATAAGAGTCGAAAATACCGATTTCGCGAAGACTACACGTCCGTGGAGCGCGACCTTCTTGGTCGGACGTTGCCACGATCTCCGTATCGACCAGATTGAGAACCCGACTATTCCAAAGCTTGACAGCACTATAGTTAAAATGACATTGCCGAATAATAGTTGCAAATCACCAACAGCACTCTGACCGTGGAAGGATGGGACGGAATTGAGGACGTCTCTGGCATAATGGCCAATATCTGCACGCATCGTGGGAAATTGACTCCCAAAAGGCGCTCAGCGAAATTTATTCGAGCCCTTGAATCAATCGCTCAGCACTTTTCACACTGAAGTTGACGTTTAGGCATTCATGAAAGGGTGTCAGACGCCCCGCTAGACCGAATCAGCCGCTGCTTAGGTGGTACCACCCCCGGGCACGACAATTGTCATCCAAAGTTCTGTTTTATCTTGAATCTGTCATATATTTGCATTACGACTACTCTGTTCCTTGATATGGAGTTTCTGGATCCAAGTCCTGGGACAAACTTCTATTTTCAAACACCGTCTACCCGACGCTAAAGCTTGACAAAGCCCTCGGGAAGCTCCTTATGTTCAAACCACGCCGCGGCAGTCGCTGCAAATAGCCGCGGATCCTGACGATTCCACGGATGTCGCATTTTCAAGTGCGTGTACGCGATAGTCTCTTCATTCAGCTCTCTCCCGATCACCATCAACTTCACAGCATCACCCGGGCTATCCTTTGTAGGCACTAACCCCCCTTTCCCCGCTGCAACAATCAGAGTGCGCGCAGGCCATGGTGATGGCCACTGTGTAGGATCCTCCGGTGAGACAATCTGGCGACACAGGTCAAGTGTACAGACATTGGTATCAATACGTGGGATGTCGGCACCATCCATTGCCCAGCTGATAAGAGGCCGGCCAAGGCAGTTCTCCACACGCGGCATCGCCCACGCTGCGTATGGAATATACGGCGTGAGTGACGTTTGAGGGAACATTCCAAAACCCGAGATGAAGACCGAGTTCACCACATCTGGTTCGGTACAGGCCAGGCGGATAGCGACCTGAGCACCCAGACTGTGGCCGACAATGTGCGCTGAACCATTCGCGTGTGTGCGGATCAGCTGGGCAATCTGTCGCGCTGCGAGATCCACTGAAAACGGCGCGCTGGCGGACTTGCCATGGCCTGGAAGGTCTGGGACCAGGAGGTGGTAAGACGTGAGGTGGGGGATCACCAGATCCCAGTAGAGACCAGATACCAAGGCGCCATGGATTAGTACGACGGTGGTCTGGCCGGCGTTGTGTGCAGTGTGGTACAGCTCGAGAGACATGGCGAAGTGATACGATGACCAGTGGGGGGACTCCGACTTCTCTCCGACGGTGTGTCCACCTCGGTGGTGCCACCGATGTCCGTGCACGATCGCCGATCCCGCAGGTCTGCCGAGATTCTAGATCTTTCCCCAAATTAGGGTTTGAAGTAAACAACCGTGGAAATCAACTAGCCTCGAAAGCGAATGGTTATGAAGTAACTCTCTACACCTGGGCAGCAGCTTATTTAAATATTTTAACCATGTAGTAGGTGATCAGTACTAGTGCCCAATGTAGTACGGACAATTCATTCTATATTTTTATAGAGATTATCATATTCATGTAACAACCCACTCCAACGCTTGAGAATGAAACATAAGACGTCAAACTAGACCGTAGGAGATGTCAAGCTACCTGCCTTGGCCAATTGCTTCGCCTGCTTCTTCGCTTGTTTGGTGGCCTTCTTTTCCTCCTTGCTGAGTTTCGGCCAGTTGGCGTCCGGTCCAACAAAAATCTTACTGGGGTGGATCACATTGAAAATAACAAGGGCGAAGAACATAGGTAGGGAATCGAAAATATACATGAAAATCTCATGGTTGCCGATCGTCGTGGCGAGCTTACTGGTGTTGGCGCCCGCGAACTCGATGATGCGGAAGATCACTCGGAACTAATAAATGTCAGAAAGCTGACATCCAGCAAAAGTTGAGATTTTGGGGCTGATACCGAGATTAAGGCGAGAGATAGATATAGAGTGTATAGAACAGGTTGAACGCTCTTTGCCCTTTCGGGGTCACATTCGCGAGCCAGACGGCGGCGGAAAATCACGCTCAACACAATGAAACAAATGATGAAAAACTGTTGCAAGGCAACACCAGCGGTATAAATATGCAGACCAGTGTTGATGGTGCTGTTATCGTCGGATGTGGTGATGGCGGCGCCAGCCAACTGGAGAATAAACATACTGGCAAGGAAGTCGTTAGCGACGAAGCTTCAGCCAGCAAAATCTACTTACCCGACATCCAAACTAACGAAAAGGATTCCGACGCGCCGTGCTGCGAATCCACAAATCTTCTTGTCGGGAAGACAGTAGTTGACCAGCCGTCCGAGCAGCAGGAAGTCAAACGCGTTCATCCACATTGGAGCAATCAAAATCAGAATAAACTGCGCCTCGTAAACCTGGGATAAGTCGACCTGATGGATGCAGACCAGTCGCAGGATGTACGAAACAGTCTCTAAGCCGGCACCCATGCTAATGATCCAGGCATTGCGCATCCGGTACTGGTATGTCTGGAAGATGTGAACACATGTTGTGAGACCGAAGAGGACTGCGAATAAAATTGCAGCTGGCTCGGAGGGACAATATGACCAATACACATTTGGATTTTGGAAAATCGCAGGATCTGGCATGTAGCAGTTAGATGGTTACTCGGAAGCTCGAAGCGCGAATTGAAACCTACCGCAAGTGGGCATTTTCAATTTTAAAATCTGGAACGCGGATTTGAGATAATAGACAGGAGGACAATTGAAATAGCAACTTTACAGACGATTGTTGGGGAAATTACTAGATAAATTACTTATGCAGTAAGCAGAGATAGATAGGGCTTACAGGGGCCGGTGGCATCACCATCTTGGGGTCCACCTTCTTTCTTTGTTGGCTTTTTTGGCGTTTTAGAATTCCACAAAATTTGAGGCAGTCACTTAGTTTGACGTTTCGTTTTGGTACCCAAATCCCCCGCGAGATAGAATCGGGTCCAGTAGTCCAAAGGCCGACCCTCTTACCCCGAGGCTCTGGAGCCTCAAACACCCGACGAGTCCGAGGTTATGGATTAGGGGCCGGAAAACGGCGGCCCGACCTCGACCTGGCTTACAATTTATCCACATTGTTCTGTGACCTGTCAAATCCTGCGTTTCAAATGCAAAGCTTTCCTGTAGGAAAATCTGATCATCGTCGTATACAGTTGCCGAAGTTGATACAGCTGCTATCTACTCGGAGGCATTGGATATTTCTGTCTAACGAGCAATTGATCCGGCCATTGGTGAAGCTATTATAATATCAAGCACTAGATGGAGACGCCTATTCTGTAGAATTCAACCTCCACAATTCACACCATGTATTCTTTTCACCTGTGTGCATACATGTGTAAAGAGTAGATCTCAGAAACTGGTCAGAAGCCATCGGAAGACCCCAGACTTCGACCAATAGCCTTTCTTGGTATATTCGAGACATAATGGGATGTTGATGTCTCAACGGCTCGTATCGGTGCAGCACCCACATATTCCGGGGGAGATATGAACCTCAGTATGGTGAAGTTCCCGCTTACAAAATGTCAGCCAGAGGCATCAACCTTAGGAATATTGCATTCCATCATTTACTACAAGACTCAGCCGTCTGCCACTCAGCATACATGGCACATCCGTAGTGTGGCCACCATTCATCGTGCCACCCTACCGCTGTTCTGCATCTCTAGAAGATGCTTATAGACCTCTATGGTATAGCACTTCAAAGTTCAATCAGAAACCGACTCAGGCTCTGCAATCCTCTATATTCAATTTCAATCATGTTCCCCGAACCCGCCTCCCAGGAAATCGGTCCGTTCGATAACCCAAAATGAAGCGCACCGTAACTAATGACTTACAGACTGGAACAAGTTAAGTCTCAAGGGCCTTGACTTAACCTCCCATGTCGAATCCCATTACTCCACCAAAACTGGGGAATGGTCTGCGCCTGAAATTGTGGCGTCACCATACCTGAAGGTCCATGGCTTGTCGCCCGGCTTGAACTACGGACAGCAGTGTTACGAAGGACTGAAGGGTAAGCAGAATCAATCGATCAGTGTTTGTCCGGTTCTTCGTGATCTTAACAAGACCAGCCTGTCGCACCGCCGACAATCAGATTCTACTCTTTCGCCCGAAAGAACACGCCAGCCGCATGCACCACTCGGCAAGCACGGTCTCCATCCCCAACGTACCCGAAGAGCACTTCCTCGCCTGCGTCAACCTAGTCGTGGCCGCTAACTCGACTTTCGTCCCCCCTCACGAAAGCAACGCCCTCCTATACGTCCGTCCAGTGGCCTTCGGGTCCGGTCCACAACTCGCTCTCACCTCGCCGAGTGAGTTCACCTTCGCGGTATTCATTCTCCCAGGCTCTGCCTACCACGGCGTCATGGCCCAGGATGCTTTGGTCTGCGAAGGCTTTGACCGTACTGCGCCTCTCGGGGTAGGCAATGCCAAGGTTGGCGGAAACTATGCTCCCGTCATGAAGTACACCGACCAGGCGCACCGTGAAGGCTTTAGTCTGCTTCTCCACCTCGATAGCCTTACTCACACTGAGATCGACGAGTTCTCTACATCTGGCTTCTTGGGTGTCAAGGCCGGCGACAAGCCTACTTTAATTGTTCCCAGCAGTCGCAATATTCTTCCCAGTGTTACGACTGATACTTGCATTGAAGTTGCCAAGTCACTTGGGTGGAAGGTTGAGAAACGGGCAGTAAGTTTTATCTTTCTTTTTTTCACTACTCGTAATTTAGTAGGAATCCGAATTTCGCTAATAGCCCTCCAGGTCAAGTTCGATGAAGTTCCGTTCCTGGACGAAGTTATGGCGGTCGGAACTGCGACGCTACTTCTGCCTATCAAGTCTATTACGAGGAGGTCTACGGGCAAGAAGATCTTGTTTAATGAAGGAAAGCCTGAAGCTGGCCCGTGTTGTGAGACCCTTCGCAAGGCGATTGATGATATCCTCCGCGGCAGAGGGCAGGGCCCTGAAGGCTGGAGCGTGGCCGTTAAGGAAGTCTGAGACATTTGCCAATATTTGCACTCTCTTCATTTGTTTAAAGAGTACACTCAATACAACATTATATGATTTGTGCTTCGTTGGATATAACCGCTAGAAAACAAATTTGCCTGAGATAGTTGGCGAACTGGTGAATTCGGTGATCGCCCTGTATCCGTGCATATTTTTCAATGCTAAGGCATCTTGAATCAATCTCCAAACATCTTCAAATGATTTGTTTCTCTCGTATAAAGTATGGATAAATTACTCGACTTCAATAATTCGTATTCTTGCGGGCGAGAAAAATCAATTCAAACGCGAGTCACTCAGATCAACGTATATAATTTCAGCCATCTCCAAATCATCCCAATAAAAATTTCTAAAGCATAAATTCTTTCCGTTTTGATAGCTGCATGGGGATATCTCTATTCACGTCCCCCAATACAGTCACGCGCTGCGTTCAATACGCAGCCTTCAATCTCGACTGATGGTACTCAATAGCCGTGATATCCTCATACTTAGCCCCCTGAACAGGATCAACAAAAGGGGCCAAAGCGCCGACCGAGGTATTCCTATTCGCCTTACAGAAATAGGCAATAGAGAACCTCTCAGGGATAATACCCTCATCCACCCCCTTCAGATTCGGCGGAAGGCTGACCTGATGCAAACCCGCAGGCAAGACATCGTTTGTCCAGCGCTGAAGCGTCTCTGACACGTTGATGATCATTTCATATTGCGACACCGGGACCACAGGGATGAACGATGTGCCGTTGGTGTCGAGACGATTCTGGAACTCGAGTCCTGAAGCTCCAGATGTCCACAACATGGTCAGAACACCGAGGTCGAAGTGCGGCCAGATGCGGTTAACCTTGCCTTCTTGGATGGTCTCCACGCTGATGGTAGGGTAATGGTTCATGCGGAGCTCACTGGCATCGTGGATGCGACTCTGGAAAGTTGCTGTGGGCAAGGACATGGAAATTTCAAGAGCTTCGAGGAGTTGAAGACTGATGCGCTCGCTGTCTTTGTAGAACGATTGCATGAATGTGCGGAAGTCGGGAAGATCTTCCTCTGATGGCCATTTGTTGGGATACGAGGTATCTTGTTCGTGGCCTTGATCAAAATGCTCCTGTGAAACGGTCTCCATCAGTATCGTTTTTGGCTCTCTCCGGACGAATACTTACTCGAGAGTCTGAGAGCCCTTTGGATGTTTTGCCTTTGATCAACTTGCTATACAGCGAGGAGGAACTCTCGGCCCCCAAGCGACTCCAACCTCGTTGCGGGGCTGGGCCAGCAACATTGGCAATGCCTTCTTTTGACTCATGTGGCATTTGGAAAAATTGATCGGCCTGGTCGTTTCGTTAATTCGATCATTCTTGCAAAGGGCTACGCATCGAGACTTACAAATTGAAAGCACCGATCGATATCCTGGTTTGGGATACCCGAATTTATGATCCTTGCGAATCCATGTGTCGAGAGCGATTGACGCAGCAAATCGCTACATTCTGTCTTTTCAGTTGCTGACCCTTGGGTGAATTTTTGAAAATCGATGATCGGGATAGAAACAGAGGACTCTGCTGACGGCATGATGTTAAATTATTGAGATTTGGGTCTCGTGTTTGGATTTCCAGAAAGCGCAGTCATGATTTGGTTCGCCATTTGACTTTTAAGTAGTAGGTTCTTGAATACTAAGTTGTCCTGCGGGAACGGTGTTGAGGTTTTCAGCCCCATGGTGGTGCCACTAGTGGTTGTGCCAACCATACCATCCGATGTCTAAAGGGCCAGGAAGGAATAGAAGCGGGAAGAAAAGCAAAAAAGGAGCTGATGAGAGCAAGGCAATTTTGATTGCGTACTTCCAGTTGAAGAACTCGGAACTCATGGCTGAACGTCGCGTCGAAGAAGTGAAAGTCGCGATTCTGGGGTGCGGTAAGCAATGCAGGAGATCTGCAAACGAAATAAAAATAACAAATCAATAGGAAAACTGGGGACTGCGATTCTTCAGGGTCTGCTTCAATCTACAAATCCCGAATTGCGCATGAGTCATGTTACAGTGACTACAAAAACGCTTGAGGGGGTGAACCGAATCAAGAATACCATCGGCTTCATTGATTTGAACTCTCCCAAAGTAGAGTTCTGCAGTGGAGACAGTTCAAGAGCTGCGCAACTAGCAGATGTTATCATAATCGGGTGCAAGCCTAAAGCTCTCTCAGAAGTCTTGAGCGAATTACCAGCACAAAACGGAAGAAAAATCCTGATCAGTCTGGCTGGAGGCGTGACGCTAGACGATTTAGCTCGCATGTATCGATCTACTCATCCCATGACGGGGGACGAAGTTGATCCTTTCATCGTCCGCGCGATTCCCAACATTGCCGCATCACTACAACAATCCGCGACCGTGTGCTCGAGCTTAACGCAAGATGGCCGAGACCTGACTGCCCGTTTATTCAACATGGTCGGTCGCACAAAATGGGTTGCAGAGGAACACATGTATACTGCCTCGGCATTATGTTCATCGTCGCTGGCGTTCTATGCTGCTATGGTCACGGCCGTGGCTAGTAGTTCTGAGATGCCGGCGGAAGATGCGCTGGAGTTGGCTGCTTTCGCGATGCAAGGTACAGCGAGCTTAGTGCTGGCGGGTCGGGCCCCTGAGGCTGTCATATGTCAAGTAGCGACACCAGGGGGCTCCACGGAGGCAGGACTTCGCATTCTTGAAACACGGGGTGTAGCGGAGTCGTTGGTTTCCGCTATGAAGGAGACCTCGGAAGCGACGAGAACAATGGGAAAAGGAGCAACTCAATCATGACACCAAAGCGATTCTCCAATATTTGCAGCTTGGACCTGTCTGTAGAGCTGTCGGTTTCCTATGTTCCCTGGAATTGCTGTTGTGTGCCGCCTTGGAGGGAAAGATTCATCCATCGGATGAGCAGTTACCTTGGTGTCTCTGGTGCCCAGGTGAGGCCTTCCCGGGGACCTCACGTCCGTCTGTAGATATTATCTTGTACATAGGATAGACACCTGGGGATGCTCAATGAAATGGCTGGAATCGGTTTTTACTTTCGGTTCTCCATACTTTATTCTTTCTTTCTAATGGCATGAGTCTATAAATGACCATTCTCTATCCATAGATGATTCTGGACTACCCGAACCCCTATGGCCAGAGATCATGGAGAAAGTGACGTTACTCCGAAATTTGACCATATATGGCGTTATAGCAGTGAGCTTCTCTCTGCTGCGAGATCCATATACAGTGAGACTTCAGAGTAAGATGTCAGAATGCGGTCGTCACAGTACGGACTATTACGGGCATAGCCAATTGAGTACTTGAGAGTGTGATTCCTATATACTATAGAAAGTGCAGATTGAATAGGGGGTTGAGCTTCCGCGATCTTCTTGCCTCTTAGGGTTTAGTGTCGGATTGACAGATACTGGTATGTGCTAGTATTGAGGTGTCCCATTGAGATGCATTGATGTTGTTCTATCTGGATCTTGCTGTTGAAGCGTTATCAGATTTCAGGAGTCGTTCCTAGCGACGCTGGTATGCCGAGCGTACCCCGTTTACCATACAGAGACAGAGACAGAATGGGTACTTGATGAATAACCCTGTCCTTAGTGGTAAAAGACCACCCCTCAGTTCGACATTTAGCGCCCTCACCCGTGCCCCCGTTCGGGTTTAGTGCCATCTCTGGCCGCTTTTACCGCCCCTAACCCCTGCCTTCCATCTATAAAACACCGACCACCAGGTCCGTCTCTAGATTTTAGGCACTCATCCTAATTACCAGAAGCACGAAATTGCGAGCAGGCAGTGCAACTGGGGAGTGCGCTATGCACAGGCGCACGCAGTACCGGTCACCGTTCTGGCTAGCCCGATGGGTGGAAAGCTTTATCAATCGCTCGGATTTCCTGTTATCACATACATAACCGTGGAGGTCGATTGTGAGCAGGAGAAGCTCTTCATTGGGGTGATTGTGCTTGACAACTCTAAGCCAATCGGGAGCTGAATGTGGACCACTTCGTCCTCAGGTGGCATCACTCCATGGGCACACTAATTAAGCATATTGTGAGATAATTAATGACATGTCCCCACCTGGGCACTATGCAGTACATGTTCACTTCCTACTTTTACGCGCCAGGCTCGTTACGCTTTTTGCCATTACCTAGGCAGAACGTTCGACTTAATCCCATATTTCATATACCTCGGTTCTATTAATGAGAAACAACTATAATAAACACGTACGAACACATAATTTGAAGTGTGTGAACACACAATTTTGCGAAACAGTGTTCAGCATGCCATGTCAGCTCGAACTTCTGTGTGACATGGCTCATAACGCTACTCGTACTGACCCGCTGTAGGCAATGTATTGGTGGGAATGGAAGGGCATTGGACTCAGCAGTGATCACAACCTTGGAATTCTCCTCTCGACGGCATGTCTGGAGGTGAAGGTAGCAATAGATTCATTCACATCAAATCATGGGTAGGATGTAGAAAATTACGATGACAAAAAGAAAAAAAGAAAGCGGTACAAATCCCCCAGAAGGATTGCGCATCTTTTCTCGGGATCGACTACGCCCGGCAATTTCAGCTCGGCCTTTGTGAAGGGACCAATACTATATGGCTCTTGGAAACCGTCGGCTTAACTACTCCGCTAGTAAGGGGATTTGTCTGAAAAAATACCCGTTCACTCGATGAAGTACAAACATTCGTTAGGTCACGTGATATATCGACCCACATTAATGCAGATCATCAAAGCTTATTTGCCAACTCCACAGAACAAACAGAACAACAAACGACCATTTCTACTTTGTTGAATCTTTCAATATTATGATAAATCATATGATTATTCGCATTTACTCTGGCTTTCACCCTCATCTCCGCCGAAATAATCCTCGAGCGGCTCGTATGGTTCTCAAACTAGTTAGTGGCACCCACCTTGGAAGCACAGATATCCGTAGTGTAATGTTCTAAGGTTGTTACTTGCTATTTTGTCCTATTATACCAAGATGTCTCTAGGGGCTTTTCTTTGCTTTGTGGCCTGATTCATGAATGTAGCATCGCACTCGATACCATTTTCCGAATTCTTTCGCAAAAATATATGTTTCTGTTTGTCCTGAGGTGGCACCACCCCATGGGCACACTAGCTAGGTAAGAATAACCTGCATACCAAGGGAGCTACCTAGGTATTATCAGATAACTACCTAGGTAAGCCAACAATGTCTCCCCCCCCCCCCCCCAACACACACACTATTCAACAGATCTTTCTTTGCTGATCTGACGCGCCCAACCCAGGCGCTCCTCCCCAGTCGTCATCAGAAAGCCTGACATAATTTCAGAGCCCCTGGGGAAAATTACCCTGACCCAAAGACAAGGCATGTACGAACATATCCTTTGAAGCGTGCAGGCGAAAGCGTTTGACAAAACAGTCTTCAGCATGCCCGGCAGAATCGATACAAGATGGCGTGAAACAGCACCCGGCTTGTACCAGCGAATGGCAACTCCGATGGAGCGGTGGATGACAATGATCACGGAGACTGGCCGAAAATTCGGTAAAGAGCATTTTGTCCTGACGGTAGCGCTGAGGTTACAACTGGAAGACGGGTTTCCAAGCTTTCTACCGGAGCTGCGTCGGGCGTGGGGGGTTATCCGCCAGAAGCACGCCTCCATCGCCAGCGTTCTAGATCGACACTCTGGCATCTGGACCTACATTGCCCCCTCCAAATCTGAGACTGCCAGATGGCTCAGTGAGACATTCATTGTGATCCCGTTTGGCATGTCTGTAACTGCACTGCGAAATCAAACTCGTCCACCAAAGCGACCAACGTTATTTGTGCTGCCTTCTTCGGGAGAAATTGTCTTGCAGGCACCTCATACCTCAATTGATGGCAAAGGACTTATGCTTATCGTCGACAACTTGCTTAGCATTGCCTCCTCCGTGCATCAAGAGGATTCCAGCTATAACATCATCAGTTTATCGCCTTCGTTTCGAGTGGCTGCTAGTCTTCCTCCTGTCAACAATGACGATAGGCGACGAGCAGCAGTGGAATTGCAAAGATTCCTCTCCGCACTCCCAGCAATGTCCTTGCCCATGAAGATACAAGACAAGAGATGGAGTGACCGGGCGCCAAAACGAACGAACCGGATTGTCCGAGCTTTGCCCGAGAGCGAGACGCGGGCTTTACTGGCGGTGCTGAAAACAAAAGGCCTCACCATCACGCATGCCGTCCATGCGGCAATCGCATGCGCAACGAAGAAATTTAATACTAACCCCGTCTCCGAAGTATACGCGGGCGCGTTCAATGTTGATGGACGCAATGCCTACGGAGGCAATACACTCGACCACCCAGCAACGCTTTACAGTACCGGGTGGTTTCCCACGATCAAAGTATCCGATTTCTCGTCCGTCGCGAATACATTTCGACGGGGATATACAAGTGTCCAGAAGGATGTAAGACTTCCCAATGTCATCGATGAGCTGATCGAGCAAGCTATGCCGTTTATGACTGGATCGGCGCCTTCCCCGGCAGATGCTTTATTGAGTAGTCTCGGGGTGGTGGAGAGCGTGATACAACACAAATACTCCAATGTGGAAGTAATGGACTTTGAGATTGCATGTGAAGTCCTCACTCCTGCGATCGACATATTCCTTTATACTTGGCGCGATCGGATCACGCTTGCGGCTTACTTTAATGAGACATATCAGGAGGCCGAGAAGGTCTCGGAATTCTTGGGGACGGTGCTTGATATTTTGAATGTAGAGTTAGATCTTGGATAGAGATACTATCCGCGTTCATGAAATGGAATTTGGAATTTACTGTCGCTTTCATATCATCTTCACGTATTGTTTGGTTATATCATGCCCAGGTACGTTTTGTCGTCTCATCTAAAGCCAACTGGTCAACTGTACCCTCATTTTCGTACTTCACCATCTCTATCAGAGTTCTATATTATGACTCGTACCAAGCGCTATATCTCCATTATCTCGCAGTTGATTACAGACCCAAGTAAGCGAACATTTCCCAGAACCAACGCCGGCTTCAAGTTCACATTCATTGCAGATTTATCCATAAATTCAGAGGATACGCCTTGATCCGACTTCATATACAGGCAGAAATTGCTTTGAAACGCACAGCCTCCTCAATCCGCCAGTCTTGACTTATCATTCATCGCGAGACCAGGCCTTTGCCTTCACCATCGGACCATTGCGACAGGCAATGAGCCAATCCTTCACTTGGTATTCGAAAACGCGATGACGTCCATATTCAGCACTCTTAGACCCTTCACCAAGACGAGATTCCTCACAATGAGTTAACTGAATATCACAACTAACCAAAAGCGCCGCAAAAGCAAGCATGATCTCGTTCATCGCCAGAGCCTTGCCAACACATCCCCTCATACCAAGAGAGAAAGGATTGAATGCAGCCTTTGCTTCTTCGAGCTCGAGCGCCGCCTCCTCGGAATATTGACCGTTGGCATCGGGCTGACTGAACCACCGCTCCGGTCGGTACACGAAGGGATCACGGTAATACTTGGAGCTATGGTGAATACTGTAGATACCGGTGCCCAGCTCGCAGCCCTCGGGCACATACTCGCCGCCAAAGGACAATCCTCCGGGAAGGACTTTTCTCCACAGAGCGCTGCCGACAGGAGGGGACATGCGCATTGCTTCGTTAATACAAGCGCGGAGGTATTCGCAGGAGTTGAGGGCTGGGCCCAGACGCACATCGTTGATGTCGTGGAATGCGGAACGAACTTCCGCTACTGCCTTTGCGTATGCGTCGGGGTATCTGGTGAGGTAGAAGATAGTCGCGGATATTGAAGTGGCAGTGGTGTCAGATCCTGAATTTGAAAAAACGTCAGCGATTCTATCTTTCTTCTTCATTCGTGAAGATCTTACCGGCCACGACAAAGTTCAGACTTTCGGCATTCAACTGATCGCGGCTCAGTCCCTCCTTAAGCTCATCGTCCTTGGCTGCAAACAAAATGGAGAACGCATCTCCGGTGATATCTGTTGCTTTTATACGATCCTTGATGATCTTTCCAACGAAGCCTAAGAACACATTTCGTGCCTTGATCGCTCTACGGAATATATATCTGTCCATCTTGCGCCAAGCTAGCATAGGCGCCTGCGATAGAATGCCAATTCGGAAGTTGACACCTGAAATAACAGGAATGATGAATCTATACTTAGGATCTTCCTGCAGATTGTAGCAGAGTCCGTAGATAACAGATGTCATCACGTCGAAAGCAAAGTCACCAGCTAGATAGATTAAGCGGTTAGAAGGTTCGAACTCTATAACATTAAATTCTAGACATACCGAAATCGCCGATGTTCAGAGACTCAGTCCATCCATCCTCGGCCTTCTTGCTAGATAAAATTCGATTCACAAGTTTGGTGACGTTAGTCAGAATCCGCGGCTCATACAACCGAAGCGAGGCATCGGAGAAACCGTGGCTGACCAGGCGACGCTTTCGCTCGTGAATCTTTTTGTCAACTTCAGTGAAGGTGCTCGCAACTTTCAGGTTCATGACCTGGTAATCGGGAGATTTTTGGATTTGTTTGGCTGATTGGTAGATTTCTAGAGAGATAATTAGATCAGATTACTCGGCTTTTAAAAAATAGTCCCAACCTTTCAGCCCTTCTGTCGTGTTGACTAAGAGGCGATGAGGAGAGTAACGAACATAGTCGCCTTAATACAGCAGTTGAGTTAGCAATGTTCTGTGGTCTCTCGGACTCCGCGCCACATACCATACTTCTGGTGGCACTTCCACATGTCCAGATGAAGATCACCCTTTAGTGCATGGTATGCGCTGTAAAGGATAGTGAATTTGGCCAAAAAGGGCCCGGGGTACTTAGCATACGGATGCCAGGTGACAAGGTATACTGAGCGAGCAATTGTCTAAGGTTTCATTAGAATTCCTGTCGACCGATTTTGGAAATTGGTGATAGACTGACATATACAAGGACCAAGGTAAGCAGAATACCCGCAGAAGCTCCAAAGTAGGATTTCAGACTATCCAGAAAGACAGGAGAATTGAATGTAAGCCAAAATTGAGGATGCGATTTGGATGCATCGTCAATGGGGGCGATGAACTCCCGCGCGAGGCCTCCTAGGAAGCCCAGAGGCACTTCCGGTGTATTGTTGAGCATGATTGTCAAATTTCATGCAAAGAAAGAGTTAAAAATACGAATTCTTCAGCTGTATTAGAGCAACAAGTCCTTCATTTTAATTTATGTGTAAAATATGAAGCCTGGCGTTTGGGGTCTATGGTGGTGCCACCGGTGGATGTTGAGCCCACCCACCCACGGACTGTCGTTCCACGCGACGAGTGAGATTCTAAATATACTGAGCTGACTCTTTTCATTGCAATTCGCAGTTTTGATTTGCTTTTAATTGTTTTCTACTGGCTAATTGGGAAACTTACCGCTGACCCTATCGCGATGGCCCTGTATTCCTGCATCTCCGACTATGGAGAGAGTATGTGGCAGATCATTCGAGCCCATCCCTGGGCCAGTATTGGTGTTGGACTTCTTCTAACCAGCGCGAAGAGTCTACCGCTGATGTGGCATGTTTGTAACCCCGTCTTCTCGCAAAGTTGTCCAGCTACTAACCGTGTTCACCATCTTAGGCTCGACTTATTGTCGCTGTTCTATACCATTCCGTCACGAAAAAGTCCGATGTCATTACTGCGGCTAAGCACGGAGGGCAGGGTATTTTTGGATACATCGTGACCAGCTCCCGCAGTCCATTATACGAGTGCGACATCAATGGCCACAAATCCGACAGTACCTACTTCAGTGATCTCGACATCAACCGCATCCACCTTCTCACGAGGCTTTTCAAAGGTGCGGGCGATCTTTCTCTGCGCCCGACTCGAAAGAGCTCCAAAAGCCAGAAAGATCGGCCCAAGAAGATGCGAGTATTACTTGGAGGAACCTGCTGTACATTCCGGAAGGAAGTCAAGCCGTACTCCGCCTACGAGATTCACTCGCGAGTCCTCGCCTGGGATGAGAAATGGTTATATGTTGTGAGCTACTTTGTCAAGCCGGGATCGGCGAGGAAAATGCCCAAGATCCAGGCATCCAAGGCTGATCATCCGGAGAAGCGGGAGGAGGTTGCGGCCCTGGCGAAAGGGATGGTCTTCACTTCGGCAATTACCAAATTTGTGTTCAAAGAAGGTCGCAAGACTATTCGTCCGGAGGATGCTCTAGAAGAAATGGGACTTTTGCCCGATAAAGCCACTTTAGAGGCTGTTACTTTGGCGAACGGGGACATGGCCTGGAGCTGGGAACAAGTTGAAAAGGAGCGGGAGGCAGGTATGAGGACCGCGCAACATCTGATTGCGCTGGATGATCTGCATGATCAATTTGAGGATGTTTCGAGTTACCCGTCTCTAGGGAAGTTCGGCCTCGTTGGAAAGTTATTCTGAGATTGATTTGTCTACGTGTCAACTGGTGTATTTAGCTATGAACCAAGCAAGTCGCTGGGAAAAATGTAAACCTCAGCATCCTTGCTGTACGGAATAGATATGATTTTTCTCTTTTGCTCTATTCGTGTCTGAAAAATTATTTAGTCCGCTTCTGAATCTAGACAATAAACGTTGTGCTTGTACATCAAATGACTACTCGAGCCATTAAACATCAATGCATCACCGCGGTAGATAAATATACAACATCAGGTGAATTTAATTATAGGAACGGTGTAGAAAAGGAAAATCCAAATAGAGAAAACACGGAGTCAAATTGCTAATATATCGCAAAATAAAACAAAATATTAGAGATCACACAAAAAGACTACTTCAGGTACTGCCCATGCTGACTCTTGATAGGTCCTCGTCCACGACCACCTTCATCCAAGGCCTTGAAACCATTCTCCAAGACACCGCCCTTCTGGTATGCCTCGTAAACATTGATGACCTCCTTAGAGACTGGATCGTATCCCAAACCGGAGGCTTGCGTCACCATGCGCAGAACCTGACCATCCTCCTCAAGCAAGCTTGGCTGCATCTGGATATCTTTGACAAGAATGTCTCCCGCTCCCTCAGTCGCATGACGGAGGTTGTTCTCGAAGTGCGCGAAGAACGTCTTCACAAGGGATCTGGAGACCACGCGATCATCAAACAGGGCAAATGCATCGACTCCAAAGTCGGAAATAGCGCAATCAAGGAAGAACGGATTGGGACTGTTTGCCACGGGTAGACGTAGGGGTCGAACGAGGCCGATTCCACTACCAATATCTGCTTTGTGGTGGTTGTAGGGGTTGACAGTCAATCCAAAGGCGAGTTCGCATGCCTGCTTAGCAGAAGAGGAAAGAGTTTTAATGTGGGGGATGCTGCACTGTTCGTGTGCAATGATGATTCGACATTGAGACTCAATATTGAGGAGGAGGTTTTGGATCGATTTATGAGGATCGACGCGAATGCGCAGCGGGACGGTCGCGAGAATGGGTCCGATGATTTGTTCAATCTCCGCCACAGGAGCGTTACGTCCGCTCAGAGTTAGAAGGAGTGTGACATCCTCGACATTCAGCATTTGACAAAGGGCAAGAGCCCATGAGGCGTAAATGGCGGTTGGTATAGAGATGTCGGAACGGAGTCGGTGAGGTTCAAGATGCACCTCAAGGTCACAAATGGAATTGGCCTCGCACTGGGCTGGGTCGGACGGAGGTGTCGCGAGAGGGGGTGGAGGAGTATAGTCGGCTAGCTGGGAGCGCCAGAATTCATCCTGCGCATCCTGGTCCTTGTTCTGCAGGTAGCGAACAAAGCGGTTCATGGGCACTTCTAGCTCCTTATTGGCATCGTCATACAAGTACTCTCGTTCCAGGGTAGCGAACAGGAGTGCATATGCCCAAGCATCGTATGTAGAGTGGCAAGCAGTGGTGATGAAATAGCGTTTGCCGGTATTTTCATCGATAACATACCCGGCGCGACTGAGAGGTGTTCCGGGTCCGGTCGCATCCTGGAGTTCCTGGTCGTAGTAAGCCGAAACTGTAGGAGCAGAACGCCAGGCGGTAGGTGAAGGCTTCTCAACGACCTGCATCCAACTTCCGTCGGCAAGCTGGGCGACACGAGTACGGAGCACCGCATGAGCATGGGTGGTGCGTTCCCAGGCTGCCTTCAGACGATCGAGATCAACTGACGCGGGCGCTTCAAAGGCTGTCATCAGACAAGTGACACCTGGGCGAGTTAAAGAGATCGTGAGGAAGCCAATCTGTGCTGGCGTGGCAGGATAGATGTCCTCAATAGACTCGATAGGGAGGTTGCAAAGCGTGGCAACTTCCTTCTGAAGTTGGTCGATGTCCTTCTCCTTTGGCACCAAAGATAGGGGCTGGATGACAGCTGTGTCATCGGCAGTGATAGGATCCATCAAGACGGCCATGTCGTCGAGAATTTGGTTTTGCAGGATCTTGTCTGCTGTGAGAGCATATCTATAGGATCTTGCTAGAGAAACAAGCTTGACGGCAGCCATAGAATCACCTCCGACAGCCGAGAAGCTGTCTTGGCCAGAAATGTCGCTCTCGCTGAGTTCCAAGACTTGCGCCCACAGCCCACGTAGTGTAAGACCCTTTTCAGTCGCAGGCTCATGCATTTCACCCAGTGCTGGGGCCACAGCAAGTTTTGTCAGGTCGGGAACCGTCAAACTGGCACAGAGGGCATGGAGTGCTTTGTGATCGATCTTGAGATTGCTTGAGGTCGGAATGCGATTGATAGGGACGAAGAAACGGGGAATCATAAACTCAGGCAGTACCTTGGCAAGGTCGCGCTGGACTCCATCAACAACTGCATGCAGACTAGCTTGAGCCTCTTCGCCGGTGAGAATGGCAAGAGAATCATCGATTGGGTTCGCAATAGTCAAGGGCACAAATGCAATCAAGAAAGGTCGGCCTCTGTTCTCCAGTTTGACGGCCTCAGTGGCTGGCGAAGCAGAACCGCCAATGATACGGTGAAGTTGGAAATCGATCTCTCCAAGATCGACACGTTGTCCATTCAACTTGACCTGCGCATCTCGACGACCAAGGACACGAATAGTGCCATCGTGTTCGTACATTCCGAAATCACCAGTAGCGTAAATCCGGCGAGGAGAGGAGTTTGCCTGCAACGCCCAATCAGGGGCTTGCAGGAAGGCTTTGTCAGTTGCGACTTGGTCGTTGAAATATCCTCTTGCAACAACAGGACCATCCACGAGGATTTCACCGACAGCCCCTATGGGCATCAAGCGGTTGTAGTTCTCACTATCCGCAATCCAGATGGAACAGTTCAGTCCAGATCCAATGTTGGCTGGGGAGCCTCCATGGCGGAGGCCTGATTTTCCAGTACACCAAACGGTGCACTCTGTGGGACCGTAGACATTGGTCAATCGCACACTGTCTGCCCAAATATTGATGAGCTCTTGAGTTAGAGCCTCGCCGCCGAGGGAAAGGGTTTCGAGCTTCACCGCTCCAGGTGACAGGAGACTTGCGACGGTTGGTGTCAGTGAGGCTTGGTTGATGTTGAGACGAGTCATGGCCCCAGCGAGGTCGTTGAGGCGATCTTCTTCAGAAGGCATGCAAACGCAACCACCGCTGACAAGATTAGCGAAGATCTCCCCAACACAGAAGTCCCAAGTGAACGCAGCAAATTGCAAGTAGCGTGAATTTGATGTCTTGCCCTGCAATGCGGCTTGTGCAGGCAGACCAGAGCAGGCATTGCGATGTTCGACCACTACACCTTTAGGTTCGCCGGTACTACCAGATGTGAACATGATATACGCTGCATTCGTAGAGACAACAGTAGGAGCACTATAAGTAGGCGAAAGGGGTGGCAGTGCTTCAAGGGATTCTTTGGTAACAGTCACCATGTTGACTCCTGTGTCAGCAAACAGGTGTGTAAGGCTCGGGATTGTAACCATCACCGACGCTGACAACCGACTCAGGAATGAGGCAAGGCGAGTCTGCGGATGGGCGGGATTGAGGGGTGTCCAGATACCACCAGCCTTGAAAATGGCAACGATGGCGACAATACTGAAGATGGATTTATAGAACGCAAAGCCAACGTAGCTTTCTGGTTGAACACCAAGCCCGACAAGGTGCTGCGCTAGACGGTCCGAGAGATCGTCCAATTCGGAGTACGTCAGTGTACCGTCCCAAGAGGAGATGGCCGATGCAGATGGCCGCTCAAGGGCCTGATCATGAATCATGGCATGGATAGTACGCTCATTAGGTTCGACCTTGTCGTTGATGTGCCATTGTGCGATCTGGTTCATATCCGATGGGCTGATGAGATCGATATCCTTGAGCTGAGTGTTTGGTGCTGTGGTGGGCAGGTTGGCGAGCAGATCTAGCAAGTGTTCGAACTGGCCGAGCAGCTGGTGGATTTGCGCACATGAAATCACATGCGAATCGTAGGAGACATTGACGGAGATACCTGTGGACTCTTGGGAACAGGTCATGGTGATTGGGAATGTGTACAATCCAGCAACGGTGACGGGCAATGGTTCAATGCCCATACCAAGATCCAGATTCAGTGCTGCTGATCCTGTAGCTTGGAACACCAATAGGGTGCGCAAGGCACAGGCGGCGCGAGCTTCTGGGCTGACTTTTCGAATGTTTTGAAATCCCGCTTGCTGGTAGGGGATGAGATCGGTGGTGCTCTTCTTGATGGCAGCGAGATATTCGGACACTGTCTGCTCACGCTCATAGGACACGCGGAAGGGGAAGTTGGCGATGGTTGAGCCGACCATATTCTCGATGCTGGGGATGGGGGTTGTACGTCCGCTGACGACGACGCCGAAAGTGACGTTCTGAGACCCTTCATGCAAAGATAGTAACATACCCCAGGCAGCTTGCAGCACGGTCGCGACCGTGTTGTCTGCTTGAGCAGGCATCGAGAATCGAATGTTTGATGTGAGCTCTGAATCAGCCACAGAGCGGTAGCCAACCGAGGGCAGAGCAGGGAAGGACGGGGGCGCCGCTGGCTCGAGGAAGTTTTTCCAGAACTCGAGGGTCTCTGCCTCACCTTGGTCATCCAGATAGCGAATTAGATGGTTCGGCCCCAAAATTGGTGATTGGTTCATGTCGTAGTAAGCCTCTTGGACATTGCGCCAGAGATTGGTGGTACTCCAGCCATCATAGGCGGCATGGTGCATCGTCAATATGAAATAGCGAGTTGCACCACCGTCACCACCCTCTCCCAAGATAGCCATACGGTACAGCGGCTTTCCGAGATCCATGATCCGACGAAGTTGGTCACGCTTGTACTGCTCAAGGTCGTTGGAGACAACAAAGTCGACCTCGATGGGTCGTCGCAGGATAACCTGCACAAAGCCAGACGCGGTTGTGTGGACCATACGCATCCGGGTGACGCTAGCACGCTCCATCACAGCGTGCCAGGCGTGACTGAATTTCTTAGCATCAAGGAATGGCGCCAGTCGATACGCAAAGTGCGCGCTGTAG